GAGGGGAGTGAACTGGAAATAGCAAATGGGGAGAAAGTGGACTAAACAATGAGTAGAGATGAGACGGGGTCTTAAGTTGTGTTTGCGGTGATCTCAATTCCCTACATTTGAGCACTATATAGAACACTATTATAGGGATCAGAAATGGTCCCCTAATTACTATTCCCTACATTGGAACACTATATAGAACAATATTATAGGGAACAGAAATGGCCCCTTAATCACTATTACCTACGTTGGAGCACGGTATCAAACACTATTATAGGGAACAAAAATGGTCATTAAGTCATTATTCCCTACTAAGAAGCACTATAAAGAACATGATTATATAGAAAATAAATTGTCCCTTAATCACTATTTCCTATATCGGAGCACTGTATAAAACACTCTTATAAGGAGCAGGGATGGTCCCTTTATCACTATTCACTACCTTAGAAAATGAGGAGCACCATAAAGAACACTTTTATACGGAACTGACATGGTCCTTAATCACTATTTCCTACACTGGAGCACTATACATTGCAGTGCTATATAGAATACTATTATAGGTAACATAAATGGTCCCTTAATTACTATTTCCTACATTGGAACGCTACATATAACACTATTATAGGGATCAGAAACAGAGGAGCATCATTTTGAACACTGCTGTAGGGAACAGAATTTGTGATTGATCTATACTAGTTACTAGTTATATTGATCCATACTGTGGGCCATGTCCAAAACTATGTTCTAGTCACTGTATAGTGCACTCTTTTTACTACCCAGTGCTCCAGACTGGGTCTGTCTGAAATCATGGTGGGGAAAATCCAGTGCACTCTTACGATCCCACAAGGCAGTGATATGTGGAATAATGGGGCCTGTGGCAAGTATTTAGGTGAAACATTGAGGATAAAGGGAAGATAAAGCATGGCATCGTATTTAGGGCCAGATTTACATGATGACTCTGCAATTTCAATATCATAGACAGTGACTGTCGGATTATAAGTGCCTCAACCAATCACTCAACAGCTTATTCATTTTGACCCAGTGAAGCCTTTCTGAATGGGCTAAATGCTTTTTGTAAATCATCACAGAGTAATCATTGGCCCATTTCGGAATAATCTCTTAAAGAGCTGTATCTGGGGAGAATGAAGGCGTAGAGATCAGAGACGGTCAGTCAGTGATTGAGAAAAGAAGATAAAAAAGAGAGGAAATGGACAAAAGGAAGAAACACTTTCTAGACTTACTAGCTCATGAGTGTCGCATTGCTTTCGTGAGACTTGTAGAGATTTGGGGACTGGTTGCAATATAAATCCAGACATTTCTACTGTACAGGTTATTAAGATTTCAAACCAACACTCCTAAAAGGTTTTATTAGTTGATTTATTGAAGGGTTCTTACTGGGCTTATGTCATGGAAAGCTGAATTTCCCTCGCTTTTTCAAAACATAACTTTGTGAGTTCAGACTGTGCCTTTAACATGGTGGTGGTAGTATTGGGGAAGACTGATTGAGGGAGGGGGGAGAACTCTGAGAACTTAGGCTGGAGTTCTGGGCAGCATCTGTCTGCAGTTTGAAGGCCAGACCCCCTCATAGCAGGACTGTAGCAGGACTGATGTAGGACAGGAGGAACAGAGAGAAAATGGGGTGGTGGTGGGGATTGCGAACACTTCGTCACGGGAACAGAAGGTGAGGATGTGAATTTGTAGGGCATTAGACTGGAAAAAGGAGGGGTTTCAGCCATGCTTCTCCCCCCCAAACTTCAGTTATAATATAACTACATATTGATACAGTGCATAACTATCAAAGAATCAGGAGATGTATGTCCTCTCCCCAGTCCATACAGTCCATACATGGTAACTAAGCTGCAAAAACAGCCTGTTTTGAATGAATCATTGTTGTGATGCCACAAAAACCAAAGCATTTACATATTTCCACCTTATTCAGTCTACAGCAGTTTAGCTCTGCCCATATATCAGTCTTAAAGGCACAGTAACAAAAATTACCTGTTTAATTCCCTGAGAAAAAGAGGTGGTCATGTAAAATTAATTATTAATTATACAAATTATTTCATATTAGCATGCAGAAAAAAACAAAATATGTAGGATGCCGGCCAATTAAATATTTAGCTCAACTGTCTGCAGAATTTCAAAGACAAAACATTTCAAGCTCTGACAGAATAAGTTCACCCTCAAATAGAAGAACCTGTTGTGGAAATATATCAACATGAAACCAGTTGATTTGAAGTGAAATGTTGTTCTTAGTATAAATGTATTTGTACACATTTAGAATTTCAGCTCAGTTTGGTCATCCTGTAAGCAGTAAACAGTTCAATATTTCAGTGTGTAAAGGGGAATTCCACCGATTTTTCAAAATGTTTGCATAATTTGGTGGTCAAGATAAACAAAGTCATTCAAAGTGGTCTGATATGCAATGCCTTGCAAATTCGAACTGTTCACAACAGTGATGATGGGAACCAGATGTCTGAAGAGTTCAATGGTTATGAATACACTGCCTGATACAAGTCATTGTTTTACAATAGTTTTGAGAAGATTTTGGCCTAAACTGTACTTTTTTTCTTCTTAATGGTGGAGATGCACATGCAGGGTGAGGCAAAATAATTCAGAAAGAAAAAATTTCTTCAGATTCATCACTATTTTACATCATCAGCATTACTTATAAAAACTCAAGACATGTGTAGGTTCACTGGAGGTTTTGGATAGTAAATAAAGTGGCTATATTTGTGGTGTAGTCATGGTGACCCCTGGTTCCTATCACCACCACTGTAAAGAAACCTGAGTCTGTAAATTTCACTACAATGAACCATTTCACACCAAACCACTCTGAATGAGTTTGACGTCTGCAGAAATGTTGAAAAATCTGAGGAATTCAGCTTCAAGATGCAGTTTAGAAGCTGGATAAAGAAAACTAAAAAAACCTGAAAAACTACTTGTAGCATATTTTTGGCCATAGTTGCATGAATTAAATTGAAGTGCATTAAATTTGAATGAGACCTGCTGTGTGACTTGGTGTAGAATAGCCTGTGTCCACTAAGATAAGCCGTGCACGCGCATTTAAAGCTTATTTTTTGCAAGTAGGGACTGGATTTGTACTCTCTGTGCAGCTGTACTCCATCCCCAAACTGATCAGGCTGTGGTTGAAGTGGGCTTCACAATACATGCACAAAAAAGCACACGCACACTCTCTCGGGTTTGATTGGAGATGGATAAGCCGCATTTAGAGTAATCAGTGAGTCTGGCTCGGCTCGATGTCAGAGTCAATAATGGCAGCCCATGTAACTCCCCTTCAGTGTAATGATAAAGACTGCTCTCTCTTGCTTCCTGCCTCCCTCGCTGTCTCTCTCTTTCTCTCTGACTGTCGCCTTTTCCCTTTAAACCCTTAAGATATAAACTGAATGTGGGTCTATATGCTTCAATTCCTCACTCTCACAGTTATCTACGAACTAAAGGTACATTCATTCTATCGCAGCATCCGTCAGAGGAACTCAAACAAACAACGGATTATTTTAAGATCCAAAAAAACATGAATAAATACTACATGTTTTTGATATTGAACAATTACAGGATGACAAGGCTCAGCCTACGGTCATTGGTTGGGCATTCTGAGGTCAGCACAGCGCAGGGCTAAGTTCAACAAATGTAAACTTTGCGTGCAACCGAAGCTCCACGCAGCGTAGCAAAAACAAATCCGTTAAAAGTGAATGGACGAGATGAGAGCAAAACCGTTTTTGTCATAAAATTACTGAGTAAATCAAAACAGTCACCTAAAAATAAGTTGGAAGAGGAAGGAACTGAACAATAAGCCTACAGTTTAAAACGATGAATAGAACAGCTTGACAAAGACATGCTAGCATGGCTAACAACCAATGAAAAGTCAGAATCGGTTAGAATGACCCCATTTGCATAATGCTAGCTGGTGACTATTCATTTTTATTCTTTGTTAGCAACATTTAGCTTTTTTTGACTGAACCTTTCCCTTTAAAAGAAGGCCATGCTAACACGGCTAGCAACAAAGGGACAATAATAGTCACCAATTAGCATGATCCATTTGCATGCTAACTGGTTTCTGTTTGCTTTCATTCATTGTAAGCATACATACATACATACATCATCTAAACCGCTTATCCTTCTGGGTCGCGGTGGGGTGCTGGAGCCTATCCCAGCTGTCATTGGGCGGAAGGCAGGATACACCCTGGACAGGTCTCATTGTAAGCAATGTTAGCTTTTTTGACTGAGCTTTAAAGCAGAGATTTCCAAACCTGGTCCTGGAGAACCTCCTGTCCAGCACATTTCAGTGTCTTCAGCTCTTAAACACCCACTTCACCTCAGGAAGGGCTGATTAATTGGATCAGGAGTGTTTGGAGCAGAGCAAACATGAAAATGCGCAGGGCAGGACAGGAATAGCTTGACCAAACAAGCTAACATAGCTACCAAGTTTGTTTACGTTATTCCTGTCTGACTCCAGTTGCATAATGCTACCTAGTGACTGTTCACTTGTATTCTTTGTTAGCAACATTAGCTTTTTTGATTGAACTGTTATTTTAAAAGAATAGCTTGTCCAAATATGTGAAGCAGCTAGCAACAAATGGAGGGTGATATCCACCACTTGCACGACTCCATTTACACGCTAACTGAAGGCTTTTCTCTTTCATTCCTTGTTATCATCAGTGGCTTTTTTTGACTGAACTATTCCATTAAAAGAATAGCTTGGCCAAATATGCTAGAAATGTTAGCCACAAATGGTTGGTAATTGCTATCATTTAGCATCATTTATATGTTGGGGCTATTCTCCTTCATTCATTGTTAGCAACATTAGCTTTTTTTGGCTGACTGATTCCTGTTTTAATCTGCTGCCTTCATTATTCCTGATGTATTGCTGATGTGTTGCAACTGAAGGAATAGGTGGCTACAATTTGAATATATGAATATATGAATATATGAAAGAAACTGAAACAGATTGGTGTGTGACAATGCTAACCATCTGTTTATCTCTCTCCCAGGCTCTGGCTATGACTGAGGCGAATGGACCGGTGGGGGGCCCTCTGGTGGTCGAGCCTCAGATTGCGATGTTCTGTGGTCGTCCTCTCCTGCACATAAACACTGAGACCGGGCAGTGGGAGCCGGACCCTCAGGGCCGTCAGGGCTGCTTCACTCAGCCTAACAAAATCCTCTCCTACTGCCAAGAGGTACGCTTAACCACACTCACACGCATATTAGAGCTGCATTAATATATGGAGAAAATGCTGTGTTTGGTTATACTGCTACATACTGTGATCGCCATACAACTTCCCTGCCAAAAAAAAACAAAAAAAACGGTCATCTGGACCATCTGACCCTGTTTAAAGAAAGCGACAAGCAGCACTTGTGACTTGTTTCTCAGTCATATGATCAAATGTACCTTCGTTTATTTCGGTTCATTTGAGATGGTCTCCTGAAAATGTAGGAAAAGAACCAAAAGTTCAACCCACTCGAACATCTCAACCTCTTGTAACACATTAGGAACTTTAATACAGCAGTAGAGTCAGGCTGGGTTATGTACCCCAGCACAGCATTTCTGCATTGTGGTGAGCATTTTGGTGCACAGATCTGACCTGTCCATGCTGTGCCTACAAAAACATTGTTTTCTCAGTGCACACTGCAAAAAATGATATCTTAGCAAGTGTAAACGTCTTAAATGTAGTCAATATATCTACTATTTCTCATTATGAGACTGTCGTAAGAATATTGTGAGATTATTTAACTTATTCCTACACAATTCAAGCAGTTTTATGTTATGAAAGCACCTTGTTCCATTGGCCAATCATTTTACTTGTTTTAAGCATTATTTCTTGAAATTAGCAAAATTATCTTCATTATTTTTTGAAATAAGTAAACTGTTTTGCCAATGGAAAAAGACACTTTTACTAGATAAAATCACTTAAAACAATAATAAATGTACAGAAACAGGTGGAATAATCTTATAGTATTCTTTTTTTTTTTTTTTAACAGTGTCATAATGAGAAATTTTAGATTTACTGACTACATTTAAGACGATTTTGCTTGTTAAGATGTTATTTTTTTGCAGTGCAAGCTTTAAAGAACATTGGCAAAAATTCCACTCGACCTAATGGGAGTTTTCTAGCGCAGTTATAACTCAGTTTTTGTTAAAAATCTTAATCTTAAATTGCATATATTTTGGATTTATGTGAAAGGCCAAACGGTTACAATAGATCACGTGTAGTTTTTTTTTTTACTAGTCAAGCTCATGTTAGCATGGTGGTTGTGCTCTTTATTAAACTCGAAACTTAACATTTTGTAACTACTTTAATGGTACGTTTTCACTACATGCAAAATCCTTGGCTAATATTTGACTCCTGTTCATTTTCAGTGGAGAGAACTAAGACATTGCATGAAGGACTGTGAGATAGTGAGGCGCAAGAAGTTAAGCAACAACAAGGGTAGACCTACGTAGTTCTGTCTAGATGAAATGAATGAAAAAGTACTGTCAGGACCCTTTTCGTACTCTGTTGCATGGTGTGGCTTATTTAGAGCCTTTACACTCGTATTTATAGGCCAGTAAACTTTTACTGGTACCGTTTAAAAATAGCAGATTTGAGTGGAAGTGCGTCACACCATTGTACATTGACAAAAAATAAATTAGGACTAACTTAACTAATATAAACTCCCTCCTTTTTTCTACACTCACTGTTCATTTTATCAGCTCCACTGACCGTATAGGAGCACTTTGTAGTTCTACAGTTACAGACCGTAGTCCATCTGTTTCTCTGCACACTTTGTTAGCCCCTTTCACCGTGTTCTTCAGTGGTCAGGACCCCCTGAGTGTAGAAAAAAGAAGGTAGTGTTAATGTTGTGGCTGATTGTTGTATAGTCTATCATACTCAAGAGACTGTTTTTAGAGCTAGGTTTATGAGAGTTGTCTACTTTAATAAGAAGAAGATTTATTATGACTGGCAGATCTGTTTGCATCCTGCATTGTAGACACACACGCTCCTTAAGCAGCGAGGCACCACATGTCGTGAACAAATACCGTAAACAAAGGCCGCTCATTAGGTTAAATTAGATTTTTGCTCACGTTCTGTAAAGCTGGACACCTGGCCTTACTCTAACATGACAGTCTGTTGTATGGTGTTGCAACACAGAATACAGCACTTATTCAAGTTTAACTCTGGAGCGAATAATATTTGGCGAATTAGGCGTGCAATAACATGCTGATGATATCCGCCATCAATCAGCAGAAGAGATTTATTTGCCGTTTGCCCCTCCGGCCCCTCAGGCAGAAACATATTGTGCAGCTAACGTGCCATCGCTTCCTCCAACTTAAGAGGATTTTTGCTCTGCCCTGATCTTATCTAGTGGAATTAAGGATGTGTGATGATACTTGGTTATTTTCCCTGCCCAATCAGGCTCTCCTTGGATTCGTGTAGAGCAAGAGTAGTTGTAGTTGCAAAGTACTGCTCTGCTTCATCTCTGAGAAAAATATTGCTTCTGGATTTGAGTGTACGAACACTTACTGCATGGTGTTATTATGAAAAACCAGCAGCACTGGAAGATATTAGATTCCAGTTTAGCTAGTTTTCTTTTTAAAATAATTTAACTGGCTGACACCACTTCATGATAACATTAGCCTACTGGATTTTTTTTTTTCGTCTATTACTGTGCCCTTAAGATTAAGCTCTGTCCTGATTGGTTGTCATGCATTGTGGCTAATTCAAAAAGCAGTCTGGGCTGAAACATTCCTTATAACTTCAGAATGGGCGGAGCTAAACTGCTGTAGACTGAATAGGTGGATATATGTGTACAGTCATAGGTAAAAGTGTGGGCGCCCCTGGTTAAATGACATGTTTTTGTTGATTTTCTAAGTGATTTTTACAGCAGCACTTTAGGGCCACTGTTACAAAAAAAATAATAATACACTTTGAGAATAAAGTCATAATATTTTGTGATTAAAGTCGGATTTTTTAGAATAAAGTCGTGATATTTTGAGAATTAAGTCGTAATATTTCAATAGTATAGTTGTAAATTTACAAGAATAAACTCACAATATTTCAAGGATAAAGTGGGCTAATTGTAGAGGGGCTGCCGTAAAGCACTGGGGCCTCGGTTGCTGTACTGGTGACTTCCACTCACTCCTTCGGGATGGATCATCATTCCTGTAAAACTACATACCCTCTTAGAATGGCACGGAGGTGTAACCACCAATAGCCGTGTAGACAAGCACTGCCTGCGATTCTCCTTCAGCAAAAGAGACAATTTCCTCCAAGTCTGTCTGGTTCTTTGTTCTAAATAAGCACAGTTTCCTGCACAGCCATTTCAGCCATTTCTTATACTAATAACAATCTGGTGTTGATGTGCCAGGAGAGACAGGGAAACCGATTTCAACCATAAAGTGGCCCTAAAATGCCATCGTAGATTTTCTACAGAAAACACACGTCTGCACATTTTAATACACAGTTACTGTTTATTTGCTGAATGGAAAATATTGGGTAATGTAGCCTGCATAAAAGTTTATAGGCACAGTTTATATTTTTTTTTCCCCCAATATGTCAAATGCAGGCGGCACGGTGGCGCAGTGGGTAGCGCTGTCGCCTCACAGCAAGAAGGGCCTGGGATCGATTCCCGGCCGGGTGACCAGGGTCATTTCTGTGTGGAGTTTGCATGTTCTCCCCGTGTCTGCGTGGGTTTCCTCCGGGTACTCCAGTTTCCTCCCACAGTCCAAAAACATGCAGTCAGGCCAATTAGACATGCTAAATTGCCCCTAGGTGTGAGTGAGTGTGGACTGTGTATGTCCGACCTGTCCAGGGTGTATCCTGCCTTCCGCCCAATGACAGCTGGTATAGGCTCCAGCACCCCACCGCGACCCAGAAGGATAAGCGGTTTAGATGATGGATGGATGGATGGATGTTAAATGCAGCACACAGACAAAAATTTTCACTACAACTTGCAGAGTTTATTCTCTGTAGAGGTTGTGATAACTTGTTAGGATTATTTTGTCGATCGTGTGTCAACAAACCTTTTGCTGGTTTTGTGACATCACAAAAAACAAATTTAGAACCGCCTGTTTTTGCAACTTAATTTCTGTATAGCGGCTGTATGGACTGTGGAGAATATATATACATACTCATATACATACACCAAACTCTAATATATCAAACTTAATCATACAAAAAAGTGAGGAAAGTTTGTTTTTCCATGATATGGACCCTTTAATCCTTTTGCTTTGTGTCGTATCAGCGTTTTATGTTAGTCTAGCATGGACAGCATCCCTGTACTGCAACACTGCATCCTCAGTGAGGTGGGGTTACCTCAGCTAGTCCAGTCCAGCTCCTTCGCCAAACACTGCGAATGTACTAATATACTAATTCCTGCCGCGTCTCCTGCTGGCACACTCCACCATGCTGTACATACATGGCTGCTGTAAGCGCTCGTCCCACCGAGAGATCTCACATGATAGATTTAATGAAGTGAAGAAGCCAAAGAATATGTCATTTCCTTGCTGGATGCTGTTCAGATTAGCAGGCTGTCCACCGGTGGAGAGCTATCCTGCTGCCAGAGTGTGTTTTCAGCAGAATAATCCCTCGCCATATGCCTCTACAGCGAGAGAATGGCAGCAGGATCCATTGCAGTTTTCTTTCCTTTGGCTTCCTTAAAGAGCCCATATGGAAAAACACATTTTCCTTGCATTTTTTTAAATGAAAGAGTTACTATTCAGTCCCCAGTTCATTCCGACTGTATATGGAAAATAAGCTGCCAAAACAGTCCATTTTGGATTTACTGATTTTGTGATGTCACAACCCATATGCACAGGAAACATATTTCCATTTTTTTTTGATATTTTGTATTGTTTGTAATATATTTTGACCTATATTTAAGTAGAAAAAATGTCCCTGTATTTTAGTACATTGACACGTATGTGCACATGACTTTTTTAAAATATTCAAAAATGGCACAAACATATTTAGCGCACATATGAAACATGATGTATATTGCAAATATATATTTAATACTAACAAATAAAGGAGTGCGTTTACATATCTTCCTCTTCAGCAGTTTAGTTACAGCAGTTTAGCTTCTTGCATTCTCAGTGAGTGCGTTCACATTCTGCAGTTATCTGATTATTCAAATGGTCATGTAAACAGCACACTCTGATTTCTTAGATCAGAGTAAGGTTTAGAAATCCGATCTGGAGTTTAGCTCAGTAATCAGATTTCTCAGTGCATGTAAACCTCTTACTCTGATTTGCTTTCGTATTTCTCAGTCTGCGCATGTGCGAAAAACAGGCCGCTGGTACCGGAAATAAGCAAGCAGTGTTGCCAGCAAGATGCAGCAAAAAACTATTGGAGCGACGCTGAAACCAAATACATGCTTGATGAAATGAAGGATTCAAATATTCTTCATCATCTAGATGATGTATGTTCATATTTTCAGGTAAAGTGGCTGGTTCCAAAGCAGAAATCTGATTACTGTCTGACTCATGTAGACCTGGAGTTTCCACACTATTTGATTACTCGAGTGCATGTAAACACGTTGATTGGGTTACTGACAAAATCTGATTTTCTGCAGTTATCGGATTATTAAGGGCATGTAAATTCACTCAGTAAAGTTATAAGGTGTGTCTCCACCCAGACTGCTTTTTGAATCAGGCGCAATACAACACAGTTAATCAGATCATTTATATACATCAGTCTTAAAGACACAGTAACATAAACAACTTGGTCAAAAAAGGGGGAAAGCAGCCATGAAGAAATGAATTATGACTGCATTTGGTACATAAAACCACACAGACATTATGATGAATCTCATGGAAAAAAGCAAAATGCAAGAAAATTGAAGATATGGGTGCTTTAATATGAATGGACATTCATGTGAGCTATTAGCTGTGATTTAGGTGGCATAAACGCTTTAGGAATATTCTATGAATATTGAGAATTTCACCTGAATTCAAGCATAATGACTAAAAATGTGCAACAAAACATGCATGCTGGTTTATTTTAGTCACGTGTTAACTGTGTGCTCTCTCTGGCTAACCTTGTCTTGTGCTATCTGACCTATATATGTGGAAATATATATAGCAGAGTTATGAACTGCATGAGGAAATATACTGATGTATTTCCTGAATAAGTGTGAATCTCCATCAGCTCTATCCTCTGTGCTAGGCAGTGACCTCTCCTCTCTTTATTTAAGGCCATTCTCTTTCAGTGATTTTGAGACACTTTTGTATAACTTTAATCACGTATCAATAGCACATAAATAAAAGTCAGTCTATTTTATATCCCATATACATTCTCTTTTAACATTTCCTCTAACTGAGCGATTCAGAAGACTCCTATAGAGGAAGTTTAGCATAACCTTCTAGAGGAAAGTATGAAAATGCACAGCATCAGAACTCTGCAGTCTAAGCTGTGGGTGTGTATTCATCATGATGACACTAAAAGTGCTGATCTGGGGTTATTTCATGGTCAAGTTAAAGGAATAGTTCAGTTGAACGTCCAGTTTTTTCTTTACCCCACTATATGACATAGTATCATTTTAAAACTGACAAAAGTGGCTTGCTTTTAGCTTTGGTACTTTTGTCCATTTTTATAGATAACAGTGTCAGAAAACACATAAGCAAGTCTATTAGAGATTACTGAACAACTCAACACAGTGGAAGCAGTTTGCAGGATATTAATTGGTGGATACAGGCTTCCATATTAGCTTTGTAGCATTGCTAATTGATAGCATATAAGCTTCCATTAATTGTTAACTAAATTAGCTTTGCAGCTATGCTAATTGATAGCATGTACGCTTCCATTACTTGTCAACTACATTAGCTTTGCAGCAATGCTAAATGATAGCATATACGCTACCACTACTTGTTAACTATGTTAGCTTTGTAGCATTGCTAATTGATAGCATATATGCTTCCATTACTTGGCAACTACATTAGCTTTGCAGCAATGCTAAATGATAGCGTATACGCTTCCGTTATTTGTTAACTACATTAGCTTTGTAGCGATCACTGCAGAACTAAATAAGCTTTAAGCTTTAGACACCAAACATGTATATGTGTATATATATATATATATATATATATATATATATATGTATTATTTTAATGACAGAATGATCGTCCTTAGCCAAGATCTGCACTTTATTGTCCAGCACTTCAGATGAACATATGATATGGAGGATACTGCAGTCTTAGATTAATAACTTAACCACCTCTAAAAATAGCCTATCCACAAAAGTAACAGCCTTAGCTTGGAATTAATATGCTAACACTGAACCTTTGGGCAAGGTTAGCATTGAGGTTTTGTGTTTTAATGTAAGCTGCTTGACTCTGAATTGGTATTCATGACTAGACATTAGGGTAATATAGCGAGCTTTGTGGCTATGCTGAATAATTAACAAGGAGGAGATATTTCACTGTGCAGAAGATGGGAATGTGCCTTCAAGGACAAAGCGCTTTAGAGCTGCATTGCTCTCCATTCTTTCCTCCTTGCCCCTGTTTCTCCCTCTATTTTCCTCAGTGTCCCTGGACCATCCCCCCAGTCCCTCAATCACTTTCTCCGGCCTTTCTTTAATCTGTTTAAACCCTCTCGTATCTCTCCTGTCTACCCTCTGTCCTTTGCTCTTTCCTGATTCCATCTGTCCTGACTCCTCTCCCTCTGTGTGTCCGGCTGTGTCCATGTGTATGTCTGTGTTTGTTTCAGATGTACCCAGGTCTTCAGATCTCTCATGTGGAAGAGGCCTCTGCTCCAGTGACGATCCCAGCGTGGTGTAAGAAAGGGTGGGGTCACTGTCAGACTCGTCAGTTCATCGTCATCCCCTACCGCTGTCTGGGTGAGGCACATGTTTCACGTTTATTACTAAACAATATTATTATATGACATACAAGTGTATGGGATGAAAAACATGGTTCTTCGAGGATTCTTTAGTGAAGACAAAGGTTCAGTTCTGAACCATTTCGTGCTTAAACGGTTCTTTGCATGGTGAAATTGTTCTTCAGACTGATGAAGAACGTGTCATCTATGGTTCTGTGTAGAACCTTTTTGAAATTGGGTCTATATAGCACCAAAACGGGCTCTTCTATTGTTACAAGCTTGACATCATTTTTTAAGATCCTTTTAGCTTCTTTTAAGGTGAAGTTTAGAGACTTAGAACTGAGTTCCAAACATGTTGTCCCACATTTTCATGTCACTACCGAAACACAGAGTTTTACTATGTGGGCGGAGCCTTATTTTAGCCACGCCCCTGCATTTTAGAGCAGGAAATGAGGCTGCATCCCTGTCCCTCATGGCCACATGGTGAGCAGTTAGATCCTGTTGTTTTGAGGTAAATGTGTCACAAAGGCTGAAAATCAACGTGGGACATCAAATAATGTCACTACCGAAATACATATTTTCTGCAATTAAGTAAATATTTTTGTGTTTTAACAAAAAATATGATGATTTTATGTGTGTACAGCTGTTCAAAGCTGTGTCTGCTAGTCATGTACTGGCTGGCGTTTTTGAGTTCTGCTAAAAATGAGCTAAAATTGTCACGACCGAAACAGTCACTGCTGAAACATGTGGTAAAGTTTCGGTTCTGTTGCAGTTGTTTTGATAGTGACAAAATCGAATTTTCTGTCATTTGTTATAATAAAATAAACATAATTAAAGTTTAGGGTCACTCAAAAGGATTTTAGTCTGAAGTCCAAATCAGTTAGATGTCCAAAAATGTGTTTTAAGCTCTTTGAACCAGTTTGGTGGAATGATATATCATAATAATGTGGAATATTCTATATAATATAGAATATAAACTGTATCAAATGTATGAACTCGCTCTTGGTGTAAAGCTTAATTTGAAATCTAAACCCTTATCTCATAAAGCAAACTGCAGTGCGCATCTGACTCAGTGCTAATCATGATAAACGAGTAAAATCTGCACGCACAGCTGTTTCGCTCCAAGTTGTCCTTGATTTCTGCTTGCACATCGTACATAATGATTCTCTAATAAATGTGCTGCATCAGCCCAAGTGGGCATTTAATATATGCTAACTGTGTCTGCCATTTCTCCATTTTACTCCACCATTATCTGCCTTGATTTCTTTCTTTTCCACAATCCCTCTCTCTCTGATGACCATCTGCTTTTCCTTCCTTTCCTCTCCCTCGGTCATTCATCTGCTTAATTGTACTTTAACTCCTCATGATATGCAGTACTGTGCAAAAGTCATAGGAGGCCATAAGAAGTGTTTTAAACAAAAGTGAGTTTTTACAGTAGAAACACTGTATAACATTAGAATAAACACAAAACACACACAAAAAGGAAAATATAGAAAGAAATGTTTTTCAAAAAGTTATGAGTTTGTTAATTAGAAGAAAACAGTTGAAAGAATGCAGGTTTGGTTCCTGGCTTCTCTCTGCTGTCCAGCCATCACATTGATTTGTACAGCCATCACACTGATTTGTTCAGTTTCATTAGCAGCACCTGATTTAATTTAATGAAGTTATGATTATATAAACTAGATATTTGATGGTGACTTTTTTCTTTCAAAGTATTTTGGATATTTACTTAATTGTCTCTCTTTCTTCTTTCTCTCTCTCTCTCTCTCGCTCTCTCTCTCTCTCTCTCTCTCTCTCTCTCTCTCAGTAGGAGAGTACGTCAGTGAGGCTCTCCTGGTTCCTGATCGTTGTCGGTTTTTACATCAGGAGCAGATGGACTCCTGTGAGAGCTACGTCTACTGGCACAACATCGCCAAAGAGGTGAGGAGCAGAGTTCATCAAAACAAAGCAAAGTGAATACAGGCTGTGTTGTAGTACTTGAGTCCTGTCTCGTTATCGAGAGTGTAGAGTGTCTGTCTTGGTCTCTACATCACTTGGTCTCGTCTCGGTCTCGGGGTAAGGTGGACTTGGAAATTGTTCTCTAGACCGGCTGAGCGTGATGACTCAGTCTGAGATCACTGGAACCTGAACTTTTCTTCTCTCATTACTGAATATAAATAAAACCTTCATACAGAAGAAAACAGTCATTTCTCTGCATGTTTAAATAAAATCTGTTCGCTGCTGGTTGAGGATCTAATTGATCTTTTCATGATGGATTAACTGGGTATTATTTGTTTGTTGATGTTCTTTGTTTCCAAAATTCAAACATCCCTTTTGAGGCCAGATCAGAATGTTAGTATTATTGTGTTTTCATTTAATAATGAAAATTAATGTATGTGGTTTATATTCAGTTGACTTTAGGTGGTGATTCTGAATGAGGTTTAGGGAATAACCTCACCATCATTTGTTTCCCAAAGTTACGATGCAAAGTTGGACTAAGACTGTAATATAATGATAATAATTTATAATATTTTTAGTCTGTATATTATTTAATGTTATATCTCAGAAAATATATTGTATAATATAATATTTTAATTAATATTTACATGTGTTGTGAATGATAATTAGTGGACTATAAACAAAATTCTTTTTATTTTTATATTCTCTGGTCTCGGTCTCGGCCACTCCTGGTCTTGTTCTTGACTCAGACTTGTCTTTAGTGGTCTTGACTGTAACACTTACTGCAGGCCATGCTTTACAGGCCTTTGCCACAGTTAAATTGTGCCTTTAGGCCAATATGGTCTTGTTAATTTTGTATTAATAATCATACTAAGCAGTTCTTTTGCCAAGCAGTGTGGTTTGTTAACTGTTGTTGCTAAGCAGCATAACACTCAAAGATAAATCCCTGAGCAGTTTTACAAAATATTGGCAAAAATCACATTTAACCAAATAATTAAGATAAATTTAACAATTTAGATTTATATTTGCTGCATAGTATTGAGTTTCCAGTTTACAATTCTAGGCTACTCATACAGAAATCGGATATGTGGCCATATATTTACATATATCATAAAGGGTCAGGCATACACCAATCAGGCATAACATTACCTGCTTGTTTCTATGCTCATTGTCCATTTTATCAGCTCCACTTACTATATAGGTGCACTTTGTAGTTCTACAGTTACAGACTGTAGTCCATCTGTTTCTCTGCATACTTTGTTAGCCCCCTTTTACCCTGTTCTTCAGTGGTCAGGACCCCCATAGACCCTCACAGAGCAGGTACTATTTGGGTGGTGGATCATTCTCAGCACTGCAGTAACACTGATGTGGTGGTGGTGTGTTAGTGTGTGTTGCGCTGGTCTGAGTGGATCAGACACAGCAGTGCTGCTGGAGTTTTTAAACACCTCAGTGTCACTGCTGGACTGAGAATAGTCCACCAACCAAAAATATCCAGCCAACAGCGTCCTGTGACCACTGATGAAGGACTAGAGGATGACCAACACAAACTGTGCAGCAGCAGATGAGCTATCGTCTCTGACTTTACATCTACAAGGTGGACTGACAAGGTAGGAGTGTCTAATAGAGTGGACAGTGAGTGGACACAGTGTTTAAAAACTATATAGTAAGTGGAGCTGATAAAATGGACAATGAGCGTAGAAACAAGGAGGTGGTCATAATGTTATGCCTGATCGGTGCATATTTTAAAAATATATATACATACACTATATGGCCACCCTTGAAGAAAACAAGAACTATGTGTTGACAATTTCATGTAATGTTTTGCTGAGCAGCTGAACACAAGCCTAAGATCACTATGTGCAATGTCGAGCGTTGGCTGGAGTGGTGCAAAGCATTCCACCACTGGACTCTGGAGCAATGAAAACGTGTTCTCTGGAGTGATGAATCACATTTCGCTATCTAACAGACTGATGGACAAATCTGGGTTTGGTGGATGCCAGGAGAACGTTACCTACCAAAATGCATAATGCCAACAGTAAAGTTTGGTGGAGGAGGGATAATGGGCTGGGGCTGTTTTTCATGGTTTAAGCCCCCTAGTTCCAGTGAAGGGTGATGTTAATGCTACACACAAAGACAGTTTAGACAATTATATGCTTCAAACTTGGCGGCAGTTTGAGGAAGACCCTTTCTTATCCCAGCATGACTGAGCTCCTGGGCACAAAGCGAGCTCTATAAAGACATGGTTTTGACGAGTCTGGTGTGGAGGAACTCCAGTGGCCTGCACAGAGCCCTGACCTCAACCCCATTGAACACCTTTGGGATGAACTGGAACATCAATTGTGGTACAGGCCCTCTCATCCAACATCAGTGCCTGGCCTCACAAACGCTCTTTTGACCAAATGGGCACAAATTCCCACAAATACACACCAAAATCTTGTGGAAAGCTTCCTAGAAGAGCGGGCTCTATTATAGCTGCTAAGGGGGGCAACACCAATATAACATCTGTGGTTTTGGAATGGGATGTCCAACAAGCTCATATAGGTGCGATGGTCAGGTGTCCACACTCTTTTGGCCATATAGTGTATATGTTGTGCACATATATGCAAAATATATGGATCATAGATATATGTCTGATACGTGGGTGAATACATTGCAGTACAGTTGTGTTTGCTGTCACTGTGTTATCTGTTTAAAATATTAAAATTTTAATTTCATGTTTTAATGAATGAATAGCTTACATTTTTACAGTTTATGTGTGTATTCAGCGAAGGTTTTTGCGAGTGGTTCATCCAACCAGATGTGTTGAGAACCGCAACCATGAGTTTTATAACCTTTTTAGATTTTACAGTGCTACTTTTGGCCAGCCTATTAACAAGAGCTGGGTGGAGGCCACAGGGGGTCACTCCATATTCCTCCGTTCAGCTTCTTTCAGCCCACTAGAGATAATTTCTCAGACTGCAGTACAGTTACTCAGACAGGAGGCTCATTAAAATTTCACCGCTCTTAAACACCCAGTAAAAAGCTGGTCTGTGACACGTTTATGTGGAAAATCAGTCGGAGAAAAAGGGAATGGAAACTTGTTTTAATGTGAAACTTTCTTTAAAGCAGTGGGTTGGCCAAAAATGAAATTTACCCGATTTCACACTTATTCCAAATCGGCCTAGATCATCACAAACTGGGTTCAGATCCTCTCGAGTGGTTCAGTAAAGTCACACAGACTTGTAAATGAGGTTTCCAACACTGTATGACATGCTGTTATCTATAAACATGGAGAAAAGTACAGGAAAAGTTCGACTTCAGTGTTGCTTTTCAGCTGTTGTTGTTCTCTCTCTCTCCACGTTCCACCATCTGCTGAACCTCTAACCTGACCGAGTCAAGTGATATTTGTTTATAGGGAACATTTCAAACAACAGAATCCAATAAACCAGTTCAGTCCTTCAGAAAGACTCAATGAACCTCTTTAACCTTTACAACAGATTCTGCACACTCATGTGACATTCATGACTCTCTGATTTTCTGTCTCTCTCTTTCTGTCTTTCTCTCTGTCTTTCACTCTCTCTGTCTTTCTCTTCCCTTCTGTCTCTCTCTCTCTCTCTCTCTCTCCCTCTCCCTTTCTCTGTGTCTCTTTCTGTCTTTCTCTCTCTGATATTCTTTCTCTTTCGCTCTGTTCTCTTTCCTTCTGTCTCTCACTCTCTTTGTATCTCTCTCTGATGTCTCTCTCTCTCCCTGTGACTTTTTTCTCCCCTTTCTCTTCTTCTCTCCCTTTTTGATTTCCTCTTTCCTTCCATTTCTCTCTTTCTCTCTCGCCTTCTTTCTTGCTCTTATTCTTTCTCTCTTTTTGACTGTCTCTCTGACTTTCTGTCTCTCCTTCTATCTCCCTCCCCTTTCTCTCTCTCTGTCTCTCTATCTTTCTATTTCTCTCTGACTCTCTCTCTTCACTGCTATCTCTATCTATCCCTTTCTATTTCTCTCTCTATCTCTCTCTTTCTTTTGCTTTCTGAATTTCTCTCTTCCCTTCTGTCTCTCTCTCTCTCCCTTTCTCTGTGTGTCTCTTTCTGTCTTTCTCTCTCTGATATTCTCTTTTGCTCTGTTCTCTTTCCTTCTGTCTCTCACTCTATTTGTATCTCTCTCTGATGTCTCTCTCTCTCCCTGTGACTTTTTTACTCTCCTTTCTCTTCTTCTCTCCCTTTTTGATTTCCTCTTTCCTTCCATCTCTCTCTTTCTCTGTCGCCCTCCTTCTTGCTCTTATTCTCTCTCTCTTTTTGACTCTCTCTGACTTTCTCTCTCCCCTTCTATCTCTCTCTCCCCCTTTCTCTCTCTTTCTTTCTCTCTCTCTATTTCTCTCTGACTTTCTCCCCTTCTATCTCTCCCCCCTTTCGCTCTCTCTCTCTGTCATTGTCTCTATCTCTCTCTCTCTGACTTTCTCTCTCCCCTTCTATCCCCCCCCCCTTTCTCTCTCTGTCTCTCTGTCTTTCTCTCTCTCTATTTCTCTTTCTTTCTTTTGCTCTCTGAATTTCTTTCTTTTCTTCTGTCTCTCTCCCTCTCTCTCTCTGATGTCTCTCTCTCTGATGTCTCTCTCTCTCTCTCTCTCTCTCTCTCTCTCTCTCTGTGACTTTTTTCTCCCCCTTTCTTTTTTCTACCTCTCTCTGATCTCCTCTTCCCTTCCATCTCTCTCTTTCTCTCTCTCTCTGACTTTCTCTCTCTTTCTCCCTCTCTCTTGCCCTCTGAATTTCTCTCTTGCCTTCTATCTCTCTCCCTCTGATTCTGTCTGTGTGTATCTCTCTGACTTTCTGTCTCTTTCTTTCTCTCTATGACATTCTTTCTCTCTCCCTCTTTTCTCTTATTCTCTATCTCTCTGATTCTCTCTCTGACTCTCTCTCTCTCTCTCTCTCTCTCTCTCTCTCTCTCTTTCTTGCTCTCTCCAGGCTTGTACAGCAGACAGTCTGGAGTTGCATAGTTATGGGATGCTGTTGCCATGTGGCGACCGTTTCCGGGGAGTGGAGTATGTGTGCTGCCCAGGCCGAAGTGGGGCAGGTGGTCGTGGAGAACCAGAGGGAGTGGACTCAGCTCAGGGGGCAACTCCACCTCTAGTGTCCCTGTCAGGGGAGAAAGAGGCCACAAGGTAAGAGAATCACACCATTTTCATTCACAGCGTTTTTTCTTGAGGTTTTGGAAAACTTATCCTTCAACCACAAATCCAATTTACACAGCTTCCCCACCTTTACCTCAAACTAGAGAGGCAGACTTTCCTCATCCAAGACGCTGAAGCTATGAGACCAATGTGGCAATCAAGTATATGGAAATAATGTAATGGATGCATTTACCCCACCAGTTAGCGTTGTAAATCATCAAACACCTGTATGTATCTGAAGTTCTTGTTGTCTCAATCTGTGCTCTTTCTTCCGTCAGTGTGAAGGTGACGCCCCCCACTCCCAGCCCCTCCCCTGAAACAGACATAGAGGAGGATGACATGGAGGAGGAAGAGGAGGCTGTGGAGGAGGAAGAGGAGGAAGAAGCGAATGAGGAAGAGCAGGCCGAGGCAGAGGAGGAAGAGGAAGAGGAAGAGGAAGAAGATGAGGAAGACGATGAAGCAGCAGCCACAGCAGCGAAGGACCCTGAGGAATACGAATATTCCATCGACTCCGGACCCTATCAGGCATCGGACTACCTGGACAACTTCTACTATGACAAATCCGGAAAATCTGCGACACAACAGCCCCAAACCCGCGGAGACAGCTGTGAGTGACCCCACTGTAAATGTGTTTAATGAAGACACATGAGACTAAACTACGAGGTCAATAGGAAAACCAAATTTTTAAGATTGCTTGTTTAAGTTCAGACACCCCCGGTCAAAGTGCACATTCTCTTGATTTTCTAAATAAAAATAAGTTAAGCTCTACAGAGTGTACACTTGCATATGGCGTTTTACTGCAGATTTTAGAACAAATTTTAGAAATTTCTATTTATGTGACATATTGGAAATTTTCTTTACACACACACACACACACACACACACACACACACACACACATATATATATATATATATATATATATATATATATATTGCTGCTGTTGTCATTTTGTTGCCATTATGTGTAGATTTCATGATGAATGGACCAAAAGAAATGGCCCAACCTGGCTTGGTAAAACGTCTGGTATATATATATATATATATATATATATATATATATATGATATATATATATATATATGTGTGTATATATATATATACATATATATATATGAAACAGGGGCGCCCTTTATCTATCTATTCGACCTATTCCTACAGCAGTTTAGCCCCGCCCATTCACACTGACGTTATAAGGAGTTTTATAACATCAGGGTGACATTATAACACCGTTTTTTAATGAGTCACAATGCAGGGCAGCCAATCAGAACAGAGCTCATTTACATATATATATCTTAAAGGCACAGTAATGTTCTGGTGCGTAAAAAACACACTAATGCTGTGAGCGGGCCCATATGCTACAAATAAAAATGCAGAATATGTGTCCTTTAAGAATGACAAAAGTTGGAAAGACTGTGCATGTGCTTTCTGTCTCTCCACTTTTATTGGGCTGGATACATGTTGTGAGGGTTTAATGAAGCAGAGGCACGGAGGCAGCTTCAGGGAGTCAAAAATGACCGTTTTAATCATTTGAAAGGTAGAAATATGTAAAATACCTTAACCGCTGCTGTCAGAGCAAAACCTCATATCTCCAAAAATGAACTTTACAGGACAAGGAAAAACATTCTTAACTTTTAATGGAAGTAAATGGAGAACAATTTTTTTCAAATCACAAAAAAAAACAAAAGACAAAAAGGCCAACTGCCTTTTTCACATTATGTCAAAAAATGAAAATATGAGGTTTTGTCCCGACAGCAGCAAAATACAGAAGATGCATAGTTATAGTTCTCTGTACAATTTGGATTCACCCTCAATAAAGGCACCACATTACCCAGAATTCATAGCAAAGATATAAACATGTACATTTATACCCACACTTTCCTTTAACCCACCACCCACTGATCCACCCTGCAGACACGGATGCTAGAGGAGAACAGATAAGAAAGACAGTAGAATGTTAACATGTTTGAAATGTTAGTAAAGTGTCAAAGTATTACAAGGTAAAACTAACTCCTCACTGCTAGTTTGCACACCTAGCATTGAACAGTGCAATTACTATCCTATTTGTTTTCACTTCTAGCATAGAAACCATGTCTAAAAGGACAACATGTAGTTCATAGTAATAAGATATTGATATAATTACATTAACATGATACACAAGTAAAAAGAGTAATTAAAGTGTAACTACACCCTGCTGTTTTCAGCCAACTCCACCCCTAGCTCAACTTTGAAAAATGCTCAAAAATGGGAGGGGCACGCTGGGAGGCGCACTGCAGTGATCTACTGGTTTGGAGGTGGGGCTGTGAGGGTAATCGGGTGGGCTGGGCTGCTGTGTTACGTTAGCTACCAGAACACACGGAGAGTGACAGAATCAAAGATACCTTTGTGACTTAGACGTCTTACGAGGTTGAAGATTTTTCTACACCACCATCCCCATTTTCGACGAGAGAAGGTGTTTCTGCTCAGGCAGTGCGTCTTGAGCCTTAACAGTATGAGCCACTGACTCAAGACACTGAAGAGTTAATGTAGTGCCAGAAAATGATCAACAGAGGGCGGCAGAGGCGCCGAACGGTAGAACATTCCCTAAAACCGTCACAGCTCGCTTCTAATTATCTGCTCAGCAGGTCCACATTCGACATAACCCGAACCCTGATTTCTTAGATGTACTGAATTCCGAATGAATGAAGTAGAATTCTTTAAACACTGTCGAAGTTTCATTCAGTTTTACATCAAGCTATGAAAAACAGACTTCTATTAGCCCATTAGGGTACCATTTCTTTTTATACAGGTGTACTTGTGGGCACTGTACAAATCTCCCACTTGTTGAGAACATTTGCAGTGGCCGAGATGTCACCAGGTTGATGTGGTACACCTTCTCACTGGTCATCCAGGGGTGGCTGCAGTGGCCCTAAATAGAGACTTGCAATGATCCTCACTTAATCGATCCATCAGGTCACCTAATCATACACTGAATGTTATCAGTATAAGGCTAGTTAAGTCTAAAAGGCTAAAAACTACAATATCTACCAATACAATAACTAAGAATTACCAATAATAACTAACTAGAACACTCAGTAACGCGCTAAATGCGATGAGACTATATGTATGGAAAAACATCCAAAACAGCACCGATGTTCTCCCTCGCTCTAGACTCTAGACTATGGTTTCATATTTATGAGGGCGGCACGAGCAGAGCCATCCCTCTGCATGGCTCTGGGCACAAGTAGGGTGTCATCAGGAGGTGGTAATGTTGGTTGCCTGATTTGCATACTGTGACACGTCATCCACGCCTGTAGCAGAGTTGAACCAGGGGGCGCTGCAGAGGCGAAACTGACCAAGATAAAAATGATATTTTTACAGTTTGGAAAGATGTGTTCACATGTCAAGCAAGGCTGGTGTATATTATTATTACAGAGCAGTGCATTTCAGCTGTTAATAAAATAAAGGTCTTAGGTTGTAGTTCCTCTTTAAAATCAGTAAATGAGAACTATAACTTGGACATATAGACAATAATGTGTTGTTATCCATCGTGTGTACCGTCCATCATTAGCATGACAGCCCTGGGCTCATGCTTCATGCTCGGATCTTATTCTGAGTGGGCCGTCACACATGTGCAAGCCCCCCCACTCCCCCCAGCAATATAGATCGGACAGTGCATTTGCAGATCCTCAGTCTCAGCTCCATCTCAAACTCAATAATGCTGAGTACGGCTCAGACTGTATCTGTATTGATCTCCGCCCAGCTTCTCTGAGTAATACTGATGACCCCTCCTCTTTCTCTCGGTCTCTCTCTGTTCCTATTCCCTCTTCTCCTTTATTTTAGAACATGACTCACTGATTGATTGATTGATTGATTGATTGACTAATGAATTGGTTACACTTGACTGAACGGTTAAACTAGAGAAAGTTACATGAAGACTAAAGGCTAATTTATTATTACGCACATAAAAAATGATTTGATGTTTTAACTTGAAAAAAAGGCAAGTACTTACTGAAATGCAACCAATAAATAAAAGCAGCACTGTGAGCCTTTTTATTAGTTGAAAAATTGAAAGAAGTAGCATTGCTTAGTGAGGATATGTGTGCAGGTGAGTGTGCACTGCTGTGAGTCACCTTGAAAAGCATGAAATAATCATTTAAAAGTCAGATACATTGGGTCAGGAGTTGTTCACACCATGTTGTACATCTTTACATGTTAACGTCACACACAGGCTCAAAAGGAAGGTCCAGCTCAATGTTTAGGTCTGAAATGCAAATTCAGCATCATGCTGATTATAACATGATGACAATTAAGCAATAGAACACTTGAGGTTGTGTGTTATCGCAAATAACATCACGGCTGGGATTTGACCGTCGTACATCATCACAGCCGTGATGTTATCCTGGAGTGCCCTGATCAAAGAAGCCCTGAAATTTAAACTGAATATGCTTTAATACTGACAACACCTTCCGCCAAAAAGTAGTTTCACAACAAATGAGTTTGTGCTGTGCAACAGCAATAATTTGGTGGGGTCGGCAACATGCGGCTCTTTTACTGCTCTGTTGCGGCTCCACAGCAGAATTAGATTTGTAGGTAAGAATAAAATAATCCTCCTTTGCAGTATAGAAGTGTGTTCACTTATTTTAACTTAGAAAATCAACAAAACATGTCATTTGACCAGGGGTGCCCCAAACTCATAGGACTGCATGTGATAAACTAGAAACGTAACAGTTAACTGTAGCATAAAGCGAGTTGCTTAGCAACTGGTGCTGAGTGGATTGATATTAATATACAGTTATTGTGAAAAAATGGGTAGATATACTTCTCAACCAATCAGACTGCGTCACTGTCATTTAACAGAATGTAACATTGATTATTGTTTTGTTAACTTATTATTAGAAAGTCAGTGAACTCATAAATTTAAGACAGGCTGATTACTTTCTGTTTTACATTAAAAGAAAAAGAAGACAATAATTTGATGGCCTCGAGGCGTTACATAATTTACTTCCCATTTATTTTATTAATGGACATTACGGACAGATTGATGAACTGATGTACTGACTTATTTGTTCTGTCTCTTTTCTAAATGGCAGTGCCCACTCCTCGTCCTACAGACGGAGTGGACGTTTATTTTGAAATGCCCAGTGATGACAGCGAACATGCTAACTTCCTCCGTGCCAAGATGGACCTGGAGGAGCGGCGGATGAAGCGCATCAATGAGGTGGACCATCTTACTGTAGCTTATAGAGGTGTAAATCTCCAATGTCATAACCGTTGTATTTGATTACAGGTCATATATAAGTTTGTGCTCAAATTTAATTAGATTTACTCTTTAAAAATCTTAATAATTCTTCAAAAATACATTTCATACCCAAATATGACCAGAAAAACTATTTACACAGTAATGGGGACATACAGTACTGTGCAAAAGTCAGAGACCAGCCTTCAGTTAATTTTTTAAAGTACAAGTTATCTATTTTTCAAGGTGTCTTTTGGGAGATTAGATCTAATATATTCCACATGCATAAAGTCAAAGAAAAATGAGTGAAACTGGAGTTCAAAACATTATTAGCAGTTACAAAGGAAATGAGACCCCTAACAGCCACCTGCAAGACCTGATAGACCACCAACGCTGACCCCATCAGATAAACAGCACTTAAAGCTTCCATCTTTTTTTTTTTCTCCCCAATTTAGTCGTCTCCAATTCCACCCGCTAGTTAGGACTCCCCCAATCACACGATGCTATCAACGCTAGGAGGGTGAAGGCTAACACAGGCTTCCTCTGAGACCTGTGAAGCCAACCACCGCTTCTTTTCGAACTGCCGCTCACGCAACGTCACCGGACAGCCGGACGCGCTCGGAGGAAAGCGCCAACCGCCAGATCTGTTACGTCAGCTAACAGACGCCTGCGCTGACTAGCATCGAACTGAGTGATGGGGGGGGAAGGAGGGGCCATCCTACCCACCCAGAGAGAGCGAGGCCAATTGTGCTCTCTCGGACTCCCGGCTACAGATGGCTGTAGCATCACCAGGGATCGAACTCGAAAGCTTCCATCTTTGAGAGAGAGGAGAAAATCAAGCTGCTTCAGATCTGAAAACATCCACAGGTGTTTCTGTCCATCCTTCCACTGTGAGAAGACGACTCAGCGCTATGGGTCTGAAAGGACGTGTAGCTGTCAAGAAGAACCTCACTGAGAAAAGGAGACGGACACATCAAACAAAGAAGCTGAACAATGGACTGACCACCCCAGAGTCCAGACCTTTTTTTTTTTGAAGAAAAATAGTTAATGCTGCTGTGTAATTTTTTGTTAAAACTATGTTTGTGTCATTTTTACTTAATGGCTGTTAGACTGGATATCAAATAAACGAAAGGACTTCTGCACATTACTGTAGGCAATAAAAAACAATACGCTAAGATTGTTTTCTTTGGTTTTACATTTAAAATAGCCATAAAATTGTACTTTGGCCAAAATATGTATTGATTATAATTGAGCATTCTAACATTTAAAATCAGTGTAATTTAATCTGCACCATCATAATACTTGTTTTACCTCCATAGAATTTGTAGTTACTCTATATTCTATATAATTTTTGTAGAATTATATATATATTCTATAATCCATGTGTCAAACACAAGATCAGGCCCGTGACACAATCCTATCCGCCCCGCAAAAGTATTTTAATCTTCTGTTAATATTAGCCCGTTTCACAACGCGCTGCACTACAGTCCCCAGCATGCACTGCAACGTTATGTGTGCTCTGACTGTCCTACCCCAACAGCAATTTATGGGACAGAAGTTACACCTCAATTCTACACAGTTCTGCACAATTCCATACCAATCATATCACCAAACACACTAACTGCATTTCAGCTGCAGTTCAACCAACATAATGAAAAATGAAATAAAAACATTGTTTGTCTGGCCCACAGATTTGTTGAGATGTTTTAAAATGGACCCTTTAGTGGTTCCTTGACACCCCTGTTCTATTTCATACTCAATATTTGATTCAGCAGAAAAATTAAGTCTCAGGACTTGTCATGTGACTATTTGTGTGTGTGTGTGTATCAGATCATGAAGGAGTGGGCAGAGGCAGACAACCAGTCCAAGAACCTCCCCAAATCTGACCGCCAGGCACTGAACGAGGTAAGACAAACATTAACATACATGATTACTTAGCATCTCAAACTCTAGGCTTATTATTCCATCACAAAAAGACCAGTAACTGTGAATTAATTCAGTAATTACTATGACTAATATTTTTAGTAACCCTATAATGTCCTTATCGCAAATGTTTAGTTTCCTTTGGTCCATGTTTTCTGAGCCTGAGCACAATTTGAAGACATTTGTCAAGTTGGTGAAACTTTTCATATTAAACTTAGTCTCTCTCTCTCACTCTCTCACACTGTCTCTCTTTTTCCCTCTCAGCATTTCCAGGCGGTGCTGCAGACTCTGGAGGAGCAGGTGGCCGGTGAGAGGCAGCGGTTGGTGGAGACTCATCTGGCCCGCGTTGTGGCCACTCTGAACAACAACCGCAGACTGGCTCTGGAGAGTTACCTCAGCGCAGTACAGAGTGACCCCCCACAGGTACGAGAGGGAGAGAGAGAGCAGTATTACCGTAAATACAGAGGTTCAGATACACCGCCTGTACAATAAATCATCATTTTTGTGATGTTTATGCGATCGTTTAAACTCAGCCGCTGTCTATTACATTGTTTGAAAATTTCTTGACGAATGGACCAATAAAAATGCTCCAAAATTGCTCTGCATAAAATCTTTTTTACATTAAGTTACATTAAAAGTTAAGAAAATTTTTGTCCTCTCCTGTAAATTCACCAATTTGGAGACACGTTTTTCTTTGGACAGTGGAGAAATGCACTGATACACAATCTGTAAGATACAACAAATGACAACAAATGGTATTTTCTTGTCTTTTTAGTTTTTCAGTTACATTTGAATGTTATTTTTTATGCAATGTTAAAAGGCTTTTTTTAAAGTACTAATTTTATGCTTTTTATTGTCTTCACAATAGTTAAAATAAAACGTTCTTTTTACTTTCTAATAACAACAAATAATAATAATAATAATAATAGTAATAATAATAATACAGTTTGCCACAAATACTACTACCACTACTACTACTAATAATAATATGCTCAGTTATCTCCTGATGCACTTAAATGAATAGATGAATAAATGATTGAATAAATGAATGAATCAATCAATGAATCAATCAATAGTTATTTTCAATGGGCTTAGACAAAGACACAGTGTAATAAATTACCATACATGATCAAATTGTTTACACTAAAACAATCCTGATTTCTCTCTCTCCCTCTCTCTCTCTCTCTCTCTCTCTCTCTCTCCCTCTCTCTCTCTCTCTCAGCCGGAGCGTGTGCTGCAGGCTCTGAAGCGTTATCTGGCTGCGGAGCAGAAGGACCGGCGACACACACTGCGTCACTATCAGCACATCGAGTCTGCGGACCCTCAGAAGGCCGAACAGATGAAGTTCCAGGTGACCTGCACTTACCATCATTTATCCACCAGCCTGTCATTTTCTATCTATCCATTCATTTCACTTATTTCAAGAAATAATGCAAAAACAAGTAACATGATCTGGCAATGGAACAAGACACTTTCATAAGATAAAACTGCTTAAAAACAAGTAAAAGTGTCTAGAAATAAGTTAAATAATCTCACAGTATTCTTACCACAGTCTCATAATGAGAAATAGTAGATATATTGACTAGGGTTAGGGTTAGGGTCAACTTTGATTTATGGTTGACACTAATACTGAAGAAAAATCACAAGCGAATGACATATTTCACGTCAGTAATACAGGATACAGCAACATTTACTGACAGCTGTTACTAATTACAGCATTAGCTTGCCATAGAGCAGATAACTACATTTAAGGTCCTGCCAGAGGTGGATAGTTCAGCTCCAGGCAGTAAAAGGATTTTGATCCAACTGCTTGGTTTTTCTAGTTACCTCAAACCAGCAGTACAGGTTGGAGAAGCCTGGGGAGGGTGCTAGCCTGCTAATTCTGGAGTAATGAGAAGTGTTTTGTGCTTGCAGGTGTACACTCACCTTCACGTGATCGAGGAGAGGATGAACCAGAGTTTGGCTCTGCTGTATAAAGTCCCCACCCTGGCTGAGGAGCTCCACGACGAGATCCGTACGACTCGCTACTCCTTCTCTTTAAGTGACAGACAAAAAATCTGATTTACTCCGTTACCCCAAATGTAGTCACCCAGCTAAGACATGTTTGGTGTCTGAATTTTGCTTCTTTATTGTTGCACTGGAGTTATAAGGCTGTTAATAAAGCTATGAATCTTATTAGCATCAGTTAGTTATGCTAACTGCATGCCTAAGTCAACACACAGCAACGCACACTCGCCTCAAATCATCCACCCATGTCAATACTGTTTTTAACGTGCCGTCGATGACTCGGGTTCTTCATTACCACTCTGCAAAATTCAGAGCTGTTTATAAGCCGTGGTAGAAAAATCCTTTATAATAATTAATATTTAAAAACTATAACATTCAATTTGCAATGTTCAAACTGAGATTCAGGTAGCAAGCTAGCTTTCATACTGTTACACTTGTCTGCTGATGTGGCTTCATTACTCTTACTAGTTAGTAAACTAAAGACTGTACAGCTATCAAAGTTTATAGCCCGACAAAGCAATTATTCACAGAAAGTATGTTCACACAGCACTAGCTCACTGTTGCTAACCGAGTATTGTGCCCTTCGCTGTGCGCGCCGTCCATTCTGCTGCGAGTGGATATTTGTGTAATGCAGGTTTGATGAATCCAGAGGACTTGTAGAGAAAGCGCCAACCGCCAGATCTGTTACGTCAGCTAACAGACGCCTGCGCTGACTAGCATTGCGCTGAGTGATGGGGGGAGAAGGAGGGGCCATCCCACCCACCCAGAGAGAGCGAGGCCAATTGTGCTCTCTCGGACTCCCGGCTACGGACGGCTGTAGCATCACCAGGGATTGAACTCGAGATCTCTTGATGATAGAGCCAACGCTTAGACGGTTGCACAACTTGGGAGCCTGCTTAAACATTTCTAATGTAAAAGAATACAATCATTTCCTGAACACAGAACAGCACAAAACATATTAACACCGCTGTTATACTTTTAAACGCTTTTAAACTCGAGTCATAGGAGTTGTACGTTCCGCTTGCCAACCAGTCAGCACTCAGTAGCAGTAATGTTAACATCCTTTCCCCCAAAACCCATTTGCTGTAGAAAAAAGCAAATATGTAGCCGAGTTTTCTTTGTTTTTTTAGTGATTAGAAACTATTTCAACTTTTCGTTTTTAGCCGTTTAGCTCTATTCACCCCTATTCATTGAGGACTCGCTCGCCGGCGCCCTCTACTGTTTTCAAGTCCTGTTTTTGATATAATGGAGAAAACAGGAAGTGACCAGGCTCCTCATAAACCGGCTCTCATAAATGTTTGACTGGAAATGGGGGAGAATATTACAGAAGTATTGAAACAGTGCCTGTGATGAGTGATTGAGTAATCTCAAATAGACTTACACTGACAGTTTGAATGGACAGAAGTAAGGTATGAAACAGTGGTAGCAGTCAACTTGAAGCCTGAATTGTGTCTGTACTTTTCATTTTTGGCAGATTAGGAACGCTTTAATGTAGGTCTGAAAGAGCTTAAGTAGTAAGAAGCTGAGTTACATTACATAACTGCTCAATTACATGATATAGAAACATTAATTGAATAGCTTCAAATATATCAGTTACATTATTACCCCATATTTACTCTCTCTCTCTCTCTCTCTCTCTCTGTAGAGGAGTTATTGCGGACAGAGAGAGGAGATATCAGTGAGTTGATGACCACTTCGTTCTCTGAGACTCGCACTACGGAGGAGCTGCTGCCTGCGGAGAGTGAGGAAGAGAAGGATGATGAAGAAGAAGAGGAGAGGGAGTTCCAGAACCGACCTTACCCACCCCGCACAGGTACGCAGACACACACACACACACACACACACACACACACACGAGTCTCTGAAAGCCACTCCCCCTTCTGAATGCAAAAGTGAACACCTTCTGGTCAAATTCCATGTTTTATTGATGTGAAAATAAGTTAGCACATCTTCTATAGGGGAAAAACAAAACTTAAATACGGTAGTTTTCTGTAAATTGTAGTTAAATTCTGTAAAATATCTGTCGCCCTTTACATTGTGTGTAAATGTCATGGTCTATGGACCAAAAGCAATGGACAAAACTGACTTGGAAAAAAGTCTGGTTCCATTGACTTACATTACAACCACAGAAGTTTTTCCTTTTCCTGTAAAGTTATCATTTTGGATATACGAGGTTTTGGTCCAATAACATCAATACATATTTACACTGATCAGGTCCTTGTTTCTACGCTCATTGTCCATTTTATCAGCTCCACTTACTATATAGGTGCACTTTGTAGTTCTACAGTTACAGACTGTAGTCCATCTGTTTCTCTGCATACTTTGTTAGCCCCCTTTTACCCTGTTCTTCAGTGGTCAGGACCCCCATGGACCCTCAGAGAGCAGGTACTATTTGGGTAGTGGATCATTCTCAGCACCACAGTAACACTGACGTGGTCGTGGTGTGTTAGTGTGTGTTGTGTTGGTCTGAGTGGATCAGACGCAGCAGTGCTGCTGGAGTTTTTGAGCATAGAAACAAGAAGGTGGTCGTAATGTTATGACTGACCGGTGTGTATATATCATATATTTTGAAGTTTTTAAGTTATTTATTCCTTTTACTGGTTACCATTTCTGAGATATGAGGTTTTGTTATCACAGATCTGCAAATCGTCATAAAAGTTTGCTAGACAAAGACACTGACTTGTGCTGAGTCACGCTCTTTTTTCTCCAAATGGAGATTGATTTCAGAGCTGTGGCTTTAATTCTCCAGGCTGGCATGTACAATATAAAGGCAATGCTTTGAACTCACTGTCTTCTTTGTGGGTGTCTCTTCCTGATGCATTATTTAGACTTTAGGTACAGTCAATACTGTTGCAAACCTAATATCTGTGCCTTTGTCTTTATCTGCTGTTTCCTTCTTCCTTCTTCTCTTTCTCTTAATTTGATCTTTCCTTCCTCCTTCTTCTCTTTCTCTGCCTTTATCTGGTCTTTCTGTTTCTCTTCCCTAATCAAGACCCACAGCCGAGCAATAAGAAAGGTACGGTTCGTCGTCCTGTGCTGTGCCTGTGCATTTAGACTGGCTTTTCCAAACGTTTCCAATGTTTTCATTTTTCGTCCTATATTTCATATGACTTTATTCTCTGCCCACAGTGTCTGTGGACGAGTACGATTACACCACTTCTGAGAGAGGTCCCACCTACGAATATGAGGAGAAGGTAAAGATGTACAGTATCATAACTGTGCTACATAACTGCTGGATCAACATTTGTGATTATTCATCACATTTTCTCTACAGATTATCCACAGATACTCAGAGGCTTAAGATTTAGGTTGAGGTTAAATGGGAATTCCACCAATTTTTTAAATTATTTTCCAATAATTCATTCCATGAGATGTAAACAGATTCATCCAGAGTGGTGGTGATCACCATGTCTACAACACAAATATAGCCATTTTATTTACTATCCAAAACCACCAGTGATCCTACATGTGTCTTCACAGTTTTCATATGTAATGTTGATGATGAAATGGTCATAAATCTGAAAATATTTCTTTGGGGAATTATTTTCCCTCACAACGTGCTGCATATATCCCTCCGCCATGAATGGATTAAAGTAAATGGATTCAAATACATTTTAAGCCAAACTTTATCACAAAACTATCATAGAATAATGTCTCAGGCATCATGCAGGCTATATCTAATCATTTCATGTAAAACTTTCTGTGAGGAAGCTTTTAAAGGCATTGAACTCTTCAGACGTCTGGTTCCTGTCACCACCACTGTGAACAGTTCTGTCTCGGTAAGTTTCTCTAGAACAGAGCATTTCACACCAAACCACTCTGAATGACTTTGTTTACATTTCAACCATTTAGTTATGAGAATTTTTTAAAAATCTTTGGAGTTCCCCCTTAAGGTTAGGATTAGAGTGTTAGGTTTAGGTCTAAGTTTGAGGATAAGAGAGTTATTGTGGCCTAAATCTAGACTTTAATCTGCTGTATGTAGTATTCGGCAGTGCAGCATTGCATCCTCAGCCTTATTGCGTAGACAAAATTCACAAATTTATGTTGTTTGCATGTTTTCGTTCATCAGTGTTTTCTCACTACAATACCCAGCATTCATTATGCAAATGCATCATACAAACTATGGGAATCTCTGTGGTGTTAATCAATCATGACTGTTAGCCTAGCAACTGAGATGTAGGCTAATAAATGCAACCACCTTGAGCAAGGCACCTAACCCCCAACTGCTCCCCGGGTGCTGCGGATAGGGCTGCCCACCGCTCTGGGCAAGTGTGCTCACTGCCCCCTAGTGTGTGTCTTCACTAGTGTGTATGTGGTGTTTCACTGCACGGATGGGTTAAAATGCGGGGGTGAAATTTCCCCATTGTGGGACTAACAAGGGTCACTTAATCTTTATTCCTCAGTCACCCAACAAAATCATAAAGTAAACAGTGATTCTGTCTTTATTCGTCACAAAATGAAAGCCTGAGACTTTTTTACCCTTTTAGTCAGAGAAAAGAAGCCAAACTGAGGTATTAGCCTAGATGGCCAAGTCCTTTCTGTCATTTGAGCGATCCATTCTCTACAGTGTAATGATGACATGAAGGCAGTTACCACAATTACACAGATGTAATGGGATATTTAGCTTCCTAGCAACAATGTTAGCTCTCTGCCTTCTTTCTGCATTTACCAGCTAGCAGGAATAAAATCAAACAGCCCACAAAATCCACCCTAAAGCAGCTACACTTCTTCAAAAGTTCCCCCCACCTTCAACATACGTCATCAGCTGTTATTCCAGTGTGAAAACCTCACCCTAGAGACTCTTTCGGCTCCACTGTAGGAGGAGAGTCGGCATGTTTACAACAGACATAGCAATGGTTTAGTTTTTCACTGTGGCTTAAGTGTCCCATTAAGGTTAGTGACAGAGAGTTAGGTTGAAGGGTGAGGAATAACTTTAGTTAAATTTAATATATATTGAGATGAATGTAAATAAAACACAGTAAGCATCTACAATTTATCTACAGAAAACCGTTCAAAGAAAGTGTAGTTATGTTTATAGTGCTGCACCTGTGCACAGTGACGCAGTACAGATCATTTAACACTAGAGGGCGCTGCTGGGTTAAAATCAGTTGAAAATAAGAGCATTACAAAATAAGAGGCTACATAATTTTTCTCTCTTTTATGTTGTTATCTGTTATTTTGAAAACCTTTCCAATCTATTCAAAATTATATTAATGTGTCTAAAGAATGTAGTATTGGGATCTATTTTCTCTATTATTAGTAAATTAGCACCTTTTTTTCATAATATTGAGACTTTTTAGCTGGTAAAGGATTTAATGATATTCTAAAATTGTGAATAGCCTGAAAGGGCACCTATCATCGAAATCTGATTGCCCCCCCTTTTTTTTAGTAGTATGTAAACACTGTTTCCGAAACGTAAGGCCGTACAGTCCATATACAGAAACTAAGCTCAATAAATTTACTGAATTTATTGTGATTTCATACTGAAGAGTCCAAACCCACAATACTATATATAAAAACATATAACACAGCACTAAACACGTTGCACAGCGATACACTCCTTCAATGCAAACTATACCATTTACATACATCCACCTGTTCAGTTTAGCTCCAGTGACTCATATTGAAGTTCAAAGAGTGTTTCAGCCTAGACTGCTTTCTGAGCAGCCAGTTGGAAAAGAGATCATTTACATATATCAGTCTTAAAGACACAGAGGTTGGAAAATGATCATGAAAAAAAATGTTCTGATTAATTATAAAATCACACAAATGTTATAAGTGGACCTCAGTAGGCAAAATAAAATACAGGAATATTGTAGGATTTTTATGTATATATATTAATATTTGTGTGTTTGTGAAAGTGGTAACACTTTAATTTGCAGTCTCTTACTTTGTAGGCTTTAACTGTGTAAGTGTGAGGTACAAACTCCAAAATACTGTGTAACTGTGTTGGATAACATGACTGTCACAGGTTCTAGCTACTAAGCTGATAAAGGACAGAGTAAAAGAATGTCATAATTTGGTAATTATTCAGAGTAACAAGGTAGTAAATACAAAAAAAAAAATCACTAAATGTCACTGTAATGTCATAAGCAGGAACGTAAGTCATAAAAATCTGTAAGTAAATCATAAAGACCCAGTTAAACTGCAGCAAGAATAGCTTTTTTTACAGCAAAGGTACATATTATATAAGTCTATTTGCTCAAGTGTCTTTATACCACCACTTTACCCCATGTATCCACCTGCTGCTCAGAGAATTTTTTAAATGTACTTTCCTGTTTGTGATATTACAGTGAAATTTAGTGTGAGTTGGTTTGTATAACCTTGGTACTCCAAATAATTATTAAATTATTAGATATTCTACTGTCTTTTGTCAGCTTAATATCTAGAACCTGTTAGTCATTTCAGGGTAATTTAGTTAGATGTTTGGGTACTTACTGTCATTTTACACAAAATAATACATAATTACAGAGTACTTTGCAAGTCGTACCTCACACACCCTTAAAGGGGATTTTTTTTTAATCCACATGATTAAATAGTTGAGATGTAAACAAACTCATTCAGAGTGGTTTGGTGTGAAATGCTCTGTTCTAGAGAAACTTACAGAGTCAGAACTGTTCACAGTGGTGGTGATGGAACCAGACATCTGAAGAGTTTAATGCCTCTAAAATCTCCCTCACAGAAAGTTACTACATGATGGTTATGAATACACTGTGTGATGTCTGAAACATTCCTTTTCAACACTTTTGAGATAAGATTTCGGGCTGAAATGTTTTTTAAGAGTCATTCACGGTGGAGTGGTACATGCAGGGCGTTATAAGGTAAGATAGTCCCAAAAGAAAACTTATTTCTCCAGATTTCCGCTACTTTACCATCATTAGCATTACATGTAAAAATAAAGAAGACTCGTGTAGGTTCACTGGTGGTTCTGGATAGTAAATAAAATGGCTATATTTGTGTTGTAGTCATGGAGACCCCTGGTTCCTATCAGCATCACTGTAAAGAAATCTGAGTCTGTAAGTTTCTCTACAGTGAACCATTTCACACTAAACCACTCTGAATGACTCTGTTCACATCTCAACTACTGGATTATGCAGAAATGTAGAAAAATCTGTGGTATTTCCCTTTAATACCAAGAGAGGAGTGTTAAAGAAAACGTTACCATAAAAGATGAAATATAAATCAGCACTGATGGAACAAACATTTTCTGAAATAACTTTTCAAGAGATATTAAAAAAACATGATTAACTTAAAGTTAAAGTAATGAGATTTTGGGGCATTTCTGTTCAGCAAATACAATTTCACACTAAGAGTGACTGATGTTTTTGAAATGTGTAAAAATAGAAATAAAATGGAAAAAAATGCAGAAATAATGTCTTATTCTGACAGAAAAAACACTATTATTACTATTATTATTATTATCATTATTATTATTATTATTATTATTATTATTATTGTTGTTGTTGTTGTTAAATTTGTCTCTCTGCACTTCAGATCAACACCTCAGTGGAGCTGAAACAGGTGGTCTACAAGTCCTCAGGAATCCAGAGAGATGAGCTGGTAAGCGTATGGAGTATATTATGGTCTATGAAATGTGATCTAACTATTACTTTAACAGATGTACTCTCCTGGTGCTGAGAGCTGGTGGATCAACACTTAAACAGACAATGCTATAGTAGATAGAGGACCAGACAGACATATGTTCAGAGGAGCTGAGTGAGACGCCAAAGTACTAAAAATCTAATCATCACTCCATCCATCTACCCATCCATCATCATCCGTCCCTCTCTCCTTCCTCAGCAGCCGGACGTTCTGGAGACGTTTAACCGCGGCGCGATGGTGGGACTGCTGGTGGTTGCCGTGGCGATCGCAATGGTGATGGTCATCAGTTTGCTGCTGGTGCGTCGCAAACCGTATGGCACCATCAGCCATGGAATCGTAGAGGTGAGAAACAGCTCACTTCACTGCACTATACCGTCCAATGTTTTTAGATAGATAAAAGCAGATAAATGTATAAAATGAGTCTAATGTGTGAGTCCTGGGTTAAAAAGGAAACTGTAAGAAATGTTAGATGTGCACAGAATGATGAATATGTTATAAAATGACAAAAAAGAAGAAGATATAATTAAATTAATGTCCACAATGTCTCATATTTCAAAAGTGGAGATTAAAGAATAAGGCAGATTACTTAACATCTGTTATAAGCAGGTAATTAAAGTAGATTTATCACTGAATAACTTCTCATTGTTTATAAAACATCTTATAGAATAAAATAAAAAATAAAAAAATGCCAAACATAGAATAAAATATATAGAAAAACCTTTTTGGTGTCTAGATTATGGCACTTTGTTTAAGTTATTACTGTATGAAATAACAGTAATGGTTAATTTAATTCCAAACAAAATGGCAAACTTCACAGGTTTTCTATAAATTAGCATTTCATCAGGATGTTTACTGTTCATAGGCTCAGCTTCCTGGACATGGATTGAGCCTAGTCATGGGTTAAATTAAAAAGGGTCATTGGTGATTCATATTTAAAAGGCCTTATAAGTCTAGAGTTAAGATTAAAGGGGAATTCCACCAATTTTCAAAACTTCTGCAACAGTTAGTTCAAGTGTTGTGATGTAAACATTGATTCAGAGCGGTTTGGTGTGAAATGGTTCATCATAGAGAAACTTATAGCCTTATAAGGAGAGAGGGACGGATGATGTCTTATAAGCCTTATAAGGAGAGAGGGACAGATGATGTCTTATAAGCCTTAAAAGGAGAGAGGGACAGATGATGTCTTATAAGCCTTAAAAGGAGAGAGGGACAGATGATGTCTTATAAGCCTTAAAAGGAGAGAGGGACAGATGATGTCTTATAAGCCTTATAAGGAGAGAGGGATGGATGATGTCTTATAAGCCTTATAAGGAGAGAAATAAGAAGAAAGGCTTATAAGCCTTATAAGGAGAGAGGGACAAATGATATCTACAATGCAAAAATAGCCAATTTATTTACTATACAATTATTTTATTACTATTTTATTCACTATTTTTTGAAAGTAATGTTGATAATGATATAATAGTGCTAAATCTGGAAAAAAAATAGCTTTTTGGGGACTATTTTGGACTGCATGTCCCCCTCCACCATGAGCCTATGTTAAAAATATATATACTTTATGCCAAAAGCTTATCACAAAATTATCGGGGAACAATGTCTCAGACATCAGGCAGTGTATTCAAAACCATTTCATATAATAATTTTCTGTGAGGGAGATTTTAGAGGCATTAAACTCTTTAGACGTCTGGTTCCTATCAACACCACTTTGAACAAATCTGATATTTAACATGAAAAAATGGGTGTAGTTCCAATTTAATCTCCAAGAAACTCAACAGTATATTAATAATCTATCATACGTCCATTTTTATTGGTCTTATTTTGTCCTTATAAATCTTCAGATATTAAAACTTCAATTTACATTTCACTTCATTCAATTTGCATCTTTTCTCTTTTCTAAGTGTTTTTAGTTTACTTACACTGAGCTTATAAATGAAAAGCACTACATTATTCAGGTTTGTTACTTCTTTTTAACATGATGACAAAAGCATAATGTTTACTCATGCTAAAAAGCGTGAGCTGTCAGCTCTGGCAGGCTGGTCTTCTTTGAGGGATCGTTACATTTTATTGGAGCTTTATTTTCAAAGTACAAAAGGACATTTTAAGAAAAAAAATGTTTAATCCAGTTATCAATATCATAGGCTTTGCATACTGATCATGGTGGGTTGTCGTAGGTGGGCTGCACAGAAGAAAAGATGATAAATTTGATCAACACTAGATGGCACAGTAGACCACCGTATGGCTCTGTGCCTTGCATGTGAGCTCATATTTAGTCCAGACTGGGCCTGATCACTCTACACCTTAACCCCTTAAACGGCCAGGACCCACTGACTGGCCTAAAGTTTTATTACACACTTCTATAACCTAAGAATAGCTCAGCCAGTTTGCACTGAAGCCTCTGTAGTTACTGAATAACAAGCCTTAGTATGTAATACTATTAAGTAATATGAGTACATAATAAGTAATAGTATCACATAGTAGTATTAGTATGTAATACTATTGAGTTTTTAAGGGATTAACTTGTGCCACACCTGCTCCACCCTGCTCCACATCACACTCTGTGGCCAGTTTCATACAGTTTCTGGCATTTTCAGGGTTTTGCTTGTTTTATGCTTGACGTCAGAAACCAGCACAATACATCATTAGTGCAGCACTGCTGTGTCTGATCCACTCAGACCAGCACAACACACAATAACACACCACCACCACGTCAGTGTTACTGCAGTGCTGAGAATGATCCACCACCCAAATAGTACCTGCTCTGTGAGGGTCCATGGGGGTCCTGACCACTGAAGAACAGGGTAAAAGGGGGCTAACAATGTATGCAGAGAAACAGATGGACTACAGTCTGTAACTGTAGAACTACAAAGTGCACCTATATAGTAAGTGGAGCTGATAAATGGACAATGAGCGTAGAAACAAGGAGGTGGTCATAATGTTATGCCTGATTGGTGTGTGTATATATAAGAAAAATGCATAAAAACCTATTCAGGCACTGAGACGTCTTTCCAACAAAAACGATTACTTGTAAGTTTTCTGTAATGATGGATCAATGAAAAGAGAAATAACTATATGAAAAGATAACTCTCTCTCTCTGTCTGTCTCTCTCTCTCTCTCTCTCTCTCTCTGCAGGTTGACCCTATGCTGACCCCAGAAGAGAGGCAGCTCAGTAAGATGCAGAACCACGGCTACGAAAACCCCACCTACAAATTCTTTGAGCAAATGAACTAAAGGAAAAAATGTATATGTATATGTATACCCACACCCCCCCCGCTCACGTCCTGTTTACTAGCAGGGGTTTCCATAGCAACCCTCCCCTCCCCGTATACCGTATGTACGTTTCCATGACCGATGTTCAAATTGAAAAATCAAACATGGCACGCAAATAGGGAGTTTGCACTAAAACATTAACCCAAAACGCCCTCAAAAACGAGGAGAGGAGTCTAATCAGCGAATCGGGGAGTATACATATGTGCGTGTATGTTTCTTATCCCCAAAAATTACTATTATTTTTTTGTTTAGACGGATGCTGAAACCATGGCAAGGCTTACACTTCATACAATCATCCAGAAAACAATGCTGAAACAGTTTCAGTTTCTGGAGTAGTTTCAGCGTCCCTCTGTTTTTGAGTGAAATATGTGTCTAACATGTCGTAGAGCACTTTTTTAATGGTTTTCATTTGAAAGAAATTGATTTAATGTGAAACTGTGAGGATGAAATTATATATTTTTATTTCAATATCCAAAAACTTCTGTGAGGGAACTCCAATGTAGCCCCAAAAATGGACAAACTCATCCACAGAAATGTTAAAACGGTCACTTAACTGCGTTTTTAAGTTCTCTGGGTTAACGCATACTGGGGGGGGGGAGGATAGGCCAGTGGTCCGCGGGTGGGGAGAACCATCTCTCAGCCGATTCTCACTCTGCTATGTCATTTTTCACGTGAATAAAGAATCCCATCATCGCTCCAAATGTACCACAAACCTAATCGATTAGCCCTAAAGTTATTTTTTATCAATTATCATTATTTATTGTTCCGCTTCTTAGAAAAAAAAAAGAAAAGAAAAGAAAATCGGAGTAACCTACAGTCCATTAACTTAAAGAAGAGCATGCTGAATTTGGTGTATGATGCTATAAACGTACTTGTGTTGTTCCTGTTTTTTGCTTTTCGATGAACTTAAAATGTCACAGTTAGACAGCAACGTGTATATAACTGAAGGTAACTAAAAATAGACGTTTTTAATCGTTAATTTGTATCGACGCGATGTGTGGAGTATCGAACTTTAAAGATGACTTTGTGCTGCTCACACAGAGAGAGAAAAAAAAACAAAAAAAAACAATTTCCTAACATGGCTGAATGAAAACGGACTGTTGTATAAACCAGCACAAGACAACGACACAGTTAACTTGACTGAATGTATCTTTAGGTAGACTTCGACTCCATGAGCTTCTTATTTTTTCGGACACGTGCCACGTAGTCTGCTAGTACTCGGTAGTGAGTAGTTTAGTTGGACTTGCTAGGCTCTCTGTTTTCATCCAGTAGTTTGAAGGCCGTCATCGACTAATAGCCTCTTTTCGAAGGAGTTTTTCAAGGTGGAACGCTTGGAGACTCACCGTGGGGGAAAAACTCGACTTTTTTGACGTGCGATGTTCAAATTTGTTTGATAGCGGAGGTTTATGTTGTCGTCTGTTTCGATTCTAGCACACGATAGCGAGATATGTCGGTGTCCTTGCTGTGATGAACCTGCTTTAAAAATAAAACAAACGCAACACTAAATGTTAGCCTGCAGTGGAAAGGAGGTCTCTTGCTCACCTTCGGGAATGGAGAAAGATGAGGTTATCCTGAGAAAACTGTACCATTTCTTTGTGGCAAGACTCAACTGACATTCCTTAACCGTGCTCTTTCCTCTGAAATAGCGGCGTAGCTGGGAAACTCAGACCAAAACCATTTTAACAATCGCTACCTTTTCTGACTAGCACTTTTTCATCAGCCGAACTAACCAAGCAGATAGGTGATTTAAAGGAGTACACCAACATTTTCCAAGGTAATCTCAGTCTGTTGCACCTATGGCGTGGCCAGTTATCACGGACAATTTATCTTTTAATTTTGAAAGACCAGAAACTTTGTTCAAGAATAGAAGCCAATGGGCAGATGCTAAAGCGACTGCCCATAGACTTCTATTATAAGTGTTATTCAAGTCAACCAGTTTTCTGTCCTTTTCTAAGTACAGCAAAACATATTGAGTGTGTTTACATGCCCTTAATAATCCGATACCTGCCGAAAATCTGATTTTGTCGGTAATCCGATCAACACACTTGAGTTATCAGATAATGAGGAAACTCCAGGTCTGCATGAGACAGGCAGTAATCAGTTTTCTGCTTTGCACAGAACTCACAGAAGAAGATGTGACGTAAAACGTGCACCACTTTACCTAAAAATATGAACATACATCATATAGAACATGAATAATTAAATGCTTCATTTTGTCAAGCATGTATTTGGTTTCAGCGTCACTCCAAAAGTGTCTCTCGGCAACACTGCTTGCTTATTTCCGGTGCCACCATCTGTTTTTGCGCATGCACAGACTGAGAAATACGAAAGAAATCAGAGTAAGAGTTCACATGCACTGACAAACCTGATTACTGAGCTAAAATCCAGCTCTTTATCAGATTTTTTAGTCAGATTTCTAGACCTTACTTCGATCTAAGAAGTCAGAGTATGCTGTTTACATGACCATTTCCAAATCCTAATATGATCAGATTATTGAGTGCATGTAAACACACTCAGTGAAATGATTGTTCTTGGTAATTGTCCATACACTACAGGTGCAGCAAATTTAGATCAGGTTAAAAAACTGGGAGAACTCCTTTAAGCTAGCTCTCCTCTATCCCGGTTACCATAATACCTTTGACAAATGTCAGTAGTGGAGAAAAGTAGTGAGTTAGGAGGCACAGGTTGATCTGTATTTAAATACGTTACATTTTACGTGGACTTGGCTGCACTATAACGTAGAAAGTAGCCTGTATCCCCTGTATAGACTGTACAGTCCCATTAGAACATGGAGGTTCTCTGTAGTATAGCGTTCTCTTAGACGAGAAAACACCTGCTTGTTTAGCCCCAAAGACTCTTCAGTAACACTTCATTTGAAGGATGCTTACTCAAGGCATAAAGCACATTTATAAGACACATATAACAGTTCACAACACTGTACACGCTTAAAAAGAAGATGCATCTCCAAGGGTTCTTCAGTAAAGAAAATGGTTCTATATAAAACCATGAACACTCAAAGAACCTTTTGTATGATTAAAGGGTTCTTTGCATCAGGAAAGCGTTCTTCAGATTGATGGAGAATGTGCTATAGATGGTTCTATATAGCACTCAAGTGTTCTCTATTGTGACAATGTCAAGCTTGTAACAATAGAAGAACGCTTTTGGGTGAACCCTTTTCAAAAAGGTTCTGTATAGAACCATTTACATTCTCCCTCAATCTGTAGAACCCTTTCAAGATGCAAAGAACCATTTAATCATACAAAGAGTTCTTTGAGTGTTCATGGTTCTATATAAAACCATTTTCTTTACTGAAGAACCCTTGAAGAACCATCTTTTTTAAGAGTGTAATCAAGGAGAGAATTCGTAGGCCTACATAAGCCTTTCATGACAGCTGACATAAACCTTTATAGATGGTAATGAAGGCTTATTCCAACGAGCATCAGTTGTTGTAACACCTGCATGTCATCAAAATTGCCAAAAGTAGCCTTTATGACAACTGATGTTGGAACGTTTATGTAGGTTTATGTAGGTCAGTTGTCATAAATGGCTTATGCAGGCGCTATGTATTCATATGAATGCTCCCCCTCAGTAAAGAGTTACCATAAATCTTATCAAGACATCCACAGGTTAGCTAGTTCCGTCACCTTGTGGCAGGTTTTGTAAAATTTATAGTAGTAACCGTATGGTAGACTCTGTCAACATGTAATTGTTTGCATTAAGGTTTATGAATGTTCATGCATCGCCTTGGTAGAACTGTCTTATCAATGTGTTTTGATGTCCTGTATTAGGATCCTTTACCTAAAGTGTCACCCTGAACTTTTTTTTTTATTATTATTATTATTTTCTACCAGCATTTAGCAGAGTTAGAACAGTGTATTCTATAGTAATGAGCTGAAATTTGTAAACTTCTTCTCGACACCCCCCGCCCCCGCCCCGCCCCGCCCACCTTTCTCTCACCCCAAACGGAAATGTAAACAATGTAAGAGATTTAATTGCTGCATTCTTGCCTTTTTCAATGCTGTGTTTTGGATGTAATTATATGTATTTTTTATTTATACGTCATTCTCAATTGGACTTCGGGTCATGCTTCTTTGCTCATGAATAAAATTTGGTGCTGTTTGCATTGGGTTCCACATACATATCGAATGCATTTGACTGAAAAAAATCTTGCTGTAAAATTAAACGAGCTAGTTAACTGGGCTATGAAACTAAGCACAATCGCATCCGAATTGGTTCATTCTCATGTACTTACAGGAACGATTCGCCAATTTCTCAGCGTATTACAGGCATCAGTTTCCTGAGTTTCAGTATGCTAACAGAATGGGAGCCCATTGAGGCTGGATTTTCTCTAAAGCTTGCAGAATTTTCTAACAGGCCCCCATTTTACATCACATTGATCGTAATTGATTGGTATGATGAAACCCAGAAAGCAACACGTAATGCTAATACATTATATTACAGTACATGAAATAATCCTGAGGTAAGAAATAGCTGGTTTGGTTGGTGAACCAGTGCTTTAAAGAGTGATTTCAAAGACTTTGCCAGTGCTTAAGTTGTGATTCCAGTGATTAAAATGCAGAAAATAAGTTTTCCAATATTTTCGAATTCCGCCAAAGACAAGTTCCGGACGTGATTTGGAAGGTCTGTATTCCGAATGGAATGAATTGGGATGCATTGTAAAGAGCAAGCAATCTGAGAACTGGTTTGGCTGATTGTACTTACATTAAAATGTTAATAAAAATTACAAATGACCCACAAAACCTGCTGGAGGAGTTTCATTTTGTCAGATTTAATGAATTACAGCATGTTGCACATACAAGTTTCATGCAAAAGTTTAACAACCCCTGAAGAAATTACATACTTTGTTGAAAATGGGCTACATTTTCCTGTAAATGAAGGACCTCCATTCAGAATGCTGCACAGTCCAGGACTAGGTCTAATCTCTGTCCAGGAAATGGAGTAGGTCAGTGTAAAGAGTGAACTTTTGCCATCACAACATTAAAAAATAACCATAAACAAGACAGAAAAGGGGAGCTGATTGACAAAGTTTTCAAGAAAACAAGAAAGAGTTAAAACCACAAGTGGGTAGAACTTTTAAAGAAAACAAAAATTCAGACAAAATGGCCGAACAATGTGGTAGTAAATCCTTACCAATATTTTTTTGCTATAGCCTTTTATGTACAGTGAACATTGCCAAGGCGTTCAGTACTAACGTTCATCCACTTTTATTAGATGAGCTACATTTCTTGCTTAATTTTTTTTGGCCCAGAAGTGGAAAATCCCTTTAAGCTATCAGATACGTTTTTCCTGGTTTCATATTTACACAATGAAAGGGTGATTATTAACCACTTAACCCCTTAAATGGCCAGCGCCCGTCGGCAGGCCCCCAGCTTTATTACACATAACTTAAGAACAGCTCAGCCAGTTTGCATTGAAGTCCCTGTAGTTACTGAATAATAAGCCCTAGTATGTAATAAGCCTGAGATTTTAATGGGTTAAACCCTGAACATCCCTCAGCTGGCCTAACTACAGAACTTATACATCAGTTTTATAGTGCTGAATAATTCAAAACATTTACTGTATAATAAGTCTTAAGATCAATAGCTGAATAATAAGTCTCATCATATCTTCCTCTTTTATTTATTCCGCCTTACTTTATGTATAGATAGATACTGATCTCGCCTTCAGTAAACAAAAATAAGGAGACAGTGTAATTAAACATCTTTGCTATGTCTCAACTAAGTTGGTGTGCTAATGGTTGAAGTGTTAGGTTATAGTGGATCTGGGTGTAAAACTGTGTAAGGGATGATGTAAGGGGTATTTTTGTGGCAGTTGCCTGAATTGGTGTAATATTTATCAGGTTATTATTATTTTTATTGGATGATATTACACTTTAATGCATGTCAAGCTCTCAGGATCACTGAAACTTCAAGAACTGTTGAAGTTTTCGTTCTTTACTTTTTTTCTTTCTTTACTTTTTTTCTTCCTCTTTCCTTCTTTAATTCATTTCAGTTTAAATGAACTAACTTTTATTGTACACTTTCAGAAAAATGGTATGAAACTGTCACTGGGGTGGCACCCTTAAGGGAACATCACAGTACCATAATCCGAAATCTGAAATCATATTTTCTAAGTCGTATTGACTCACGTCGTCTCGTCTCCAGGCTTTTTATTTTATTGTTTTAAAATATTCGGTTATGAAAAGATACAAATACGAACTTTTCATCTGGGAAAACTTATTTAAGGTGTACAATTGGATCTTAAAACCACTGTTGTACCTTTGAGGGAACATTTACATTGTTTGAACCTGATGAATGAAAAACGTACCTGCACAGAACCTTTATTAATAATGTTAATTTATAATAACAGTGTATGTGTATATGTGTGGTACACTATAACGAAATATGTTCGGCCTTTTTCTCTGGTGCATAAACATGATGACAAGGACAGCAGATACAAGATACAGTGTGTGCATGGTACACCAGACAGTGGGCAATGAGTAAACATGTACTGGTGGGAAATACACTTTATGAACAAAACTTTGAGACCCCTTCCTAACTATTGAGTTCAGGTGTTTCAGCTACACTCATTGCTAACAGGTTGATCAAATTAAGCACACAGCCTTGCAGTCTCGATAGACAAACACTGGCAGTAGAATGGGTCGTACTGATGAGCTCAGTGACTCTAAACATGGCTCTGTCATAGGATGCCTCCTCTGCCACAAGTCACAATTTCTGCCCTGCTAGATCTGCCCCTGACAACTGTAAGTGCTATAATTGTGAAATGGAAGCATCGAGAAGCAACAACGGCTCAGCCACAAAGCAGTAGAACATGCAAACTCACAGAGTGCTGAAGAGCACAGTGCCTATCCTCTGTGTAATCATCCACTAATGAGTTCCAAACTACATCTGGAAGCAGCATCAGCAAAAGAACTGCGCATTCAGGGCTTCACGAAATGGGTTTCCATGGCTGAGCAGCTGCACACAAGCCTAAGATCAAAATGCACAGTGCCAAGCGTCAGATGGAGAGGTGTACAGTCACGGCAACCGGACTCTGGAGCAGTGGAAACGTGTTCTGTGGAGTGACGAATGACGCTTCTCTGTCTGACAGTCTGATGGACGAGTCTGGGTTTGGTGAATGCAGGAAGAACTTCTTTCTTTCTTTCTTTCTTTCTTTCTTTCTTACCTTTCTTTCTTTCTTTCTTTCTTTCTTTCTCGTTCTTTCCTACCATTTTCTTTTTCTTTCTTTCTTTCTTTCTCGTTCTTTCCTACCATTTTCTTTCTTTCTTTCTTTCTTTCTTTCTTTCTACATTTTCTTTTCTTTCTTTCTTTCTTTCTCGTTCTTTCCTACCATTTTCTTTCTCTCTTTCTTTCTTTCTTTCTTTCTTTCTTTCTCGTTCTTTCCTACCATTTTCTTTTCTTTCTTTCTTTCTCGTTCTTTCCTACCATTTTCTTTCTTTCTTTCTTTCTTTCTTTCTTACCATTTTCTTTTTCTTTCTTTCTTTCTTTTTCTTTTTTTCTTTCTTTCTTTCTTTTTTCTTACCCTTGTTTTTCTTTTTTCTTTCTTTCTTTCCTACCATTTTCTTTTTCTTTCTTTCTTTCTTTCTTTCCTACCATTTTCTTTTTCTTTCTTTCTTTCTTTCTTTCTTTCTTTCTTTCTTTCCTACCATTTTCTTTTTCTTTCTTTCTTTCTTTCTTTCTTTCTTTCTTTCTTTCTTTCTCGTTCTTTCCTACCATTTTCTTTTCTTTCTTTCCTTCTTTCTTTCTTTTTTTTCTTACCCTTTGTTTTTCTTTTTTCTTTCTTTCTTTCCTACCATTTTCTTTTTCTTTCTTTCCTTCTTTCTTTCTTTCTTTTTTCTTACCCTTTGTTTTTCTTTTTTCTTTCTTTCTTTCCTACCATTTTCTTTTTCTTTCTTTCTTTCTTTCTTTCTTTCTTTTTTCTTACCCTTTGTTTTTCTTTTTTCTTTCTTTCTTTCCTACCATTTTCTTTTTCTTTCTTACACTTTTTCTTTCTTTCTTTCTTTCTTTCTTTCTTTCTTGTTATTTCCTACCATTTTATTTTTCTTTCTTTCTTTCTTTCTTTCTTTCTTTTTTCTTACCCTTTGTTTTTCTTTCTTTCTTTCTTTCTTTCTTTCCTTCCTTCCTTCCTTCCTTCCTTCCCACTCTCCTGTGTACTGATCTCAAGGTATTCTCCAAAGCGCTGGCTGTTAGGCTACGAGACGTGATGGGGCATGTCATTCACTTAGACCAGACCTAGTGTGTACCTGGCAGGTCCATTACAGATAACATTTGTTTAATCAGGGATGTTTTGGAAGTTTCCAATATTCTGGGTGTTGACTCTGGCCTCATTTCACTAGATCAGGAGAAAGCTTTTGATCGAGTAGAGCATCAGTATCTGTGGTACTCTCGAGGCTTTTGGTTTTATTCCCTGTTTTATTGCAATGGTAAAGGTATTGTACCAGGACATTGAGCGTGTGCTGAAGATTAATGGTGGCCCCTTTAAGGCTGAGCGTGGAATACAGCAAGGTTGTGCTGTGTCTGGAATGTTGTATTCTCTTGCCATTGAACCACTGCTGAATAGACTTCGCTTCAAACTTGAAGGCTTCGTGCTACCTCAGTATGATGTCCAGCATCGCATTTCTGCTTATGCAGATGACATAATGATTATGGTAAATGGGCAAGAGGATATTGATAATTAGGGTCTGCTGTTCAGGATTTTGGGAAGATTTCAGCTGCTAGGGTGAAATGGCGGAAGAGCGAGGCTTTTGCAGTGGGGAAATGGGCGGGTGGTTTGCCCAGTTTACCGGCTGGTATGAATTGGAAAAAGAGCGGGATCAAGTATTTGGGTGTTTACCTTGGGGATGAGGCTACACAACAAAAGAACTGGGAGGGCGTAGTGGAAAAAATGGAGGGTAGACTGGCGCGATGGAAGTGTATTCACACACCAATGTCATTCAGAGGGAGAGAACTGGTAATAAATAATTTGACAGCCTCAATCCTTTGGCATCGGCTGTCTTGTGTGGATCCTCCTGTTGGGTTGCTGGCTCGTTTGCAAGCCATCATGGTGGGACTGCCTTCACTGGGTCCCTCAAGGTGTGCTTTTTCTTGCTAAGGAGGAAGCTGGACACGGCCTGGCTACTTTTCGCCTGCAGTTTATTCAAAAAATTTTGACTGGCTCGGTGGACTTGGTGTGGAGAAAGGTGGCCAGCGTTATTCTGCGTAAAGCAGACGGCCTCGGACTGGATACCGCTTTGTTTTTAATGGACTATAAGCAGCTACGCCTGAGTGGATTACTGCTTTTCTTTTGTGGGTTGTTTAAGACTTGGGCACTGTTTAAAACTAACAGACTGGGACTAAGCAAATCCCTTTTCTGGCTGCTGGAGGACCCACTGATCAAAGGGTCACGCCTGGATATTGTGAGTGAAGGTGTACCTGGCCTCACTCAGACTCTGTGTGCCTCCAGCATGGTCAAACTACGGCACTTAGTGGATGCAGCTGGACCGGGACTGGGGGATGCCCGGGCCGTTGCTTCCGGTTTAAGGCCAGACGTCCATTCGCCATGCTAGGGCTGATCTCGACCTGTGGGGGAAACGGTCGGGCCAGGAAGATTGGTCCTTACTAGAGAGCTACTGGAGTGGGGGTGCAGTGCCCAATGGAAGGGATCCATTCCCAAAAACTGGCCTTACTCCTGATTTGACATGTCTGGTCCATTATTGGACCTTAATGGACTGCGAGACATAAATCTGTGCACAGCCTCAGGTAAAATTCTCTACAAGTGTTGTGTCAAGGTGTTTAACAAATCAGTGTTGAACGGGAGGGCAGACACAGTGTGGAGAGGAAAACTTGGGCTGGGGATGGATAAGTGACTGGTTTGGAGGGTGTTGTATAAACCCCCTTTAATAAACAGATCTGGTGATCTCCAGTGGAGAATTTTACATGGGGCTGTAGCTGTGAACTCGTTTGTGTCTGTTATTAATCCACATATCACTGATAAATGTGTGTTTTGTGGTTTTAGAGAGACTGTTTTTCACTGTTTCTTAGAATGTGCAAGACTTAAGCCGCTCTTTGATACACAGAGTTTCTTGTTCATGAAGTTCGGGGAATTTTTTATGTCACATGTTTTTATTTTCAGATCCGGTTATACCAGAAAAGAAAGAATGAAATGGCAACTGCTTAACTTCCTTGTTGGTCAGGCTAAACTCGCGGTTTATAATTCAAGAAGAAACAAAGCAGAGAACAGAGCTGGTCATGATGTTTTGCCTTTGTTCATTGCTAATTTCTAGTGAAATCTAGAATAGTTTTTGAATATAAGTTCTATAAAGCGATGAACAACTTAGGTGTATTTGAGTTTGAAAGGTGTTATAATGATGGTTTTTGCACTGTGGTGGAGGGAGAGTTAGTCCTCGCCAGTCCTTGGGGCTGATATTGTTTGGGGGCAGTTATATTATGGGTGAAGCATTTGTAGTTAGGATTTGAAGTGACTGAATAAAAGTCTCTGTTAAAAATCAAATCAATCTTTCTTTCTTTCTTACCTTTTTTGTTTGTTTGTTTGTTTCTTACCATTTTCTTTCTTTTTCTTTCTTTCTTTCTTTCTTTCTTTCTTTCCTACCATTTTCTTTCTGTCTTTCCTACCATTTTCTTTCTTTCTTTCTTTCTTTCTTTCTTTCTTTCTTTCTTTCCTACCATTTTCTTTCTTTCTTTCTTTCTTTCTTTCTTTCTTTCTTTCTTACCTACCATTTCTTTCTTTCTTTCTTTCCTACCATTTTCTTTCTTTCTTCCTTTCTTTCTTACCATTTTCTTTCTTTCTTTCTTTCTTTTTTCTTTCTTTCTTTACCATTTTCTTTCTTTTTCTTTCTTTCTTACCATTTTCTTTCTTGCCATTTTCTTTCTTTCTTTCTTTCTTTCTTTCTTTCCTACCATTTTCTTTCTTTCTTTCTTTCTTACCTACCATTTCTTTCTTTCTTTCTTTCCTACCATTTTCTTTCTTTCTTTCTTTCTTTCTTTCTTTCTTTCTTTCTTTCTTTCTTTCTTTCTCACCTACCATTTCTTTCTTTCTTTCTTTCTTTCTTTCTCACCTACCATTTCTTTCTTTTTTCTTTCTTTCCTACCATTTCTTTTCTTTTTTCTTTCTCTTTCTTTCTTTCTTTCTTGCATATAAGTAAATATCTGAAAAGAAAAAAAAGAAGTGTGTTTTTCTTTCTTACTGACTGAATTTACCTGGTTTTATATGTCAGTATCTCACAGTTTCCGCGTGTCACTGATGCCTTTTTAAGGTACATGTAACTCTACACAGTGAGGAAATGGGTGTCGCCTGCTTCTCACCTAATATGACAAACAAAATGAGTGAGATTATAAATGACACACTATCACTGCATAACAATGTTTCTATGGCAGCGCATGATCCTCTCAAATTTTAATATGTACCTTTTAGACTGTAAGATGACACAAGTTAGCATTCAGCACAAATTTATCATTTTAAAGCCAATTTTATGCAGACCGCTAAAGGGAAAGTGACCTGTTTTAGTGGACACAACCATTAACTCCCACTCCTCTGTGCTCCATCCTCTGGTCATTTGTACTTATGCTTCACATAGTGTGAAACTGAATATACACTACGACATTTAATCCTATTCATAATCCGGTCTCAGGAGAGAAATTCTACTCATTTATGGGTCAGCGCCCATCCAGCCCCTCCTAAAACTCTCCCTGCTGGTTCAGACATCTCAGTTTATTAGTTTTTAAACAAGGTTTGGAGCGGTTCTGTAATTTTCTCTGAAGGTAAGTGATTTTTAATGCTGTTTACTGTTCTTTAGGGTCATTTGGTGCAGGGCTCCAGTGCTCCAGTGCTGGAGGATCACCAGCACAGTGTGGTGATTTCTTACCAGGTTCAGTAGGTGTTTCTGAGGACAGCAGTTACTCAACTATGCAGAACACTAGACCTCCAAGACTGGACCACTGATTTCGTGGCTTTTTGGAAGTATATATATATATATATATGTGTGTGTGTATGTATATATATATATATATATATATATATATATATATATATATATATATATATATAAATTCTTTTATGAACACGCTTGCTAAGGTGTTTTAGCAGCATTATATTTTTTTGCTGAATTTCTCTAATAACAATTTTGTGACTGTTGTAAAAAGCACCATATGCACTGTAAATAAATCTAATTTGAATTTTGTTAATATGACTAATTTGAATTTAAGTACTTTTTTGCCGCATTTCGATGTGTTGTTGTTTATTTGCTGCTTTTATATTGTGTCCTGTGTCCTTGTGTTCATTCCTGCCCCATTCCAGTCATTATTTTTGCATAGCAAATCAGTATTTTAAGATAATGGGTCAATATTTTTGACATAGTAAGTCTTTAATACAAGATAATAAGTTGTGATTTTGACATAGTCAATATTTTGAGAGAATAGTCATTATATCAACATAAATGAACACAAAAAATAAATAGTTGGATGAACTTTATTTCACACATTTTCATTCAGTCGAACAGAGTAGAGTCAGTATGCAAGCACTTTGTTACATCGACATAAAATAAATTACTGATGCAGCAAATTTTAAACATTTTGATTGTAATTTATTTGAGTTTCATTACAATACAGTTCTTTGGCTTAAGATAAACAGTTTTCTTCTACTGAAATGCAGTTTTTGTCCATTTGTGTAAGGCAATTACTTAAAGTCAGTACAGTGTAGTCAAAAAAAAAATGGTTCCTTTTGAGTGTTGCAAGTCAATATTTTGAGAAAATAAGTCCTTACTTTAAGACAGAAGTCAATAATTTAACCAAATAAGTTATAATTTCAAGATACTAAGTTAAAATGTTCACAAACAGCTGCTACAAAAATCATAGGCATTTTTCTCCCGTACCTGCTGGAAATGGGCTTCTATACTCAGTGAGCTTTAGACACTGAAACAAAGCATTTGTGTGGTAATACACTTTATTCATGTTCAACTGATTAAAACATTTGAATCATCTAAAATCACAGCGCAACTTGTTCAGTGTATAATCAGGCTCTCCATGTCCAAAGTGCATGTTTTTTCAGTGTTCTTTAGTAAAGAAATGGCTCTATATAGAACCATGAGCACTCAAAGAACCCTATGTATGTTTAAAGGGTTCTTTGCATTATGAAAATGTTCTTCACACTGATGGAGAATGTGCTGTATTTGGTTCTATATAGAACCTATTTGAAAAGGGTTCAACAGATGAACCCTTTTGGTGCTATATAGAACCATATACAAAAAATTCACCATCAATCTAAAGAACCATTTACGACGCAAAGCACTCTTTAAACATGCAAAGGGTTCTTTGAGTGTTCATGGTTCTATATAGAACCATTTTCTTTGCTAAAGAACCTACATAAATGTATGACTTTGTTCACACACACACACACACACACACGCCCATATATATAATTTATTTATTTATTATTTTTTTGTTTGCTATTGTTTGCAGCAAAAATGTGGACTGTACCTCTCCTGGGTTGTTTTTTGATGTTCCTCTTTTGTGGTAAGTCTTGCTCCATTTTCATAAGGTTATGAAGGTTTGTGATGCTGCTGCTGCTGTGACAGATAAAATCCTACAGACAATCCTGTCAATCACATCCATAATCATTTAATTCAACAAAAGTCAAAGGTTTAACATTAGTTAGAATCAGCCTGACGATTTACATTTTGCTTAATGTATCGAGTGTTAGAGTTTTACCCTGATAAGAATGATTTACTAAAGCTATAAACCAGGAGAGGCTGTGTGTTACTGTGATTTTATCATAGGGTTTTCTTGGGCAGAGGTAAACCAGAGTAAAACCCCCCTTCACTGGGATAAAACACAAGGTAACAGTAACACAAGGCTTCAAGTGGCTTATTGCTTTTCTAAAACAGCAGCCAACATTAAATATGATAAAATGCACTTTTTTTTTATAATACTAACGGACACGACTAATATTTCTCCAAAAAATGTAGTTCCCTTAGCATATGGTATCATTGCCAAGCAACCATGGATGGCTGAATGAGGAGAAGAACTGTTGGTCGACCTTCACTGTCATGTCATTGATGTTTAAAATGAACATATGATAACACAGCACTATTTAATGCAAAAAACTTTCACTTTGTAAGTACTTTTTGGTCACCAAATTACCACCGTGAGTCTTATCTAGCACCAATCTAGCGATGCCCCTTTTTCCACACTGGAACTGAATCTCAAATGGCTCCCTGCTCCCTACATAATGCACTACATAGGGATTTAAATACGGGATCCTGCACACTGACAGTGCATATTATAGCTAAAAAATATTCATGTGGGATTCAGGAATTTAGCCACATGCATACTCGACACATACTGCCCTTGCAAACAATGTATTGAACCTACATTTTGTCTTGAGTTTTTATATGTAACATTTATAATAGTAAAAAAGCGTTAATTAAGAAGATCTAAGCTTTATTATGTTGCTTCACCCATCATGCACATCTCCACCATGAATGGATTTAAAAAAAATACATTTTAGGCCAAAATCTTCTCAAAACTATTGTAAAACAATGTCTCAGGCATCAGAAAATATATTACAACTGCAGCTAATGGTAACATGATGCTGTTATTACTGAACAAAATGCATCATCAACAGGGATGGGGGAGTAGCTAAGTAGCAGGCTACTTTTTGTAGCTAACTACAATTTTTTGTAGCTAATAGCTGTAGCCGCTACAGTTTTATGAAATGTAGCTAATAGCTGTAGCGCCTACAAATGTTTGTGTAGCTATAATGAAAATTTCTGCTACGATTTCATTACAGTTTTCTGAAATTTGAGCCATAGAACGCAGCCGTTAACTGGGCTGGTGGCGATTGTGCAATCCTGACAGAGCTGCAGACAGTTCCAGCAAACGGTCAAGCACTGCCCTCACGCACTGATCACCCCTTACTAGTAGGCTTAGCTCAGGGGTTGCAACCAACATGTTATGAAGAGCCATTTTGTCCTTTCAGCAAAATGAAACCACCTTTGGAGCCACATCATTTTATGTCCGTTTTACCATCTTGGCTGTAAATATAGCTACAAATTTTGGGAAAGTAGCTACAAAGTAGCTAACCACTAATTTTTCAGTAGCTATCCCAGCCCTGATCATGACGGCGTATGACATCTGCCTTGACATGTTTATACCATGGTTATGTAGCAGGGTTCAAGAAAAGTGTTCCCAAGAGGTCAATTTTGATTTCAGGTTGACTTTAATATTTGTAAATATCTTGGTTATAAGAAGCTTCCAGCATTAAAGCAGCTCCCTCATTCACTTTCTTTCTCTCTCGCTCTCTCTCCCTCTATACTCTTACTCTCCGAACAGGTGGCAGCAATGCCCGCACTGCAGGTCGAGAGTTTGCCACGGCATTCATGCAAAACTACATTGCCTACTATGGCAGCCCTGTCTTCCAGCTTCAGATCACCTCCGTTCACTCCAACTGTAGCTTGACGGTAAGCGTGCCCAACCTCCGCTTCTTCCAAAAGGAGCAGCTGACCGCAGGCCAGGGTGTGACTGTAACACTTCCTGGAGGAGTGGAGGTGTATGGCAGCCAGAGATCCAGCAATACCATCCTTATCCAAGCCACTCAGGATGTCTGTGTCACCTCAGTGAACGCCAAGTTCTACACTGCAGACACTACGGTGGTCTATCCCGTGAGCGAATGGGGAGTTGAGTACTTAATATTCACTCCGAAGGTTTCTCCTCCTTCCATGCAAAAACAGCTCATGTTCATTAACGGGGGTCAGCGTAACACGGTGGAAGTTTACCTTCGAGGAGACGTCCAGTTTCAGGACAGCTTGTACGTGGCTGGCAGTAAGCTAGTTGTCAACGTGGAACCTTACGAAAGTGTCCAGCTTCAGAGCGATCAAGATTTGACCGGGTCAAGAATACTGTCACAACTTCCTGTAGCTGTGTACTCAGGCCACACCTGCACCTGGTTCTTCTCAAAGTGCAACCATGTCTATGAGCAGCTGCTGCCTGTGCCAAGCTGGGGCACTAGCTACCTGGTGCCTCCGATGTCCACCCAAAGCCAATACGACAGCGTCTTCGTCCAGGCATCGCAGCCAACACAAATATCTGTACGTTCAAGTAGTTCCACTGTAAATGCCACCTTAATCCCTGGTCAGTCAGCTGAATACAGAGTCTATTTCCCAGACGCCCTCAGCATCACTGCAGATAAGGGAATTCAGGTTCTCTTTCTGTTCAACGGGGTTCAACTGTCTTGGTCAAAAATGTACGACTCGTTCATGTTGAATCTGCTGTCCACTGACCGTTTCTGCTACTCATACGCTCTGGATGGGCAAGACGGCTTTGACAACCGAGCACTTCTAGTGGTGCCGAGCAAAGACGTGTCTGGGCTGCTGTTTAACGGAGCTCCTCTATCTAGTTCTGTCCGTTGGAGGGCAGTGGAAAAGACTGAGTACTCCTGGGCTGAGCTAGTCTACATGTCAGGAGTGGGAAGACACACTGTGACCCATCCAAGTGCAGCCTTTGGCGTCTACGCAGTAGGACTAGCGCTGATGAATGGATATGGATCAGCAGCACTCTGCACAGGTGCCCTTTTTATGTGCTTTCAGACTGTAACTGTGACATTCACATTATGTGAAATGAGCTGTGAAAAGTTCTAAATCCAGACGACACAGGTTCTATTTGAGGTGAACTATTTTTACCTAAGGAGGTTATGTGATTTAAGCAACTACAAACAAGAGCAATCCTATATCAGTTTGTCTGCAGTCGACATGAATGAATTTGCGCATGTGCAGTTCCATGGCAGCATTAAGTGTAAAGTAATTTTAATCCAGTATGAATCTGCAGTGTGTGTAGTTTTACAGTCTGACAGTAATAATTGTGGAGTGATTTTAATCCAGTGTGAATCTGCAGTGTGTAGTTTTTACAGTCTGACAGTAATAATTGTGGAGTGATTTTAATCCAGTATGAATCTGCAGTGTGTAGTTTTACAGTCTGACAGTAATAATTGTGGAGTGATTTTAATCCAGTATGAATCTGCAGTGTGTGTAGTTTTACAGTCTGACAGTAATAATTGTGGAGTGATTTTAATCCAGTATGAATCTGCAGTGTGTGTAGTTTTACAGTCTGACAGTAATAATTGTGGAGCGATTTTAATCCAGTATGAATCTGCAGTGTGTGTAGTTTTACAGTCTGACAGTAATAATTGTGGAGTGATTTTAATCCAGTATGAATCTGCAGTGTGTGTAGTTTTACAGTCTGACTGTAATAATTGTGGAGTGATTTTAATCCAGTGTGAATCTGCAGTGTGTAGTTTTTACAGTCTGACAATAATAATTGTGGAGTGATTTTAATCCAGTATGAATCTGCAGTGTGTGTAGTTTTACAGTCTGACAGTAATAATTGTGGAGTGATTTTAATCCAGTGTGAATCTGCAGTGTGTAGTTTTAAAGAGTCTGACAGTAATAATAGTGGGGTAGAGGGTGAATGACTGTATTTAGACCTTAATGCACCTTAATGCACCTTGACCTTCTCCCACCTCTACAACCTTTTACAGTACCTGTCACCTGTTATAACTTCACGTGTGGTGTGGATGAGGAGTGCCAGATGAGGGATTTTACTCCGACTTGTGTGAAGAAGCCTGTACCAGAAAAGCCTGGAGTATGCTGGGCCGTGGGGGACCCCCACTACCGGACCTTTGATGGTCGCTATTTTGACTTCATGGGCACTTGCACCTACGTCATCACCAAGAACTGTAAGAGCAACAGCAGTTTGCCATCTTTCGAGGTTCAAGCGCAAAACGAGAACCGAGGCAACATCGAAGTCTCCTTTGTGGCTCTTGTGACTGTGAAGGTTGGAGGCATCACCATCACCATTGATCGCTCACAGAAGGGTCGAGTGAGGGTAAGAATTTATTCGTATCTGAAATATTGTGAATGTGATGGCTTGGATTCTGGCAGTCATGGAAATTTCAAAGGTGGGGAAAACTTGTGTTGCCAAAGGATGTCTAAAAGGAAAGACACAGGTGTGATTTGGAAACTGCGGTGGTGGTTTAATGTGGGGAGGGTTGGAGGGTCTGGGCTTTAGTCGAAAATTAATCACAGCACTAATTTAATATCAGAAACAGAGCTTAAGTATTGTCACACATATGGATTAACTCTTTTGTGACTGAGTCATCTCACCCCAGTCTTAGCTGAATAATATTTCCATTAGAGAAGTGCAAGATCGCACAGTGTTTATATAGCTCTATTCAATATCACAGAACTCTTTCAGCAGTCTGTCTTCTCTTTCATCACTAGATGAAATGAATGTTTATGTGACATTATGTGACAAAGGGCATTTAGTTAAAAGAATTTGGAAATCATTGATGCTTCATTAATACAATACTGAGATCTGCTTTATTTCTTTGAGACAATCTTAGAAAAGACTTTTTACCCTCTGGGATGTGTGATTCTGTTTCTAACTAATTGTGCAACATCTAATATGTAAGCATTTATTAGCTCATGGAAAAACTAATATTAGAAAAAAAAACCAGATAATATTAATACAATTAGTGGCAGTTTTATCAGGGCTCCAGACAAAAAATTAGCTAAATTTCACTCAGGTGCCAACAGCATTTTTAAGAGCCAAATAATAACATGTGCAAAAATAAAGCTTTTCAACTTCAGGTCTGCTCTGTGATTTGAAGTATCTCTGCCTTCCACCATGCCTGATTCTTGTCATACATATTATCAGCCAGTCTGTTTTTTTTTTCCATTAACAAGATTTGGGAGGTAAATTTGGTGAAGGGTAGTTCTTCATGTGCTATCATGTAGGCCATGTAGGCTCTTTGAATGCTTCACTGGTTGTTTTTTGTGCATTCAGGGGACACTGTGCGAGCTAAGTGAGTTTCCTTAGGATCGCTCTTTACGACAATAAAATCTTTTTTTTATTATTATTTATTCCTGTGATGAAATCCATTTTCCCAGCTAGATCTTTGCTCGCTTTCAAACAGGACTTGCAATAAAGTCTGCTTTACGTTATCATAACTGAGCCACGGAAACTCCTGAAGCCAAAAAAGTTCTGAAATGTCTCTCTGTGGTTGTACTTCTGCATGAAGTGCTTGAAGTGGATGGTTGTTCAAGTTCATCTTCGTGTGGGTCTTTCATTGATCCATGTAATCAGTTATGTTTTAAGATGAAACGTGATAAAAGAAAATACCTAAAAACAAAACAGGTTATAAATACAGAACAACAGTAATAAATAGTTACCCATAAAAAATATAATAATAATCCAAAGTTGCTGCCTGTCACCACTGGCTACTCAATTTATCTTATTACTCGCAAATTAATGATTGTGGTCACAATTGCGACCATTTTAGCCGCAGTCTGGAGCCCTGTTCTGTCTGTCAATGTGTTAGTTTAACCATCTCCAAAACTCTCCACATAACAGCCCAGTATTATTTATAGTTATCATTACCTATTTGGCCAGTCAGTATTTTGTTAAGTTGTATTGCTTTTCTTGTATAATTTCAAGACTTCAATTCAGTAACAGATAGATTGTCTCATCTTCTTTCTAATAAGCATGTGAAACAGATACACTGCAATAAAAACCAAGGCTTATGAGTCAACCTGGGAATTAATGCTATATAGTTGTTCATATCTAAATTTTTTGTGTTTTGTGCAGATTGACCACACTGTCTGGACTCTACCTGTTCAAATGAACGAAGCTGGAGTAAATGTGTCACAGTCGGGCCTCTCCGCCACCATCCAAACATATTTTGGCTTGACTGTGCAGTATGACTGGGATAACTATCTTCTGGTGACCCTCCCTGCTACCTTCAAGGGAAGAGTGTGTGGCCTGTGTGGAAACTTCAATGGCAATCCGGACGATGACCTAACTACTCCATACAACACGCAGAGTCCTAGTGTGGTGGAGTTCGGCATCAGCTGGAGAGTTTCCAACCTGACGGACTGTGTCGACTTTGTGAATGGTCGCAGTGGTATGGGTCAGAGTTGTGATGTAGAAGCACTAAAAGAGTGGGAAGGTGAACAAGACTGTGGACTCCTAAACAGCACCTCTGTTGGCCCATTCAGTCGCTGCAATGCTGTCATTGACCCAAATGTCTATATGCAGAATTGTCTCTTTGACACTTGCATGGCTGGTGGGCTCAGGTTCTACTTGTGCAAGGCTCTAGAGGTCTATGCAGATGCCTGCCAACGAGCTGGGGTACCCGCTGACTGACTGGAGAGGAGCTGCCAAATGCCGTAAGTGATAAAAGCCAATAGTAACCAATACCAAGGCATGTTTGGTGTCTGATGTTCGGTTCATCAGCTTTGCACTGAAGATAAGAGGCTAATCTAGCTAACAAATGATGGAAACTTAGCCCATTAGTTAGCGCTGTGCAATCTCCATGCCTCAAATCACAAAATGCCTATGGGCTTTCTAAATGCCTACTTGCTTATGGGCTTTCTGACACTGTCTTACATAACGTTATCTATAAAAAATGGGCAAAATTAGTGATGCATCAATACCATTTATATTTACATTTTTAGTACTTGCTGATACCACGCTGAGTAAGCTACCTAGAATGAAGAGTTAGTGTAAATAAGTGCAATGTACCTCAACAGTTCCATCATTAAAATCTAGCTGATTTTAAATGACGTGCATTAGCTAGGTATGCTATGTTAGTTATCTTGGATTTGAGTAGCACTGCAGTGGAGAAGAGCAGATTTTGTTCCACATCAGAAAAGTGCTTCCTCTAAAGCCAGGTTACAATCTGCGATTTTAGAGATGTTAGAATAGCCCACTGTGTTCAGACAAAGTCTATGATTTACATACTCCCACTGTGTGAAAATGCTCTGTCCATGCTATGTGAAACACAACCTCTACGGACGGCTCTGTGTAAGGACAGTTTCAAATAAAACAGTTTCACGCAAAATAACACACTGTACTGAGCAAACACAGTGAGAAACTGAGCAGCACTGCAAACACTGTACAAAAACTGTCTAAAAGCAGATGTAGAGGTACACAGTAGGACAATATGGTTTGTCTGCAACCTGTTTTACACAAAAAAAATCACTTTATTAATGTTTATATCGCGCAATTCTCTTGTGTTGACTTTTTCGCCTCCGTTTTGCTAGCCTACATGTCTCCAAGCGGCTGTGGTTGTGTTTGCATGTGTTTAAAATAGGCTAAAATCACACATTGTAGGTCTGGCGGGAATACACAAAGGCAGAATGTCCAAAGTGACCGACAGCATGTTCAACTGACACAGAGTCAGCAATGCTTCTCTGTGTGAGCAGAGCCTCGTTCACTGCCAGCTTGAGTTGTTTGTTCATTAGCGCGGCTGTAATGTCCCGGCCTCATGCTAGGCCACCTCCAGCTGCTAGGGGGAGACAAGGCACCACTAAGGCTTAATTAGGGCTAAGTGATAACAGCTGTGGTTCGGTATTAGTTCCTCTCATGAGTTTTTGTTTCTCAAGTACCCCTCAGCGTAAGTATTAAAAAAAAAAAAACCTTTGAGTGCGTTTTTGGTGACTGCATTCCCTTTTAGTTTTTTCAGTAACACTTTCTATGAATGTCACCTTTGTAAGCATCTATAAACACATTTATAACATGTTATAATGCATTCGTATGGCATTATGAACATGATTATAAACATTTATAAAAATGAATTACACTTTATAGCCATGTTTATTATACATTATGAATTGTTAATATAATGCATTATAAGTAGTGTTAATAACATGTTATACTGTCAGTGTCAAAGAAGTCAGTCCCAGCTTGGAGAGTGTAAAGACAAATACCAGGCTAACGGTGGTGTACATTACCTTTCCCACATTGGGTAAAACACTGATGGCAGCCCTAGTTTAAACTCTGACATTTGAAGCCTGTAATGTGCTTTATTATGTATGTTTTAGTGTTTCAGTAAATCCTTCAGTAAATACTTCAACTTGAAGCCTCACTCTGAACACTGGAGGAGGCTTTAGTACAGTACGCTTCACTTTACTAAGAGCGGACAAATACGACTTATGAGCCCTTATAATTTGGTATGATCAGTACTTATAATGTATTATGTTAACAATTCATAATGCATAATAAGCATGGCTATAACGTGTAATGCATTTTAATAAACATTTATAGCCATGTTTATAATGTCTTATGAATGCATTATAACATGTTATGAATGTGTTTATAGATGCTTACAAAGGTGACATTCATAGAAAGTTACCGTTTTTTTCAAACACTCTTTAGTTGAAAGACACTGTTCTGGTGTTTTGTTTGTCGTTAACCTCCCCCCTTTTGTTTATCAACCCTTCTATGAAACTCTTAACACAACTTAAGAAGGAAACTTCAGACACTAAATGTAATCAATTACGTTTTGGATAAGGTGTCAATTGGTGTAAAATAGTGTAAATTGGATTTTTGACCAAACTTTTGAGGCACATATCTACGCTAGTGGGCCACATTTCTGAGTTTAGTGTGTACACTGCTCTAACACACTTAATTAGATTGATAATTAACTGTTGTGCTTGTTTAAGCTCAAAGCAGAAAGAATGGGTGGGCGAGGTGGCAGAAATATATCAGTGTTTTCGATTCATGGGTTCAGTGATTTTGATTCAGCATTTCACATTGTGCTGTACTTCATCTAATTAGGCAATAAAGCTTTTATGCTGTTCTGTTTATGTGTCCACAGCATACAGCTGCCCTGAGAACAGCCATTATGAGCTGTGTGGCAGTGCTTGTCCTGCAACCTGTATGTATCCCAGCCCTGCAACTAACTGCTCTTTGCCCTGTGTGGAAACGTGTGCCTGCAACCCCGGCTTCGTTCTGAGCGGAGCAGTGTGTGTCCCCTCAAGCAGCTGCGGCTGCTCACAAAACGGACGCTATGTTCCTGCTGGGGAGTCTTTCTGGTCGGACGATCGCTGCAGCACCCGATGCCGCTGCCCACCTGGAGGCGGGCAGATAGTCTGTGAGATTACAGGCTGTAAAGCGGGGCAGCAGTGCCAGGTGTTGAATGGGATTAGAGACTGCTACCCGGTCTCCCAGAAAACCTGTTTGGCATTCGGCGACCCCCATTACCTCAGCTTTGATGGGAGGAGGTTTGACTTTCAGGTATTCAGTAGAGTTCAGCTTTGCTCTACACACTCATATCAGCTTGATTTTATCAGCAGACTTTAACCCTTTTCTATAATACTTCTTAAATGTGTCACAGTGTTTAGCTGAGCTGTTATGCTTGGGGAATTGGGGAAGCTTGACTGCAACATTAAATAAACATCATACAACTTTATATGATAGCCTTCAAAAGTTTTCAAAAAGTTTTATTCATGTCCAAAAAAATTATCAAATGCTGCTTAGTTTCTAGCTTTTCTCGCATTCTTCTCAAATAGGGTAAGTAGCACAAAATAGGCTCAACTAAACACTGTGGTGCATTAAAAAAGTGGGACAGAAGAGTGCTTAAAGTATAAACATTCGGATTTATAGTGTACAAAGTCAAAAATAATCTAGTTGACTCTTCATGCACCTACCGCTACTAGATTCCAAGAGATTTGGATACTTTTCAGTAGGACTGAAATCACTTTTATAATTGAAAAATATAAAAGAGGTGCAATTTTATTACAGCCTACATTATCATCTATGCTGTCTTAGCAAGTTATAAGTTGGGAAATTAAAACTAATAACACAGAACTCCAATGCCTGTAGATGAGTTAGACCAATCAAAAGTAACCAAACACCCAGGTGCTCTGTAAATGACAACACACCTATAACTAACTGTCCATCTGGTGTTCAGTGTTCCAGCCTCAAGTCAGAAAAAATAGATATGCTGATTTTCTTAATTTATGGAAAATTAGTACAATTTAAATCACAGTCACAATATAATATAATATAATTTTACATTGTGTATACATTTCATGATGAATGAACCAAATGAAACAGCCCAAAATTTCTTGTAAATATTCTGGTTCTATTGACTTACATTAAAAGTAAAATAAGTTTTTTTTTCCTTCTACTGTACCTTTACATTACCATTTTGGAGATACAAGGCATATATATTATTTATATTATATTTATATATATTATTTATATTATAATAGATATTTCCCCTCTTTTCAGACAGAATCATGGAGATATCCCATTGAGAATCTAACCAAGAAATGTCTAATTCTGCGTATGGAGATAAAATTGCATAATGAAGTCATATAACTCCTGTTGTGTTTGCCAGGGCACCTCTGTGTACCAGCTGGTCGGTCTGTGCTCCAATGATTCTGGACTGGTCCCATTTGAAGTTCTGGTGCAGAATGACTTCCGAGGAAGCTGGACGGTCTCCTTCACTAAACTGTTGCAGGTCAAGATTTACAACCTCACCATTGTCATCAGCAAAGAATACAAAGGCTCAGTAATGGTAAGTTCATTTAAATTACACATATGTTCAGTCAGACTCACCATGTACGTAGTATGTATGTATATACACGCATATACTATGCAACATTTAATTAACTATTTTGCGAAATCCCAGATTTTGTGTATCACATCCACGTTCCTTACAAAGCCTTTACCTTGTGCTTCACCTGTCGGCTAAATTGAACATGGTAATTTCATTCTTAATAAAGTGTATGATCTCATTCTCACAGAATTATTAGACAAATTATAATAGGGATTGGGATTATATTATCTTTTTTTTTATCTGTGTCATTGTTGTATGTGATTTTAAGTTCAAATAATTTCTTCTGTTACTGTTAAGCTTCATCACCTGTGTGTAAAGCCCTTTGAGCTGCCACCGGAAAAAGAATGAAAAGTGCTATATAAATAAAGATTATTATTTTTATTAAGACAGTACTAATCTAAATGAAATGTAATTGTACTGTTATGAAAAGATAAACTTCCTGTTTTTCCAGATTGTGAAAGTCCATCAGTCAGTATTCATATGCTTCTGTCCTAGATCAACGGGATATTGCTGAACCTACCTCAAAATCTGAACAACGGTCAAGTTTCTGCCTTTAAGAGTGGCTGGGCAGCTGTAGTCCAGACGTCTTTTGGCTTAACGGTCGCCTTTGACTGGAACAGCATCGCTTCTGTCAGTGTCCCCAGTACCTACATGGGCTGCAGTCTGTGGCCTCTGCGGTAATTATAATGGCAAACCAGAAGATGACCTGACCCTCAGGGGCACGAACTACTCCTCTTCCAGGCCGGATGAGTTCGGTGCGAGTTGGAAGATTATGGACGTTGCAGGCTTTGTCCAAGGCTGCGGTGACAACTGTACCGATTGTGATGTTACCCAGAGAAAGTCTTATGAAACAGCCGAATACTGTGGGGTCATACGGGACCCTAACGGCCCTTTCTTGGAGTGTCAGCCCCTGCTTGACGCTGCTGGTTTCTTTGAGGCTTGTGTTTCTGATGTTTGTGCATACCGTGGCAGGAGAGATATACTCTGCCAGGCCATCAGTGCATACATGTCTGCCTGTCAGGATATAGGAGCCAGAGTTTATTCTTGGAGAACTGCTCAGTTTTGTGGTAAGATAAGATCTCAGATTCTATTTAGATCCATATCTAAATATTTCAAATATCTTTGGTCTATGTACTCATGGGCTCAACCAGGCAGAAATAAAGATTTTATTTTCAAACCAATATAACCATAAGGGTATAATTTATCATAGTAAATGTCATCTTTCGGTCACAGGGGGCTACTTGTTTTCAACAAAGCAAACCCAAAATTGATTGTGGAAAAAAGTATGAAAATTACATCATCCAAATAAATTAAATATATTTGGAATTATAGCTATACACTCCAAACATGTATGCTGTTAAATAAGAATATAACTATACACATATTATTTATGCTGTTATGTAAGATTATAACTATACACTCCTATTATCTACACTGTTATGTAAGATTATAACTATGCACTCGTATTATGTGCTCTGTTATGTAAGGTTATAACTATACACTTCTATTATGTACACTGTTATATAACATTACAACTATACACTCCTATTATGTACGCTGTTATATAAGATTTGAAACTATACACTCCTATTATGTACACTATTATGTAAGATTATATCAATATTATAACAATGTTGTACAATGTCAAACTGGACAAACTAGTACAATTTGACAGATTGGGGTTTTCTATTGTGCTGCATATCTATAATGTTTTTAATGTCCATTACTCTTTCTTTGTTAGGAGTCCAGTGTCCTCCACATAGTCATTATGACATTTGTGGACCAGGCTGTCCAACGACCTGTTACAGCCTTGGCTCTGCTCTCAGCTGTCAGCGACCCTGTAAGGAGGGCTGTGTGTGTGATCAGGGCTTCATCCTGAGTGGAGACGACTGTGTTCCTTTTGCCCAGTGCGGCTGTCTTTACAATGGTCAATACTACGCGCAAGGTCAGACGTTCCACCCTGACAGTCTGTGTCAGACGGAGTGCAGATGCATGGAAAATGGTCAGGTAGGAGGACTAAACGATGTTTTTTTTTGTTTTTTTTTAAATTTCGGTAAAGTTAAAACTTATGTAATGATGTTATATAATAATACATCTTATTAAATATGTTGTTACAAAATCTCAAAGTGCTTTATACAGGAATAATTTGAGTTTGCACAATAAAATAAATCTTTCCATTAGCTTTTTCTTGTTTGCTCAACTTCTGTAAATTTATTAGTTACACTGACTGACTTTCTGTTGTCAACACTATGTAGTGCAATGCCTGTTGGGGCATGTCAGGGCCTTTTGTGGTGTACTTTTGGAGAATCAAACCCTAATCTGCCGTGCAGTTGGCAGCAGTGTACCCACTATACCACACCAGTCCCTGCATAATCAGAAAAAAAAAATACACCATTGGGTCATTTAATGCATGCTATATCGTTGCACTCCATGTGATAAGTATAGATATTGACATGCTAAAGACAAGCCATATGACCTTTGAAACAAATTCGGTTTAATTAGATTAAAAACCACCTATCAGCCTTTCTTTCCTAAGATTAAAAGCCGCATAAGAACATGATCTTCCACCAGCTGAGCTGTAAGTGATCCTGTTAGTTTAAGTGAAGTGGTCTGGATGGGCTGGAACACTTCAACAGATCAATAAGGCTACATTCACAGTACAGTCTTTATTGCTGAATTCTGGATCAGATTTGATCTTTTCTAACTTTATGGTGTAGCTAAGTGACTCAAATGTTAACATTACTGAACGTGTGTCCTGAAACGACCCACATGCACACACCCTGATCAATAACGTCACATTAACAAACCACGTCATGAACAACAAACTAACCAACCGGCAGAAGGAGCTTTGTCGCCATGAAGACAATTGTTCTGTTCATTCTTAGATCAAGACAAAGGTGGAAAAGGGCCAGATGCTTTTGCACTGTTTGCAGGTATTGACTTCAGGTTTGGTGCTGCTGCCGCGCTAAATGATGTCACATCCGCAGTGAAAAAAACACATGAATTCACATCACATGGCCACTAATCGGATATCTGAACTAAGACCACATAAGAAAGTGACTTGGATCAGATTTGAAAAGATCAGATTAGTATGTCCACACAGCTCCGAAAAATCAGATCTGTGTCACATTATGGTGAAAAATCAGATTTGAGCCACTTCAACCTGGTAATGAGAACGTAGCCCAATATTTCCTGAAACTCAGCCATGAAGAGCTTTAAAGGTCTTAAACAAAACTTTATAGTTGATGCAAAACTTAACAAGATAATCAACTCAGTGTATCAACTCAGTAACTGAACTAACTCAGAAACTGAAAAATACGGAGCCCCGCTGGTGACATCCTGTATAAATAAAAATAATGCGTGGCCACAACTTCTTAACGCGTGGAAATGAGATCCTAATGCGTGGCCACGACTTAGTAAGGCGTGGGAACGAGATCGCGGCTTACTAAGTCGTGGCCACGCATTAGGATCTCGTTCCCACGCTTTACTAAGTTGTGACCACAACCTAATCATCTCATCCCCACACCTTACTAAGTCGTGGCCACGCATTATTTTTATTTATACAGGATGTCACCAGCGGGGCTCCGTATTAAAAGACAGGAGTAACATGCTCAACCTTTTCTTTCTAGATAAGCACACATGGGCTGCTGTGTTCTGGACTAGCCTATTTAGAGAGACACCAGTAATCTTAAGTCTGAGGAATGCACTTCCTAAAGAAAAATAAAGTATTACATACATACATCATCTAAACCGCTTATCCTTCTGGGTCGCGGTGGGGTGCTGGAGCCTATCCCAGCTGTCATTGGGCGGAAGGCAGGATACACCCTGGACAGGTCGCCAGTCCATCGCAGCGCAGACAGACATACACAGTCACTCACACCTAGGGGCAATTCAGCATGTCCAATCAGCCTGACTGCATGTTTTTGGACTGTGGGAGGAAACCGGAGTACCCGGAGGAAACCCACACAGACATGGGGAGAACAGGCAAACTCCACACAGAAATGACCCTGGTTGCCCAGCCTGGAATCGAACCCAGGCTATTCTCGCTGTGAGGCAACAGCGCTACCCACTGCGCCACCATGCCGCCCTTAAAGTATTACATTATATATTATTCTTACTGTTATTGCCAAAAGGTTAAATGGTGACAAAAGGGCTTTAAACTACTGTCACTGCTTTTACTGTAACCACAAATTCCTTCAGGAATTCTTGGAATGGCTAATCTCATGGTGTGATTGAAAACACATTTGTACAGTATCTGTCTGTGAGAACTGTGTGCAAACACTTCATAAGAAAGCCATTGTGAATGTGTTTATGTTGTTCGTGTGACCTCAAGGGAGTGTGTGACCAAAAACGTTTATAATTGATACACATTATTCTGCCAGATACAGTTGCTGTAGTTTAGTCATTCTGTTCCTTGGAGCACTCCTGTTCATTTTTGGCCACAATTACTCTTCTTTTGTTTCTGACTTGTGCCGAAATATAAATGGACCACAACAACAGCACCATCAACAACCCAGTCTGTTTTTGTTCTGTAGGTGATTTGCGGAAACGTCTCGTGTGGCCTGTATGAATCGTGTGCGGTGGTGAACGGTGTCCGTCAGTGCCAGCCGGTGGGTAAAGCAGTGTGTGAGGCCGCGGGCGACCCACACTACACGTCTTTCGACAGGCTTCGTTTCGACTTTCAGGGAACCTGCCGCTACACACTGTCCCAGGCGTGCGGTCTGCAGGGGACGAACCTTGTGCCCTTTTCTGTGGAGGTGGAAAATGAGAGATGGCCCTATAAAGCTTTTAAAGTCTCTGTTACCAAGCAAGTTTCCCTGGCTGTGTTTGGACACACCTTTGTTCTGAGACAAAACATGGCCCAGATCTTGGTAAATAAGAGTCCGCTGCTTTTATACTTTGCTGTCCGAACTGATTGATTGAGAATTCTGTGGTCATTCTTACTTGTATATTGTTACATTCTCTAAAAATGTGTATGTGGACGTGTTGGGTTTCACAGTGCACCCATTCAAACATGATAGATTAAAAGCTTTTATTGCTCCCATGTGATTTATTAGTAGATCCTAATCATCCGCTCTTATTATTATTTTGACAGGTGAATGGGCTGTTGACTAACCTACCATGGAGCTTGAATGGCAGCAAAGTGCAAATCTCTAAGGAGGGCATAAACTATGTGATGACAACTGATTTCGGCCTTCGTGTGACCTATGACCTCTTGTACTATGTTACGGTCACTGTTCCCAGCACCTATCGCAACAAGACTTGCGGCTTGTGTGGGAACTTTGACGGAAATCCTTCTAATGACTTCCTCCTGCCCAATGGTACCATCACAACAGACATAAATGCCTTTGGAAAAGCCTGGAAAGTTGCACTTCCTGGAGTGGAGTGTGAGGATGACTGTCAAGGCAGCCAGTGCCCAGACTGCAGCCCCAGTCTAAGGGCTGTTTTTGAACGGCCAGCGTACTGCGGGCTGCTCTCGGACCCTCTGGGCCCGTTTGCCTCCTGCCACGCAGTGGTTGATCCATCTGCTTATCTCAGAGACTGTGTTTTTGATGTGTGTGTTTCTGGGGGCAGCAGTGCTGTGGCCTGTCAGAGTGTGGCAGCCTATGCTTTCAAATGTCAAACAGCAGGAGTGGCCTTTAAGAGCTGGAGAACAGACTCCTTCTGTCGTAAGTAATGCTTACATTTTTAACTTGTTTGCTTTTGTGTTACGTTATTACTTCCAGTAATAACTAGTGATGGTCAAACCCCATGAAAACTGCAGGCGTATAAGCCAGTTATCAATCATAAAGCTGTAAGATTTTCTATGTAAGTATCATTACTGAGTCTGGAGGGAAAAAAAAACATGGTCAGTCAATCAATCAATCAACCTTTATTTCGACTTGGAAGTACATTGAGGGTGACCCTCATTTACAATGTAGGCAAGCAAATTACAAGGGATTGCAAAAGTTTAAAAGACTAAAACAAATGAAAATCATAAGATTTATATTTAAAAATGTATAATAAATAGAATAATAATAAATGTTAAAAAATAACAGCTCAGATAGAAAACAGGCATAAAATGTCATTAAAATATATAATGAAAACACTTTAAAATGAAGTAAAAGAACCAACTTAGTAAGTAATAAGAAAAGTAAAATTTTAGGAAAAACGAATTATTTACCAGAACAGTAAAAAAAAATAACATCAAATAAAACAGTTGCAATAAAATATTAAAATAAAATGAATTAATAATAATAGAAAAACATGATGTGTGCTGCTGCAGGTCACCCTGTAAAGCCTGAAATAATAATATATCTTTACATATTAACATCACACAAGTGCAAAAAGAAGGTCCAGCTCAATGTTTAGATCTCAAATGCAAAATCAACATTATACTGATGAAGATTCGACGACAATAGGTAGATAATTCACTCACATCCTCAGAAAAGACGTCCTTCATCAAGTTTTGACTGAGCTCTTTTTGAATGCTCTTTAAACACACTTGCAATCGTCAGATTCATCTACTCAGGGAAGCGGTCCGAATCACAACCCACATAACAGAATGTTCTTCTGCATGTTGCGTGCAATTACACATGTCCACCTGAGAGGTCGCCAAAAGTCCCCAAAACTTACACAATATAACCTTAAAACTTACTGTCCAGTAACTACTACACATTATGTGCTAACTACTATGAAACTAAAGTGCTATAGATCTGACTTACTTTAACAGGGCTAGGTTCTGTAATATAGTTTGTAAGGCCTTTGACTGGCTGATTTGGGATAATGTGTTTGAGATGTGGCCCCAGATTAAAATCACTGCTCTTGTCAGTAATCACTTAACCTCTTAAAGTCCCAGGCTTGTTGATATGGGTCCTTTTGGATGTTTCTTAGCAGAACCGCTGCCCCAAATCAGCGAAATGAACTTCAGTCACAACAACATTCAAACATCCTCCCAGATTTGCTTTCTAAGAATGAACCCTTTATTACATACTAAGACTTATTGTTCAGTAACTACAGGGACTTCGAAGTGAACTGGCTGAGCTATTCTTAGGTTATAGACAACTTTGGGCCCGCTGGTGGGCCCTGACCATTTAAGGGACCATTTCCGCAGGAAAAGAATCCAGACCAAATAGCACATGATATGTAGTTTTGATACAAGGGACTGAAATGTAGGCCCACAAACAGACCCTTACAGTTTTAGAGATTAATAGTCAATGATAATATCCAATATTTATATAAACTGACATGATTATAATCTAATTTTTCATTTCCCTTAACTTGAAAACAACAATATTGTCATTTTTAACATACAAGTGATTCAAGTTAAAGACATTTTTATCACTTTTAGCACAATATGTTAGCTTATTTAACACGTTATGTTCACATTTTTAACACAAAAACACATTCAGATAGGAAATATGCTGTGTTCTAGTGATCTGTTTAACCTCTTGAACCATAGTTGCATTATTTTTATTAGCCATTTAACGCTGGCATTAAACCGTGGCTATTTCTACGATTAAATCCACTCCTCTGTGTTATTACATGAATTCTTAATGCTGTTGTTGTATTTGTGTGATATGTAGAGAATGCAGTCTAATCAAGCTGAGAATTCATAGATTTTTATTTAGTTTTTCTCATGAACAAACTCTTTGAACTTGTAAACATGTTAGGAATATATACATGAATAGGAATATAAGTTACATATTAGATATGTTTTATTGTTTTATTGTTACTTGTTTTTGAAAAAAAAAAACACGGTGCATCAAACAATAAAGAAATTCTTGTGCATCTTTTATGCAGTGATAGAAAACAAGGTAGCACAAAGAAAGCTCTGAATCTACACGCTGACACATTTTTACTATATCCAGAGGGGACGTGCACACAGTGTAGGAGATCATTATCAAATTCTCAGAATAGATCGCTGACAAGACAGTCGGATTAATCTTAAAGCCCCTGCCTAATTATTTTAATGATTTTTATTCTATTATCTATAGTTTTTATGTTATTTGTACAATTGTCAGAGAGCAAATGCTGTTTTTTTTGCTCAGAGATTTTAAAAAAGACTTTTTCTGCCATTTTCTTCTGTTTGATTTGAGTTGGGTGGGACTAAATTTGGTGCAGGTGATGTCAGCCAAAGTTGCCAAAGTTCCAGCCAGCATTAGCAACATGTATACGTCAGTTACTCGCGTTCCTCTTTCTCACGTAAAGTGACTGCTCTCCCTGCTGCTCTGAGTCCCATCCAAAACTCTCAGCAAGCTTATTTTTTTCTACATTTGTTTGTAGCATAGCTAGATCCTGCTTACAACTTGCATTAGTCACCTGTTGCAGGATCCAACCATAAGCGATTAACTACATTAACGAGAGAGCGTTAGCTAGCAGTCCACCTTAACTGAAAAATTTCTTCACAGGGTCGGCAAATATGACCATGCTGACTCAGCTAGTGTGACCTCTGTTTCAGGATTCGATTCGATATGATTCAGAGGGCTGCGATGCGATTATAAAACGATTATCGATGCATCTCTTTTCTCTATACATGATTTCTATCTTCCTACTGTCTGAGGACTTGGTAGTTTTAAAGCAAAGTATTTGTAATGATCCATAATGTAAATGCATTACGGATCATTACAAATACTTTGCTTTAAATATCTAAAATATCTTTTATTAATAAATCAAATGGAAGTGATGTGGCAAGTGAACTAGAAGGCTCTCATTCAGAGACGCTGCTGCCACTCATCTAATAAACTCATAAAATGTGCTGTTACCCTGAAATTAGAAAAAGTATTTTCGAGACCGGACGCTGAATCTCGGCTCCAAAGTGTGCAGCATAGCGCGAAAGCCCTGGTTCTCAACGACCGAGAACAGTGAGCAGACAGCAGGTCACACAGCACCGAGGTCTGGCCTCGCCAGTAGCGAACGAAAAAAAAATCTGCAACGACAGTTTAAAAAAAAGTTGTGAAAATGAACTCGCTTCTCTTTCGAATTTCCCCGTTCCACCTTAAATGGTGCAGCAGTTACATTCGGCGCCTAAGGCAGAATTTAAGGTGAAAATTAGAACGAGAAGCGAATGAGAAGCGACTTCAGCCTCGTAAAACAGCCGGACGCTGAGAGATTTTACAAGAAACTCTTCTAGTTTTGAAGAAAGGTTTTCTGGCGGAGATGGGAGGAAAGCGGCTAAAGCTAAAGCTTAAAGCAGAGCGAAGTAAATCTGCGCTCTCGTTTATATTGTTTAGCCCATACTAGGACATTAACACGTACTGAGACATACTGGACATTAAATGTTGCGGCTCCCAAGGTGGTTTGACTTTGTTGAAAGGCAAAATGGCTCTTCTTAACATTTGTGTTGTGACTCCTGACCTAACCTGGCTTTGATGCAGAGGGAGCTGGTCGGATTTCTCACTCACCCAGTAGTGTTTTTGTTATGTGCCGCCACAGACTGTCCGGGCGCTGCACTTACCCACTTCCAGTTCCGCCTTTTGCGTTCCGTCAACATTACGTTATAAATTAAATATTTAGAAAATCGATTTTTGACACTTGTGAATCGATTCAGAGTCACGTCCGCATCGCGATGCATCTAAGAATTGAGTTTTCAGAGTCACGTCCGCATGCATCTAAGAATTGAGTTTTTCCCGCACCCCTAATATATATATATATATATATATATATGATATATATATATATATATATATATTAAGATATGCTGAGAAAACACACACACACACACACACACACACACACACACATATATATATATATATATATATATATATATATATATATGTGTGTGTGTGTGTGTGTGTGTGTGTGTGTGTTTTCTCAGCATATCTTTTAAAACAAATTAAAACAAAAACATTTGAAACCCTGGTTGTCAGGTAATCTTGGTTTTAAGAGGTTAATTAAGCCTTTTTGAGAGTATAGCAGACTAATTGCTCGTTATCTCTGCTGTTGATTGCTACCTTCCAGCACTGTCCTGTCCTGCTCACAGTCATTATGAGCTGTGTGCAGATGCTTGTTCTGCTGCCTGTCCTGGACTAACTGACATCATAAAATGCTCCAGCTACTGCACTGAGGGCTGCACCTGTGACCCCGGATACCTGTTCAATGGCCATGACTGCGTCCAGTACTTACAGTGTGGCTGTTATGAGGATGGACGCATGTACAAGGTAAAACGATGGGGAGTTTAAAGAACATTTTCATGTAGTTAATCAGGAAAAGACATGTTTGTGTCTGAACTCAGGTTTCAAGAAGGCTGTACCTCCTGTTTTTAGCTATGCTACATACTTTTGTCCATTTTTAGTACGTCATACAGTCAGCAATTGTCCATTTTTATAGATAACAGTATATCATAAGCACGTCTATTTGAGGTTCCTTAACAACTACACAGTTTGAGACAAGTATGTGATGATTTACACCTCATTCATACATGCTACCTTTGTGCTCGAATGCGCCGGCCTTTCATACTTACAGCTGCTGAGCGGAGCAGTGAGTAAGTTATACAGACATTCCTTCTTCCAGATGAATGGTCAATGAGTCAGTCTGCTGAATAAAAATATAATTTTAAAAAGAGCACTGTACTTCTGTTTACCCTCACCAGCATTCTGACTTGTGATTGGGCAAGCGTGGTAGAGCAACCAGGAATTCTGTGTGCGGCATGAAATGTTTAATTACTATTTCTTGATAATAATTTTTAATAACGGTAATTAATTAAATTAAATTGAATAATTTAATCTTTATAAGCTTTTATTCGGTTTTCTGTTTCATTTTCATTCATTTCTATGACGTATTTCAGTGTATTTTTCTGTGTGATGCATCGGCTCCCGGTCTTTTCTCTAAAATACTGCACCACTTCAATGCGGTATCTGGGACGCTCTGCCGCTTTGCTTTCGCAGCCTGTGTGAAAGCGCTTGCCTGTTAACCTGAGCGCCGAAATGAAAAACAAGCCATAGTGTGAATCAGGCCTTAGGCATGCCAATTTCCACTATTCTAATTGGTGGGATATAAGCTTTTGTTACTTGTTAGTTACATTAGCCTCATAGCTTCAGTTGGAAGCCAGCTTCAGACACCAAACATGTCTTGGTTGATAAACTACATTTAAGTAATTGCACTGTTATTTATTTATTTTTTTGCATGAATGTGTGTGTGTCTGGGGGTCTTTGTCCAGCCGGGTGAGGTCGTGTACCAGGCGCAGTGTCAGCAGAAATGTATGTGTGATCCAGTCATGGGTCTTATCTGTGAGACGCACAGCTGCTCTAATGGCACGCGCTGTATGCTCAGGAATGGAGTCATGGCCTGCTTTCACACAGGTCAGACAGTTTGACACTGTTATATGCTTGTACATGTCTAGATCCAGCTTTATATTTGACATAAAGCCAGAAAATATTTATATACATTTTTATACATTGCTGCTGTCGGAACAAAACCTTGTATCTCCATTTTTGTCATTTTTCAGTTTTTGACATAATTTGAAAATACCTGTTCCCCTTTTACATTTTGTATAAATTTTATGATGAATGAACTGAAAAAAAACAGCCCAAAATGGCTTGGAGAAAAGTCTGGTTCCGTTGACTTACATTAAAAGTAAAGTATGTTTCTTTATTCCTCCTGTAAAGTTACCATTTTGGAGATACAAGGTTTTGTTCTGACAGCAGTGATATGATACCTTGTTATATGTACTGTTTACACGTAATGTAAATCCTTCAGTAATATGCAATATGTCATGTTTTGTAGTAGTTTATAATGTATGTTATAACACAAATGCAGTTAGCTATATTAACTCTGGCTGAAAGATCCATTTATACAATTTCATGCAACATTTTGAACACTCTTTACTAGGAACAAACTTAAATATGAGATTTTTGTGCAAAGTTTAGTGCAGAGTTTCTGTTTATTTGCTCAATTTAACATATTGGAAAAAATAAAGCATAAAATCTAAAACTTTCCCACACGATTTACCTTTTTTTTTCCCTAATATGTTAGCCAATATGTTAAATTCAGCAAAATTGTACATTAAAATTTGTTTTCAGAAGAGGGTATGATAACTTATTTTTACTTTAATGAAATTATATTTAATTAAATGCAATTTGACCAGTGTTAAATAAACAAACTAATAAATAAATAAATAAATATTCTTAACAGGTAAATAACCTGTACTCATATAAAACATAGCTAAACTGATTTTAGACAGATTTGTTTGTCTTAAGGAACAGATTTCATTGTAAATATTCAGATTGAAACATGTATGTTTGCTTAGTTTCCACATACTATTTATTTATTATGTATTTCTTGTTCAGAATGGTCCAAAACATTTTTTCCTAAATGCTTTTCTGTACTTTACCCTCCAAATGCTTTACCGTAGCTTATCATAGCTTACATAATGCTACATTACCTAATGCTTGGGTTTCTTATCGTAGTGTAATTCTTGTCTTTGTTCTTTGTGTGTGATTCTCTGTTGTTGTTCTAGATCCATGTGTGGACGCTCGTTGCCGTGAAAAGGAGATTTGCCGTGTCATAGGGGACCAGGCTGTGTGTGTTCCCATGTACAGTGCCACCTGCTGGGCCTGGGGTGACCCACACTACCTCACCTTCGATGGCTTTAACTACGACTTCCAGGGCACCTGCAGGTACACCCTGTCCAAAACCTGCGGCCACCTGGACAGCCTGGAGCCCTTCTCTGTGACTGAGAGCAACGACAATCGTGGCAACAATGCTGTGTCTGTTGTGCGAGAGGTAGAAGTGGAGGTGTATGGCATTACTGTCACCATACAGAAGTACCAGTGGGGTCAGATCATGGTAAGAGTTCACTGCTGAAAAAAAGGTACATTATTTTGGCCTCAAAAGACAGCTGGCTCTATTTTATAAAAAAAAATAAATAAATCCAAGATTACATTTGTTGTTTCTAATGTCAGAGCAGAACATTTACAGGTAACATTTATAGAAACTTACAGACTCAGATTTCTTTACAGTGGTGGTGATAGAAATCAGGGGTTGCAATGTCTCCAACACAAATATAGCAGTTTTATTTATTATTTAAAACGTGAAATGAACCTAAATGTGTCTTCTGAGTTTTCATATGCAATATTGATGCAAAAAAAGTGATGAATGTGAAACATTTTCTTTAGGGCTGCTATGAGGATTTTCAAAAAAATACATTTTATACCAAAACCAAATCAAATTTTTTATCCAAAAAACAAAAGAAAAAAAGAAAAAGCATCAGGGAACATATTTGTAAGCATTTCCTGAAATAACTTTCTGTGAGGGAGCTTTCAGAATCAGACGTTTGGTTCCTATCACCACTACTGTGATCAATTCTGACTCAATTTCTCTAGAACAGAGCATTTCACACCAAACCACTCTGAGTGACTTTGTTTACATCTTAAGCATTTAATTATGCAGAAATTTGGCTAATTCCCCTTTAATAATTGTACAGGACATTATAAACTACACTGAAAAAAGTCTGATGTGTTGAATTTAGTTGATTAATTGTCTTCACAAGGACAAATATATCACTTCAACACAATCATTGAAAAAGTAAGTAATGAAAGACAACACTGTGTTGATATTATATATTTTACCAACGTGGAAATAATGTACACAATTGAATCAAGTAAATACAGTGCATCACATTTTTCACTGTAACACAACTTTGTATGTATATTTGATTATTACATATTTACTATATTTGCAAGCACATCATATACACTGAAAAAAGTAATGCATTACATTTACTTTTATTAAATGTGAACATCATTTTTCCCCTTTAATAAAATATATTTCAACACATTTCAATCAATCAATCAATCAATCAATCAATCAATCTTTATTCAAACTCAGTGTACATTGAGAGAGACCCTCAGAGTCAGTGTAGCTGAGTCAATACAGAGATCAGGGATTGAGTACTTAAATAGTAAAAACACAACAGTAAAATGCTAAAACGTAATAATAATCATAGTAGTGAATTTTAAAAAATTAAATCAATAAACCATTCAAATTACAAAAGTATGGTAACTTAATAAATTTACAGTCAAACGTAAGTAAACCATAGGACAAACTTAACAACAATAAAAAGTCAAGTACTTCCTGTAGAGCCCTTTTTATGTATGCATATATTATTCTTATTATTTTATTATTTTATTATCTTTTTTAATATTGTGTTTGGTGGAAGCTCAGTGAACAGAGAACTTGGCAGTTCCCTGCTTCAAACAAAGTGTAGATCCTAGCATTAAATAAAGTAAATATTTGGGCTTATTTAATTCCCTTTATTGTCTATATTTAATGTCTGTTATTATCATTATTATTATTAAGTAAGCAGTTTATGGGAATGCTCTAATAATACAGTGAGTCGTCCTCTGGGTGTCTGTACACAAAAGCTCAGTGGCTGCTCTTTATAACAGACTGATTTCTCGGATACCTGAGAAGGCCACTGGATATGTGTAATGTAGGACAGAGAGACAGTGTGCTTTGAAAGCTCTCCAGGTCAGGCAGCGTGTGACGCAGTAGCCTTTTCCCTCAGGAACACAAGAAAGCAGCGTAAACAACACCCATTTTCACACAGTCTCAAATGAGACCCTGTCAGGTTACTTACTGGACTGCTTGGTACAGTGCTAGTTATGTAATTAGTCCTGCACTGTGAGCAGGTCTTTCTTAGTGACTTTAACTCTGAGGTTTGAAGAGCTTTCATTGTTTTCTTCTATTATACTTACTGAATGTAGTTTGGTGCATAAAGCAACAATTAATTCTGATTTACTATTTCAGTCCGGGTCCAAAATGGTAAACAGAAGCCACGCAGCCGAAGAGCGAAGCAGTTAATTAACACTTCAGTTTCTGCATTACTGATAATCACTGTACTGCTAGGATGTACAAATTCATTTTGATTGTATGTGGGATGCACTGTAATTATGTGCTAATTAGTTTCTCTGCAGCTAAACTGACTCTAATAGAAAAGGACTCAACTTGAGCATCATAGTTTATGAACATTTAACTTTTATTACTGCTATGTGAATTAGATTAAATCAGGCCAGTTTGTATTGCACTGATGCTCAATACAGCGCTTTTGAAAGATGCTGTGGTGTGTAGGCACTAGAAACACTCTTTTGCTGTCTTTTTCACTTGTTTTGTGCATCTGAGTACTAATTTCAGAAGTGTGCAAAGAATGATGGGTGAATGGATGGATGGATGGATGGATGGATGGATGGATGGATGTTTTTTCTAAAAATGTTGCGACTTTGAAAGTAGAAGGTTTGTTCTGACAGCAACAATATTATATAGAGATAATATACAGATAATGATGCATTATTTACATTAGCGCTGTCACTATTGATTATTAGATTAGATTCAACGTTATTGTCATTGTACACAGGTACAGAGCCAATGAAATGCAGTTAGTATCTAAGCAGAAGTGCAAAATATAGTATTATTTACATACAAAGTGCAAGGAAGTAACTTGACACTTATAATATGAACAAATAAGAATGGTAGAGTGCTAAAAAATATAGACGTTGCAAATATAAATATAATATACGTTAAAAACGGAGTGAGTGGAGAGAATGCAAATGTAGGTGGTATGTACTGCCAGAGCGTATCGCTGCTATCAGAAGATAACCATGTATCTCCTTTGTTGTTGTTTTTCAGTTTTTGACATAGTTTGAAAATGTATGTTGCCATTTATGTTGCGTGTGAATTTCATGAAGAATGGACCAAAATGACTTGGAAAGAATTCTGGTTCCATTGACTTACATTAAATTTAAATTATGTTTTTTGCTTCTCCTGTAAGCTTATCATTTTGGAGATACAAAGTTTGGTTCTGACAGCAGTGATATGTAAAAAGATAAGTATGCAGAATAAAAAAAAAGTGCAGTAACTGTCTGTGCAAATATAGATAGTGCAACAATACTTGGACATAAAGTACAATAACAGTGCAGTGAGTGCAAAGATGCAGTTAAGGTGGCCGTGTGGAGTTCAGCACAACCTCAGTAGGCTCCTATAACACCAGTCAGATTATGTTAGTAATCGAGTAATCCGATGATCATTTCTACAATTTGTGTTTTTTTAAGGCGAAACAATAAAAACAGGCTTAACCAAACAATAAAATACTATGCAGAATATGTGTAATTTCTTATGGAAATTATGAATGTATGGAAGTATGAATGATCAGGGTATAAGCAAATTCAATGTAATGCTTTTTAAGTAATTTAAATGCCAAATATACACTCTTAAAAAGATGGTTCATCAAGGGTTCTTCAGTTAAGAAAACGATGCTATATTGAACCATGAACACTCTAAGAACCCTTTTGCATGCATAAATGATTATTTGCATCATGAGTAAGTTCTTCAGAATGTGCTGTAGATGGTTTCCTTTTCAAAAAGGTTCTATATAGCACCCAAAAGGGTTTTTCTATTGTTACAATGTCAAGCTTGCAACAATAGAAGAACCCCTTTGGGTGCTATATAGAACCCTTTTCAAAAAGGTTCTATATAGAACCACCCACAGCGCATTCTCAATTTTCATGATGAAAAAAAAATAAATAAATAAAATAAATTAAGGATGCAAAGAGTTTTTTGAGGGTTTTTTGAGTGTTCGTGGTTCTATATAGAACCATTTTCTATACCCAAGGAACCTTGCAGAACCATCTTTTTTTTAAGAGTGTAATGAAATACTCAGTGCTCAATTTTAGTCATTTCTTGCTATTCATATTACAAACAAATCACTCAGCAGATTTATTGAGTACATTTAATTGCTTACCTTTTATTTTGCATAATTCATTTTAATCAGGTAATCATGCAGCCCAAATTTACAGTCAATTAGGTGAATATTTACATATGATATAACTTGAGGTTGCCATGATGCACCTAACCCCTAATTTTGAGGTAGATCTTTGTTTGGGGTTCCAGTGCAGAAGCATTAATGGCTGATTTGTGTCTGCAGGTGAATGGAGAAAGGCTTTATCTGCCTCTGGTGCTTCTCGGTGGCCGAGTGAAGCTCAAGCAGATCGGCTCTTCTGCCGTCATGGAAACAGACTTTGGCCTGCGAGTGAGTTATGACTGGAACTCTATGCTTTACCTGCAGCTGCCCAGCAGCTACTACAACCGTGTGTGTGGCCTGTGTGGAAACTTCAACGGAAGCCGAAACGATGAACTAAGTGACCCGGCGGGCGTCCCACAGGCCACAGTGGCTCAGTGGACCAGGAGCTGGAAATCAAACAAATCTGAGGCTAACTGCAGCGATGGCTGCGAGAGAGACTGTCCCGTGTTTTCAGCTGACCAGCAGAAGCTGTATAACACAGACGCTTACTGTGGTGCCCTGACGTCCACGAGCCTGGACGTTTTTACGTCCTGCCGTTCTAAAGTGGATCCTGCAGTGTTCCAGCAGAGCTGTGTGTATGATTTATACTTCAATAACGGAGACCCCAGGCTGCTCTGTGATGCCCTAGAAGCTTACGTTAGCAGGTGCCGCCTTGAAGGCATCGTCATTACTGGCTGGAGAGAGAAATTCAACTGTTGTAAGTGTCCTGGATTCGAATGTACATTGTGCATCAAATGTTTGAGGATACCAAACGTTTCAAAATGGCTTTTAATGCAAGCCAGTCTATTTTTCTTGTCAACTTGCTTAACATACTAAACACGTTAAATAGGCAGGTTTATTTAGAGAAAAAAATTTTAAAAATCATGTGACGTTTGTGACAGCGCAATTTTTGGAACAGTGCCAAAGGCCATCCTCTTGTTGTGATGTCAGCCCTCATCAGCACTCCACCTTACACAAAAACGGTTATAAATTCATTGCCTGATGCCTTAAACATTTTTTTTTTTTTTAGATAATCCTTTTGGCTATAATGCATTTTTATCTATTTATGGTGGAGAGGTACATGCAGGGCATTATAAGGCAAAATAGTACTCATAGACAATAGTTTGGATAGTAAATAAAATGGATATATTTGCATTGCAGACGTTGTGACCCATGGTTTCCTGCCACCTCACTGTTGGTAAATCTTTCTATAGGGAACCCCTTCACATCAAACCACTCTGAATGACTTTGTTTACATCTCAACAACAGCATTATGCAGAAATAAATAAAAAAAATCAAAAAAAAAAATCAGTCTGTGAAGTCAGTGAAGTGTCAAGTGTTGCTGCCAAACTTTGTTTTTTACTGCTTTGGCAAATAAACGAGGGTCTGTAAAAAGGGGCACAGGCAAATCAGCAACTGAGAAAAAAGTAAAAATAAGAAGGCATGTAGATTCCAGGATAGTCCAAAATAGTTAGCACACTTATATTTATGATTCAGTTATTAATCCTGAGATTAACCCCTTAAAATCCCAGTCTTATTACATACTAAGGCGTATTATTCAGGTACTACAGGCAGCACATGGGTAGGATAATACAGTCTCTCTACAGACTATTTTATAAAGACGATTTGAAAAAAATCACTATATTAATGTTTAGATTTTGCTGTTACATTCAGTCAAACTGATTAAAGTCAGCATATCGCTGTTGTTGGAAGAAAACATTGTATCTCCAAAATGATAGCTTTACAGGATAAGGCAAAAAACCTACTTTACTTTTAATGTAAGTCAATGGAACCAGACTTTTTTCCAAGTCATTTTGGGCCGTTTCTTTTGGTCCATTCATCATGAAATTTACACACAATGTAAAGGGGAACAGGTATTTTCAAATTATCAAAAACTGAAAAACGACAGGTATGGAGATACAAGGTTTTCTTCTGACAATAGCGATATACAGACTTTGGTTCTGCAAATATTGACTTTTTTTACCTCCGTTTTTTGCTAGCTTACATGTCTTGACACATATTGGGCAAATTGTTGTGATTGTATTTGTGTGTGCTTAAAAACAGGCGAATATTGCACAGTGTTTGCCTGGTGGGAATATGCCAAGGCCAAGTTTAATTACTGAGTGATTACTATGATCAGTTCAGGAACTACTATGAGAGTAATATGAAAGTTATGCACTTATGAGAGTGAGGAAATGAAATATGAATATTACACCTTAGAATATTACATAATGCATTATGGTTCAGTTTCCTGGACAGAAACTAAGCCTAGTTGTGAACAGTATTTTTCTATTCAATGAGAATCGCCTTTTGAAGTCCAGGACATGTCTTAGGTGTGATAACCTTAATCTAAGAAAAAGAAAGTTGTCCATGTAGCACTTACCACCTCTTTTCTCTCCCACAGCCATGAGATGTCAGCCGCACAGTCACTATGAGGCCTGCGCTTCTCCGTGTAATTCAACCTGCCCCTCTACGCAGCAGCAGCCCAACTGCACGGGCGTGTGTGTGGAAGCGTGTGTTTGTGACCCTGGCTTCTTCCTCAGTGGCAGCACCTGTGTACCTGCTGACCAGTGTGGCTGCTTCTACGAGGGCCGTTACTACCAGCAGGGCCAGAGCTTCTGGGCAGACGAGAAGTGTCGGAGGCGGTGTGTGTGTGACTCCACGCTGGGTGTGGTGGTGTGTCGTGAAGCCTCATGCTCAGCCAAGGAGACATGCGCTGTAGTGGATGGCGTCAGAACATGCGTGGCCTCCAGCAGCGCTACGTGTGAAGTGTTTGGTGACCCTCATTACCGTACATTTGATGGACAGCTATATGACTTCCAGGGTTCCTGCATGTACCAGCTGGTGGCGCTGTGCTCTAACAGAACGGATCTCGTGCCTTTTAATGTTACTGTGCAGAATGAGCGTCGTGGAAGCTCAGCAGTGAGCTTCACCAGGACGGTGATGGTGTCTGTGTTCGGTGTTGAGATCACCATGACTAGAGAGCATCCTTATCAAATACTGGTGAGTACAGGACAATGTAAGACAGACATGCTGGACTGAAAACACATTGAATTAACTTGATTCAAATTAGGGATGCATCAGTTCAGACCACGTACAAGTACATGTTTTTAAGTAGTATACTGATTACAATACCATACTGAGTTAGAATTAAGTAGTTGTTAGTGTAAATGAGTGTATTGCACCTTAACAGTTAAATTGCTCCTTAGCTTGCTATGCTAACCCTAGTTACCTTGGATGGAGTAGAGCTGCAGTAGGGGAGAGTGTGTTTTGTTCCACGTCATTGAAGTGCTTCTGTACAGCTGTCCGATATCAATACCAATACCTGATCCCTTAGTATCAGCCGATACCGAGTACCGATACCAATGCTAACTTTATCTAACTTAACTCACCTACAAGTCCTGATATTTATTCAATTTTATTTTTAAAATATTTTATTTTGGTAAAATCTATGTTTTGCGTCACAAATAAAACAATCTTGGCTTGGCTAGATGGTCAAGATTTACTCGTTGGATTATATTTATTATATGCTTAAGAAAGCATATAATAAATATATATAAACTTTAAATTATTAATTATATATTATATTATATATATATTATATTATATATATATTAATTAATTGTATATATTTAGCATTTACTATTATATAATTAGTAATAAGAACCAAGTTTAACAACTTAAGTCAGTGTAAAATATCTTTGTTATGTAAAACGTTTCAGACGTGCTGCATCTCTGAGCATCAGTTCAGTAAATATCACCGTCATTCACGCAGTATTAGCAACTTTCTGTGTTTTTCTGGATTGGTTGAAGCGTCAAGCTGCGAGACCCCACTGCTGAGTGATATAGCTGACCGACGGGCTATGCTAAAGGATAAATCAAAACTAAAGGCTATAATCACGTCAAGAGTTTGGTGGTTCCTCCCGCTCTCTCAATAACATTAACTCAGACTGTAAGTGACCACACAACGGCAGATGAGTGATTACTGAAAGCAGCAGCTCGGTTGTTCAGCTAAGCGGCTCTGTTAGCATGTTCTTCACACCGAATGCTGCTGTAACAGATTCTGCAATGAGCATTTTTACTGATGCTTCTCGTCCCACACTGCCGATATGTTGTTAAGTTCTGCCTACTGGTGCTCATGCACGCATCAGAAATTGCTTAGCGGTGTCAGTCATAGGTATCGGTATCCCCATCATGATGCCGATACTACATTTAAGTGTCGTATCGGTATCGGTGCAACACTATTTCATAGTTTTGCTCCTCATCTGTTTCTTTCAACAACAGTCTCTGCAGCGCAGTGACAGCAGGAATTACATCTGAGGCTAATGCATCTGAAGAGGTCCATTGACAAATTTTACATCTTGTTGGAGTCTTTTTGGCTGGTTGGCTGGTAGAGCTGTAGTTGAATGTCCTCCAAAGCTCGGCACACACTGCGAGATTTTAGAAATCTTTGGTGACTCACACTGTATGTTTGAATAGGCCATTGTGTACGGACAAGGCCTGCGATTTTTATTCTCACGCTGTATGAAAATGCTCGGTTGACATGCTCAGTGAAATGCAACCATATAGACAGCTTTGTAATAAAGATGTTTCATTAAAAAAAAAACACTGCACACCCGAGTACCGAGCCGAAATGCTGAGAAACAGCAGCTTTGCTAACTTATACCATACTGTGCAAAGAAAACTAAAAGCAGGCAGTGATGTACATAGGGAGGACAATACAGTCTCTCTACAGACTATTTTACAAAAATAATTTTAAAAATCATGATATTAAAGTTAAAGATTTCACAATTCAATTTAGTCAAAACAGATAAAAGTCAGCATATACAGACTTTGGTTCTGCAAATATCGTCTCGACACATATTGGGGAAGTGGTTGTGAGTGTATTTGTGTGTGCTTAAAAACAGACTAATATCACACAGTGTATGCCTGGTGGAAATATGCCAAGGCAGCAAGTTTAACCCCTTAAAATCCCAGGCTTTTTGCATACTAAAGCTTATTCTTCAGCAACTACAGGAACTTCAACGCAAACTGAACTATTCTTAGGTTATAGAAGTGCGTAAAAAACTTCGGGCCTGCTGGTTGGGCCCCGGCCATTTGAGGGGTGAAAGTAACCAACGACTACCAGTATTGGTATTAATGCATCACTAATTCAAATGTGTGCAGGGGTCAATATTGCATCCTTTGCCTCAGGCCAGAACATTTCAAATTTTGGCTACTATAAATGTGGCCCTGGAGATTGTATTTTATTTATTTATTTTTTTTCCATTTTAACAGTCTACCAGGCATAGTCTATTTACACAAATTGACAAAGATCCACCACGCTCCAGCACAAGATCCAGAGCCTGTTTGGTCAGACACAAAGCTAATTGCATCATAACAGATTTTGTCAGAATTCACTTACTGTAATGTTAACATGAGCACTGTTAGTGTTACCAGCTGTTGTGATGACTTAAATTATGGCTTTACTGCTGGTGGAGGCGCTGGCAATAAAAAGACTATTTATAAATGATGATGACTCAGAAAAAACAAAAAACAAAGAAAGATTTTGTGTGGCTAGAGAATGATTTTGAGAGAGAAGTGATATTCTCTAAAGTATGTGAGTTTCCAAGACAGGCAGACACCATAAGCTCATTACCAGGATTAACTCATTTAGAAAACATAATATTCAAAAACACAGATGCAGCTTTCAAAAAATCTAAAGCAAAGCTTTACTGGTTTAAAGAAAAAAAAAGATAATCCACGGTATGCTCGATATGACGATATCCATATGCTCAAAAACACATATTGTTTATTGCCAATCTCTATGTCTACACCTGAATGAGTACATCATTCTCCCCATACATAAAATATATTCCATCAACATGGCAATCGGAAGTCATTCATCACAACTGGATCTGGTTTTGTTTGTGTCTTGCAGTAGCCCACATTTCAATCAAATTTTAGATTAAAAATAATACAATATATTACATCCCTGTTATTGGACTGTAAATGTTTACACTGGAATATAAAACACCAAAAACAGTTCATAATCCACAATTAGCATGATTCTCACTGAAATCTAACAACAAATCAACAAGAAACCGTGATTAACATTGTTTCTTTACACTTAACTAATACATTTCCTTTCAATCTTCCTTTCAAGCCAACTGATACCAGACCCATTAAATGTTATGCTTTAGTTTCTCAGCAGTATGTGCCCAAAATGTTCGCTATGACATTCAAATTATATTTGCTTAAATCTAAACAGTTGTATCTTTTACACACTTTTATGTGTGAATCTTTAAAATGCTGTATAACACTTTACCAGATTTCCACGTGTAAAAAAAAGCCACATAAGTTCACTGGCGACTAAATTTGGTGTGGCTTAATGCAGCTGAATTACGAGGCACTGACTTTGATTAATTCAGTACTGTTTTATTTTCTTTAGTTGGGTGGCCTACTCACGGATCTCCCTCTCGAGATGCGAGACATGCTTGTGGTTTATCATGGTGGTGTCGCTGCTGTCCTGGAGACGACCTTTGGCCTGCAGGTGACTTTTGACTGGACCGGCAGGCTCTGGGTCTCTCTGCCCAGTGTGTATGGCGGAGCTGTGTGCGGCCTCTGTGGAAACTACAATGGCAGTAGTCAGGATGACTTCACCTTGCCAAATGGCACCATAGCACCTGATGCAGTGGCACTGGGCCAAAGCTGGCAGGTGGGCAGCACACCTGATTGCAGCTCAGCTCCATGCCAGAACACACAGTGCTTTAACTGCTCAGGAACGCAGAAGGAGGATGCCCAGCGCAACTGCAGCATCATCACTGACCAGACAGGTCCATTTAAAGAGTGCCATGCCGTGGTCGACCCTGGATCCTATGCAGCTAACTGTGTGTTTGATACCTGCCAGTATCAGGGACGCCAGAGTGTGTTGTGTGACGCTATAGCAGTTTATGTCTCAGCCTGTCAGAGTAAAGGTGTGGCTATCCGACCCTGGAGAAACGGCACTTTCTGCTGTGAGTAACCAGTTAGACCTCTGCATTTCAGTACAGCACAACTGCATTCACAAATTCCAAACACAAGCATGGACACATACTCATCGAATTTTTACTATTTTCTACATGTAATAAAACTCAAAAACCCAACTAAATAACATATATGGAATTAAGCAGTGACCAAAAAGGAGTTAAACAAATTCAATCCATCTTTACAAGCTCATCATATAGCATTATTAAAACATTTAAAAATAAGCTTTTAGATCAACACAGTCTTTATGAAAAACATAGATCTATTCAAGTGTTTGCAAGCATTTTACCAGCACTGTACATGTTTGTGCGTGTAACTTCATAAAAACTACAGGCTTATAATTCAGTTATTAATCTTACCTGTTACTCAGTAAGTACTGTGAATTTCTCAGTAACTGCTACAAACTATTAGTAACTACTATGAATTGATCAGTAACTGCTACAAATTATTAGTAACTACTATGAATTGATCAGTAACTGCTACAAATTATTAGTAACTACTATGAATTGATCAGTAACTGCTATGAATTGATCAGTAACTGCCACAAATTATTAGTAACTACTATGAATTGATCAGTAACTGCTATGAATTATTAGTAACTACTATGAATTGATCAGTAACTACTATGAATTGATCAGTAACTGCTATGAATTGATCAGTAACTGCTACAAATTATTAGTAACTACTATGAATTTGTCAGTAAGTACTACAAATTATTCTGTACCTAGAAATAATTCAGAGACTTATATAAGCCATTCACTAATGAATTATTCAGTGACTACTATAAATTATTCACATACTACTATGAATTATTCAGTATCTACTATGAGACTAATGTAAAAGTTATGTAGTTACAAGTGTGATGACACAAAGTAAAGACCCACTTACCAGCCTTTGGAGTTTAAGGGGTTAATTTATCAATACTTCATTTGTTGATTTGTGTGTTTGTACAGAACACTTTCCTGCATCACTGATACAGTCCTGTCCTTTTCTACAGCTCTGTCCTGCCCACCCAACAGTCAGTACAGCCTCTGTGCCCCAGGCTGTGTGGAGACCTGTGCCAGTCTCTCCTCTACCTGTAGAAGACCCTGCGCCGAGGGCTGCCGGTGTGACCCAGGCTTTGTGTTCAGTGGTCAAACCTGTGTGCCGCTGGCTGAATGCGGCTGCTTTTATGGAGGCCGTTATTACAAGAAGCACCAGGTGTTCTACACAGATGTGCAGTGCCATGTGAGATGTGAATGTGGTGTAAATGGGGCAGTCGCCTGCCAGAAGTCCAGCTGTGGCCCGGGGGAGACCTGTGGTGTCATAGATGGGGTGTTGGGCTGCCATCCAGATGGATACAGCAGCTGCTTGGCCACCGGAGACCCTCATTATACGTCATTTCGATGGTCGGATGTTTGACTTTCAAGGTGTCTGTGTTTACACTCTGGCCAAAGTGTGCACGAACGCTGGAGAGAAACTGATTTATTTTTCTGTGGAAACAGAGAATGAAAGTGTTGGATGGGCATCTGTGGTCAAGGCAGTGACCGTGTCTGTCTATAACTTCACTATCAAGATCAGACAAGATGAGAGTGGAGAGTGGAGAGTGAGGGTGAGTGCTTAAGGCTCTTCACACAGGCCCCCTAGTGGTGCAGACACTAACTTCTCTGTTGGTGTTAGATGCAGTACAGCGGTTTCTGAACATGTTTAACACACATTTAGACCAGAATTCAGACGTGACAGCTCATTTTAGGGGATTGGAAGCATTTGTTCAATCATCATATTGCATTTATGTTTATTATGTTTTGGTAAATATACTGACCACTCACATTATTAGAAATCCCCACCTTGTACTTGTACTCAATGTCCACTATATGAGCTCCACCTTCATTATAGGACCACGATATATGTAGAGACTGTAGTCCATCTGTTGTTGGTCTGTTATCAGCTGCACTCTACCCCATTCATCATTGGTCAGTTTCTGACCACAGGGCCACTGTTGACCAGATGTTATTTGTGTGGTGAATGATTCTTAGCACAGCAGTGACATTGACATGGTAGTGGCGTGTGGTGCTGGTGTGAGTGTATCAGAGTGTAAATGATGTCGCTTTAGTTCTTACACATCAGTGTCACTGCTAGGTTGAGAGCGGACCACCACCTAAACATATCCAGCCAAGATCGGCTCTGTGGTCTGAAACTGACCACTGATGAAGGGCTAGAGTATGACAAAGACAAACTTCAAAAGACGAGCTGCAGTCTCTAACTGTACACCAGCAAGTTGGAGCTACAAGTGAGGGGTTTCTAATAAAGTGTATGTTGCTAAATGACCACCTACTTGCTGGCAAACCGCTATCATTTTTGATATATCGTCTGAATTTCCCGTTTTGCCAGGTGAACAGTGAAATCATAAACCTTCCCACAGCACTGGATGGCAGAATCTTGCTGACCAGGCTGGGTTTTGGTGTCAGACTGCAAACTGACTTTGGGCTGCAGGTGTTCTACACTACAAACCATGCAGAAATCAAAGTCCCATCTACCTATAACAACAGCATGTGTGGATTATGTGGCAACTACAATGGTAACCCTGCTGATGACTTCCTGCTGCCCAGTGGTAATCAGACCACTAGCGTGGATGCGTTTGGACAGGCTTGGATGCTGGCGCCGCCTGGTGTACCGTGTGGAGGCTGCGAGGGGATTTGTCCAAAGTGTGAGGCGGCCAAAGCGGCACTGTACCGTGGAAATGACTCATGTGGACTTATCTCACTGCCTGCTGGTCCCTTCAGTGGCTGCCATAAGCAGGTGGATCCCCAGGCATATGTGAATAACTGTGTGTTTGACATGTGTGTAATGGATGGGAGCCTGACTGCGCTTTGCCAGAGCATTCAAGCTTACGCCTCTGCCTGCCAGCGAGCAGGACTGTACATCCAGGCCTGGAGAAACAGCTCCTTCTGCTGTGAGTGTCCTTCAGAAAACCTGTTCCTGTTATAAAATCTGATTGGCTGAGCCACATTCAAAGACTTTATGATACTTAATTGTGATTTTTGCAGTTATTGTTGATAAGAAGTTATTTATTTATTCATCATATTGTATTTTGCATTTTATAAAACCACTTTTGGCAGACTTTTGTTTTCACAATTCACTCTTGTATTTACTGCCACTTTAGAGCTGCACAATTTCCATAGGTGGAGTTTTAGTTTGTGCTGGGGGGCATAAAGAATGTCTATCTAGTATGAACAAATGCAAGCATGTGTACTGAGCCTCCTGATCTGAACAATTACTAAATGAAGTTTACTAGATTAGAAATATTTTATGCTTCTGAGACATACAGAGTTGCTTGAAAGTTTGTGAACCCTTTGGAATTTTCTATATTTCTGCATAAATTTGATCTAAAACTTCTTCAGATTTCACAATAGTAGATAAAAAGAACCAAATTAAACAAATGAGACAAAAATATTAGACTTGGTCATTTATTTATTGAGAAAAATGATCCAATATTACGAATCTGTGAGTGACAAAAATATGTGAACCCTTAGGATTAGCAGATACCCCAGACTACTGACTACTACATATATCTGCTTCATCGTCTCTAAGTTACATCTCTGCTAATCTGAAATATCATATTGAATTGAACTGAACTGACATACTGACCCGAAAACAGTTTCACTGAATTGAATAGAAAAGGATTTGTGACCTTTTTATCATGATTAAATAACACAATATTCTGTATGTTGTTTCATCTTAGCTGCCCGATGTCCAGCTAACAGCCACTATTCACTCTGCTCCGACAACTGTGCCAACACCTGTGCCAGCCTCACCTGGCCAGGGAGCAGATGTCCGAAGGCGTGTCTGGAGGGCTGCCAGTGTGATGAGGGGTTTGTGTGGGATGGTGATGCGTGTGTGCCTCTGAAGGACTGCGGGTGTGTTCATGAGGGAAAATATTTGAAGGTGCGATCTGTTGCTCACTCATTTTCACACTGTCAGTGCACAAGACCTTTAAAGTGCTTTGATTAATGATGTGTGTGCAGGCAGCTAATAGGTATAGATACAGTATGTATTTATAAATAATGCCTTTTACCAGCCATATAATGTCAGTGAACCCAGGCAGCCTTTTGTAGCATTTTCAAAGGTCAGTCCAGCAGCTTCATATTTGAATCAGAAATATTAACCCTTTAAACTAAGGGTCTGTAACTGAGCCCCATTTTAAATCCTCTCATACCTTAAATGCTCTCATACCTTATATAGTGCTTTCAAGGTAATTTGGTAATCTATAGGAATTTATACTAACTGTAGGATGAGTGTCAAGATTAAGAACTAATAGAAGTGTAAAAAATGTAGTGTTGTGTTGCTGCGATCTGAAGGCGTGAATTCAGATGCATTAATTTTGGAATGTTAAAATCAATTATAAATATATTTAATAAAATATTTAATAAAAAAAAACATTTTTTGGTTGAAATAAATTTGTTAAGCTATTTTCAAGTGTAAGAATCCTGTAAAAGCATGGTGTAAGGTAGAATGGGGCGCACCCTAACACATTTTTTTGTTGAATAACTTTAAAAATATATAAGGTGGAATAATCGTATTTTTATACAAGCAACATATACATCTCTGCTCCAAACGAACACTTGAACTTTGTTTGTAGCACCTACTGTTCATGTACAATTCCACCAAAAATGACGGGAAGCACAATGTTACAGTTTACCCCATGGGTGGGTTAACTGTAACAGACAGAGGGTCAGTTTATCACCTGCTAGAAAAGTTTGACGGATCATTTCAAACAAAGTTAATTCAGTATAGTTATATGTTGTAAGAGACAGATATTTTCCAACTGTGCTGCATTATATATTATCTATCTATAAGACAGAGAGACAGCTCAACCTATAGATACACATACATCACATTATATACCAAACTGACACGAGACTGTGTGTCAAACAATGACAGATTTTTTTTTACGTCCAGTGAAGGACAGCAAATAAAAACATCACACATCAGTAAAATATGGAACATTGTTTCTGAATAACTACAGCTTTACCAGCTGTTAATGTCAATATCATCAATATACTTTTATACTGTAAAACCAAAACACTAACATTTGAAAGTTACTAATAAAGTAGAAAATTGTTTTTTCTCTTTTTTTATTTTAAAATCTGTGTAAACAAATGGAACAAAAAGACAAAATTTACTTTATTTGTCTTTGTTTACTAAAGGTGGCTTAGTTCTAACACTGTATCAACTAACAGTATGGAGGCTGTACTGAAGCCTAGCTGGCGTTGGCTGTGAGCTTGTCAGCTGCTACAAAACAGTGCTGCATTGTCGGCAACAAGATGATGATTAAAGTAAAAAAAAAATTGTATGGAAAAAAAATTACTTACATGTCCTGAAAACACTCTTTGGCACAGATCTCTTTAAAACACTGAGGAATCGCTCTGAATTTTGATGGGAGAGCGTGGCTAGGAAATGTGGTAATGTGGTCAGAAGCTCATGCTGCTTGAACTTCTTTAACAATGTAAAACATCAGTGTGAATTTGTGCCCCGCGTTAGTTTGTTCCCCTATTGCTTTTATTGTCTATAACCCACTACTATGTCTGTATTTCTTCTGAATTCTGAACTGTACCTAATTAATTGAATCGACTCATGAGATTCCATGACTGAATCTTTTTTTTTAACAGAATCTAATCATTTTGGTCAGATATGTGCATTTCTAATGAGTGAATAATATGCCAAATGTCATCATGGTTTTCCATACTTATTTACACCCTCCCAGTTTTAACAGGTCCCATGTCAACATTACTAATATGGAAAGCTGTTTGTGTGGAACATGGAAGTGAAATATTAACCCTTTATTTTGCTCTTCTGGCATAGACTGGCGAAGTACTGGTGTCCGAAAGCTGCGATGTGAAGTGTATGTGCCTACCTGGAGGAGTCCTGCAATGTGAAAATCAAGTCTGCAGCCGCGGGGAGGTGTGTGACGTTCGGGATGGGCATCGAGGGTGCCACCCAGAGCTAGGACGGTGTGAGATCTACCCCAATGCCCTGCTGCAGTCGTTTGATGGGGCACAAGGGATGGTGGACCAGATGGGAGCTTTTCAGATGGCCTTCCTGTGCGATGAACGGTCTCCAGAGTGGTTCCGCGTGGTGGCAGATGTCCGTTTGTACTCCAAGGCTGCTGCTGCTAGTGTGGCTAACGTTTATGTGTTCTTACAGGGCACGTTCATCACAGTTAACAGTCAGAAACACAGCTGGGTGAGTAAAGATGGTAAATATTTGAGATAGAAAATGTTTGCTGAACATTCTTTTAAAATTTTTTGCTTCGTTTCAAAGAATAGTTTGGTGAAAAATCTGATTTACAGGTTCTGCCCTACTCCAGAAATAGCCATTTAGTTGTTTAGTTTAGGTTGTCAGTTGGGCTGTTGATTAATTGTCCTATAAATAATTGTGATTATGTGTGTCTTTTCTTTTTCATTGTTTACAGCCACTAAAATACAAGCCTAAAGTGGCCCAGTTGGCTGATTAGCCACCTTAGTCACCAGCTATGTTTACTTTGTTGCTAATACTGGTTGTACTGTTGAATCAATACAGCACACATGCTCATACAAATATCTACACTTACACAGAATTAAGGGTTAGGTTTTGGGTTGAGGCTAAGGTTAGGATTAGGGACAGTGTGAGGTTTAGGATTAGGTTTTGGGTTGAGGTTAAGGTCAGGGTTAGGGTTAGGATTAGGGGCAGAGTTAGGGTTAGGTTAAGGTTTTGGGTTGAGGTTGAGGTTAAGGTTAGGTTTAGGATTAGGGCCAGGGTGAGGATTAGGATTTGGGTAGTAACATTAACAACACATCTACTCAATGTAAGTAATGTATCAACAGAACATCTACAAGATATTTACTTCAGTGTATTCAGACGCTTCACTACTGATACTCCACTGATATGTTGTCGATGTCTTACTGATAATCTGTTAAGAGTTGATTAATCATCTACAAAGGACCACTCCAAATAAAGTGTTACCCAAATATTACTCAGCGCTGCTCAGAGCACCAAGTTAGAACTTTTTTGCTTCCATATGATCTCTCTTATCTACATGTATTCGCCTTGACCCAGCGCACTCATTTCACGCTTTGTTGCAGCATAATATGACTGTGAAATCTAATAACTGTGTAAAATGATTGCAATCAGCTTTAACAATTGTGATCATCTTAAATAATTTTGATTGCCTAAAATAATTGTGATTACATGATGACATTACAATTGTGGCCTAGTTATGCCTAAATCATCACACATGTCAAACCTTGTTGAGTTATTTATAAAACTGACAACTTTTTTAAAGTCAAGATTCAGGCTTCTGGGTCGCTACTACTGTTTTAGCTATGAGATGTATTTATGTCCATTTGTTTTATAGATAACAGTGTGTCATACAGGGTCATCAACTGCAAAAGCAAGTCTGTGTGTGTGATTTAGGCATGCAGTTAGCTTGATGCTAATTGGCAGGATATAAGCTTTTGTTGCCTACTGGCTACATTAGCCTCGTAGCTCCATTGCAAAACTAAAGAATCAATCTTCAGACAAGTTTTGGTTGCATTTGAATTTGCATTTAAAATTAATTAAATGAGCAAATAATTATTAAAAAATGAACATGAACTGTTATTAGAATGACCAAAAATTACATGTTCATAGGCTTTATTCTTTTTCTCCTTATCCACCAGGTGAATGGAAAGAAGGTGTCATATCCCAGTGCTCCAGCCAAAGAGGTGCTGATTGAGTATACGGGCGAGACTGTGGTCATAGAGAGAGCGTCCAGCATCAGAGTGGAGTACAGCAACACTCAACAGCTCACATTAACCATCAGTGATGGTCTGGCGGGAAAAGTGTGCGGCGCTTGTGGCAACTTCAACAGAAACCTCACAGACGACATGGTAACAGCCAGTGGGAGAAATTCCTCCACGCTGTCTGGGCTTGTAGCGTCCTGGCAGGCGGATGACTTCTCCAGATGGTAAGTCATTAGTCAAATGACAATTGTGGTATGGAATGTATACTGATTTGCAGCTTGGGAGCTCAAAGTATGGCAAACAAGTAATAAACAACAATAATGATCGTGTAAAATATTTTGAAGTCACGGTTCTTCCGACGTAATTCACCCTTAAACCTTGAAGGTTTCTGCAGGCCATAGCAACGCAGACAACAGTCTCACCTAGCTTGTAGATAATGAAATAGCAAAGATAAAGATTTAAGACAAATGATGATTTGGAGATGAATGGATTTGTGTTTATAATCACTCCAGCTGGTTTCCTGAAACATTTCATCTGCAATGAGAAACTGTCAAACACTAAAAAGACGCGAAGCTAAAGTCAGCTTCTTGTTAGAATTGTCCTGTTCCACCTTAAATTTTGCAGTAGTTATTCTGGCGCGTCAGGCACCATTTAAGGTGGAACATGAAATTGAAGCTGGCTAATGACAGGCTGACTTCAGCCTTGTAAAAAGTCAAATGTTGAGAGATGTTATAAGAAACTGTTCTACTTTTGCGGAAAAGTTTCCTGCCAGAGATGCGAGAAAAGCAGCTATAGCTGAGCTAAAGCTTAAAGCAGAGCAAAGTAAGTCTGTGTTTTCGTTTGTCTTTTTTTTTGCTTCTGCTAGTAGCACATACTGAGACATATTTACAGCCAAGATGGTAAAATGGACATAAAATTATGTTGTTCCCCGCTTAGTTTTTGTTGAAAGGACAAAATGGCTCTTCTTTACATTTGGGTTGCGACCCCTGCTGTAGAGAGTAGTGATTGTGAAATTGTAATTCATGAAATTCATCATTTCTGTTTCAGTGGGCTCTAAGGATACAGAAGAAACTTCACCACTGCAGTGTCTGAATCCCCTGTGAAAGGGTTTGAGTCATAATGACTATGGACCTCTTTTTCTTTTCTCTTACATGTGTACTACTGTGAAAATATTGAAAATATTATTGTATTCTTTTTCTGCAGGTTATGTGTTTAAACAGGAGTTTGACTATGATAAGTAAATGCATTTGATAATTAAAATCCTACATATTTTTACTGCTTAAGATAAAGTCAAAGATACTTTTTTGTTACAATATTCAAATATGTGAATGATCAATAAAGACTCATGTGAATAACAAGGACTTTTTTTTTCTTTTTTTTACTCTAGCAAGTGTTAGTTTTGCTCTGAAGAGCAAGTCAAACTGACTTTTAGCACTTTCCATGATTTAATTACATAATGCTTGCTAAAATAATGAAACCACTCTGGTTGGTTTTAACATACAAATGCGTGTAACTGAGTCAGTTGTGTTGTTTCAATGAAGTGCAGTGACTTAAGTCTGGAGTGCAGACTTAATGTTTGGTCAAGGCGGTCTTTTTGAGCAAAACCCTGGGCATCAGCTATTGGCTGGATGCTATAATAACAATTTAACTATATTTAACTCACTCTGTTAACCTCTAAAATCCCAGGATAAGTGGTTCTTTGCATTGCTAAATGGAGAATGTGCTGTAGATAGTTCTATATAGAACCTTTTTAAAAAAGGTTCTATATAGCATCGAAAAGCGTTCTGCTATTGTTACATTGTCGTGCCTGTAACAATAGAAGAACCCTTTTTCGTGCTATGTATAACCCTTTTTAAAAAGGTTCTATATAGAACCATAAAAAGCACATTCTCCATTAATCTGAAGAGGCCTTTAGCAATGCAAAGAACTCTTTAATCATGAGTCTTCATGGTTCTATATAGAACCATTTTCTTTACTAAAGAACCCTTGTAGAACCATCATTTATAAGTGTGTAGAGCTGGTGTAGGCCAGATATACAGAACTACTGACATGAGCGCAGAGAGTTATTATAATTTTTAGAATGTATCATTATGATCTAATGTATCATCATCAAGCAGCTGAAACACAAAAATATGAATGTTGTTTACGTTTAATGATGCAATTGGCTCATGGGAAGGTCCCGAAAGTCCGTTTCTTATTTCTTCCTCAAATTATAACTGAAAATAAATGAAAAAATACAATGTGTGATTTGATGAAGTTGATGACTTTTACCAAAACATCTTCGAAATAATCAGGAGGCGTCATGAAAAGAAATTATGTAAAATGATTGTCTCTAACTTGTTACGCTATGTGAAACAATTATGCATACTTTTAAACATTTTGGACAAACAAAATAAAGTATATCACTGTAGTGATGATGCTTTTAGAGTTTTAGGGAGTATAAAGAATTCACTTCACAGGCTACCACAGCTATGGCTCTGTCCTGTGCTGATTAAAGACAGGGTATGATAAGTGGGCTCTGAAGAGTTCTCTCAGCAGACTGGAGTTATGCTAATGACAGAGCCAACGTTTGAGCAGCTCCGGCTTCAACTCAGAGATCAAACCCTTCACACCTGAGGCAGACCGCTAAAGACTTTCTGCTCCACAGAGTGGCCTAGAAGATATAACTGAAACACTGAACTGAAAACTCAGCATCAGAGACACAAAACATTTCAACATCCTGGAAAGACGTTGGAGAATTTTAAGTTTTGAAAAAGCTTCAGGAAAAATGAAGATAATGATATGAGGTGACTCAGTTTATGTCCTGACTGCAACTGAAAAAAAACTGTACAAAATTGTCAAAGTACTGATTATCCATACAAATGTACTGAAATCATCCCACTATAAAAAGAAATATATTGGTATATATTGGTCAATATGTTCCAAAATGTAAGTATATTGCATTGTATATATTGCATATATGTACCTTTCTAGGGTGTTTCCTGCCTTCCGACATTGACCACTGGGACAGGCTCCAGCACCACCTGTGACCCAGGAGGATAAGTGGCTTAGATAATGTGTGTGTGTGTGTGTGTGTAAAATATATTTTGAATACATTATTCCTTTTTTGTAAAGGGACATCAGAAATTATCTATGCTTACAATTTTTATATATTGCATGTACATTTTACACTATGACACCAGACATGGATTAAGTCTAGTCTTGGACTAAATTGCAGTGTCAGTGGCAAAACACCATTGTAAATTCTTTTTCGTCTAGGATTAGGTTTAATCTGTGTTCAAAAGGTGGTATACTTGCTTCTGAAATGAAGGGTATTAATAGGGAGATTGTCCTCTTTTGCTGCATTAACAAGCTCCTACTCATCTGGGAAGGCTTTACACTAGATGTTGGAACATTGCTGTGAGGATTTGATTGCGTTCAGCCACAAGAGCCTTAGTGAGGTCAGAATGATCAGTTCTGGAACTCGTCCCAAAGGCATTGGATGGAGCTCCATCACTCCAAAAAAATACAGCTCTACTGCTCTACAGCCCAATGCCGGGGGCTTTAAAACCCTCTAGCCCATGCTTGGCATTGGGCATGGTGACCTAAGGCTCACATGTGGCTGCTCTAGGGCGTCCCGTTTTATTAGTCAATGCTTTTCTATGGAGATTGTACAAGCTGTGTGTGTGCAGTTGAACGCCTGTGTGAGGAATGGGTGCTGAATTGACTCATTAGAAGGGGTGTCTGGATATTTTTGGTTCTATAGTGTGCCAACGTAAAATGATATGAGATCAAGACAAGCCAGCTACCAGTTCAGAGCTCTGAATGGAGTTATGACAGCAGAGGGAGCCAGAGTCCATAGAAGTGTGAAGAAAGTGTACAATAAAGACAAACTTAGTGTCATAAATAACTACTACTACTACCACTGATAATAATAATAATAATAATAATAATAATAATAATAATCTTCATTCATGCAGGTTCCATACAGAGTGATTCAAAATGTTTCAAAATCAGAAAGACAATAATAAAACTATAAAATCACAAAATAATATTAAAGCAAGATGTAAAAAAAGAAACATGTAAAAGAACCAAAATAAATTAACCAAAAATATTAATCACGATGAGTTGCATCTTAATTTTCCCATTAATGATAGATGGTAATTCTCTGAATCACACAGTGCAGCAGATGAATTTCAGCTGAAATTATGTTAGCAATATCAGCTGCTCAGCTCTCTGCCAGGGAAGCGACGTGCTTTTTCATCATTGGCTGTATTTTTCCGTGAAGCTCCCCGTGGACAGAATTAATGACGCCAAACCACAGACATTTAAAGTGTTTTAAGCCATTAAATAAAACAACATGTTTTATACACTCACTGAACACATTTTAATTGAATCTTATAATTCTTATCTTATAGAATTGCATAAGGAGCCTAAGCACATCATTTAAAACCATTTATCAGCAAAGAGTGTGCTCGTGTTTGTAAAACCACCATATATCTTTAGAACAAATGCAAATATAACAAATACAATGAAATCTAACAGGAATTTCTTACTTTTTGATATCTAGTTGATGTCCTGTCAGCTAGTTTGAAGAATGAAGTTGTTGTATTAGCCTGCAAGGAATATGTATAGTTGCCTGTTAGCCTATTGCCTTAATCTGTTGGAAGATATTGCATTGTGTCTTATTGTGGCTGTAAGTGCAGCTTTGCATTTGTGGCCTGTAATGGAGAAATAGATGCATTATTATGGATATATTACACAGTCTAACACAGAATTTACTGTAACCCATTTCTAATACATTACATTAAAGTGTTTTAGCACGTAAATATGTGGTCAAAAGCAAATTCAGATTCAATATGATGTGTACAGGTATGTATACATTGCAGCCAGACAGCTGTGAATATATCAGTGTTGTCATAATAAACCTGTGTGTGTGATGAGTGTGTGTGTGTGAGTGTGTGTGTGCGCATACATTGTGTAGTGTATTCTGGAATATATCCATGAATATGAATGTGTAGATGTGTTTCTGTGTATATGAGTATATGAGACAGATGTTACTGTATGTTATGGTTTGTTTAACTAAATGCAAGACAGCCAGTCTATCAGCTGTCATCACTGAATCTCTGTGTTCACTGTATACTGGTCTGTTCAGGCCTGTGACACCTAAATAGGCAAATTCTCAGACTTCCTCCCTCAAAACTATGGCAAACCTTCAGCCTAACCAGTACTTTTTGTGGTCAAAAACATTTAGATTCCTATTTAGTCCACTTAAGCTAATTAGGAAAATTGGATTTTGTACTGTAGTAGCAGAGTAGTCAAGTACTTCAGATGCTGTGCTCTACATACAAAGTGTGCTTAATTGTGTTGATCAGATTTTAATTTTTTAGGGGGTGGGTGGGGGGAGTGGGACAGTCTGTCCAGGTGTCTTTCTGTCCTTTAGTCTGGAAAAGCACATATTACATTTTCTTCTTTTCACAATTGTCTGTAATTTTAGAATAACTTTAAACAAATAGATTCTATTTTTTTGATTGAGTTATTTGATATATTTACAATGACTTTTCACGATTCCTTTGGCAGGAACAATCAAACACTGCAAAGCTCTGCTTCTTGCTTTCCAGGCTTGAAACGGCTGAGCTCCAGAATGTCTCTGTACATCTGTTCACAAACATCTGGATGTCAGCTTTGGTCTCATACTTACATCTTCAGGCAGCACCTTTGGCAACACCCTTCTGCACCCATTCTCCCTTCATTTCTTAATCTTCACCAACAAACACACATTTATGGTTTCTTATTTAACAAAACCTGCACTTATTATTTGTCCTGAAGGGTTTACACTCGTGTTCATTTGGATTAGACTATGATTGGGGTATTTATGTCATGAACTCAAGCAGATTCTGAATCAATGTCCTCCAGCCCTGGTCCTGGAGAGCCTAGTTCCAACAAAATGTGCCATACCTGCTCTAGCTAATCAACCTCTTCCCAAGGGCCTTGATTGGCTGTATTAGAGTTAAGTAAGGGGCAGGGCAGCCTTTTGAATCCAGGTTGGAACTAAACTCTGCGGGAAGGTAGGTCTCCAGTCAAGTCAAAGTTTATTTATATAGAGCTTTTTACAACAGGTGCTGTCACGAAGCAGCTTTACAGAAAAATCCAGGTCTGAGCCCTCATGAGTGTCGTCAAT